TTGGTGATGGGGACACCGACGACCGCCGGCGTGACAGCGTGTATGACAGCTGTATGCCTCGACTTGATAGAACTCACCCGAAGTACGGATACAGGCTAGTAATCTGCACGAGGCTGGAGTCAGTTTAACGCTGACATGCGTCTACCACCAAATTACAAGGGGAAGTCATGTTCATCCTGACCACAAAAAAAAACAAGAACGGGATGTATCAAAAAGCTTCGGATCGCTTACGTAAGGATGCCACAGCGTGGACAATCACGAGCATTTCTGCAAAGAGCGTTCTCACGTACTAAAAGAATTCTGAGGGCCCATTTTATGATCTATTAAGAATATAAAAGTCCATAAAACTTGTAGTAATATATAAGTGTAGAGCCGGCACGAGTCAAGTCTAAATTATCATTTATTATACGTTGCCTCTGAAGGCCACGTGCGTGTCGCATAGAGATCAAACATTCGCTGTTCAATAAAATTTAAATACTAGTTTCTTAGTTTACACTGGCGGATGGACGCCAGACTGACTAGTCACATAGAGGACAATGGCTTCTAGATAATAAAAAACACTCCAGCCGAATTAGGGGAACAGTGAACGTGAGCTTATATTATCCTTCGGTACACGAAATCATTTACGAGCAGATAAGCTCTCTGCTCACAGAAAATAAGTAAAGGGAATACAAACTCGATAAAAAAATAGTCAGCAAGAACGAAATATGATACAATTTGCGCTCAGGCGACACAAATCGAATCCCAGGGCGCCAGCACCTCGGATCGCCTCGGGATAGACTAGACGTAAACTCGGAGCAGGAGCTTTTAGCACTGTGAAGTTGAAGCCGTTGGGAGTACAATTTAAAATTTGAGCGATAGCACAAATTCATAACTATTCGAAAAGTCGGAGATTATAAAATGTATACAATGAAAGAAACAACCCAGAAATTAAATTGTGTTAGCAAGATAAAGAGTGTACGTCCGATGAGAGCTTCAGGCAATACTGGAACCGCTAGAAGATGATCACGAGCTGGTGCTGCTGTCTTGTCTTGTTTTTATACTGGTGCTAGGAACTCTTGTGACTCCGCGCGGGTAGGTACCACCACCCTGCCTATTTCTGCCGTGAAGCAGTAATGCGTTTCGGTTTGAAGGGCGGGGCAGCCGTTGTAACTATACTGAGATCTTAGAACTTATATCTCTAGGTGGGTGGCGCATTTACGTCGTAGATGTCTATGGGCTCCAGTAACCACTTAAAACCAGCTGGGCTGTGAGCTCGTCCACCCATCTAAGCAATAAAAACAAAAAAAAAGCTGGTGCTGCTGTCTTGTCTTCATACATAAGGACAGCCCTCTTACGACTCACCTGATTTTAAGCAGTTAGCAGAATTCGTTCACCACGAAGTCGAAGTATGCATTGAAACATCAGCTATTGTGTCTGGCGGTCCGCCATCAATATTCCCGAGGGTAGATATTTTAGAACGTGAGAACATCACGGTATTACCATACATTTACCCATTTATGTATCTCATAATTTGTATACTTTTAATACTGTATAAACTATTGTATGTATGTATGTATGTATGTGTGTATGTATGTATGTATGTGTATGTGTATGTGTATGTATATATTGTATATGTATATGTGTATGTATTTGTAACTTAATATAAATTTCATTGCACTTACCACTATATACTGTGTACTACCTTTGGTTGACTGGTAGAGAATGCCTTAGGCATTAAGTCCACCAATGTAAATTTATAAATAAATAAATAATTTGGTTCGTTCCAATGATCTCTAGTCCCATTGAAAATATTACGTCTTGGACCGCTTTTTCTCCGCACGGCTGATCAAATAAACCCCACCGTTAAAGACCTAAATATTAATATTTAGATATGAAATGATAATATTTTCAACTTGTGGTTAATCGAAGTCCCTTAGCCACTTGTCAAGGTTAAAATTAAGGAGTATCTGTGTAACATGTGATACAAGATATTATGTATAATTTCGAAAAAAAGACAACCAACAAAATGCCATATCTTTCAAGAACGGTGGCGTCAGTCAAGACTCCCTTTATCTATTCAGAGTGATCGAAGCACTTTGCTTCATTTCTATAATATGTAGAAGTGCATGCATTTGTTGTGCTTCTACAATGTTTGCGACATCTCACACCGATGACTTCTTTGCAATAATGCGGAAGAGAAGTGCCTAGTTATTGCGTCGAGTCAGAGTCAGTGGCAACAGTCTTCTGAACATCATATCGAGCAAGATCGAGGGACTGCTGATTAATAGCCTTTAGAGCAGGCACTCGGAAGGCAAAAAAAATTAAATAAAAAAATGTAATGATATAAAATGTATGTATTGATATTTATGTGTTAGATTTTTTAAGTTACTAACATAGATTATAAGTAGTTCTTACCAATGATATTTTATATGTAAAAAGAAGCAGATATGTTTCAAGCGTACGTCAAGTGAAGACTCGAAAACAGGCCAATTAGGACGATTCGTCTTTAGTCGCGTCTAGACAAATGCAATAATAATATAACAAGTGCAATCGTTCCAATTATAGCTATCTTTTTTACTCACGCGCTTATCCCATCTTTTGTACTTTTCATTAATGCTACTTGTCAACATGTGTGTGCACTATATCGGTATGTATGTAGATATATATGGCGCGATCAGATCTGAAGAGTCAGTTACTATGAAAATAACATATCTGTTGTATAAAAAATCATTGGTTCTTACTAACAAAATATAATGGTTTTAAAAAAAAAACTGAAATAAAGTATAAATAAATAAGTAGGTACGTCCTTAACTAGGTGTAGTTTGAGATTTCCAGTCCCCCAACTCGGTCGATAGCTCAAATGAAACACACAAAACTGAGCATGTACTCGATTAGTTCTGTCGCAGACAGTGATAATGCCACATTGTTACTCAACTCCGAGACTGTGGCCGTAAACAAGACGATTCCGAAGCATTAAAATTTATCACCAAAACTATACAAGTACACTTCAACACTGAATCGTAAATCTTTGAGGATTCAAGGAAAATTTCTAATAACGTCACGAAAGTTGTTAAAATTATATGAGGAGATAAAACACCCCGCCATTACTTCCCAGCGCTGTGTTGGGGGAACTGCGGGACACGCAACTGCCCGAGAATGCTAGTAGTAGATAAATTCATTGTGTGAGCATGTTGTGTTCGATGCTTTATTAGAGGAGGGGTCCGTTATTGAGGCTCCAGTTCTTGGTCCAGCTCGACCGGTACGGCCGTACTCTCCCTCCAAAACGCATCTTTACACAAATACACCGATTTTTGACGTGACAACAACTTATAATTCGATGGAGCCGCATGAAAAAACATGACTCATACGGCGTTACCTCGCTCCGAGGCGTTCCATTTAAGGCTTGAAGTGCAAGCGAGAGCGCGCAACGAGCGACAAAGAGGCACAATCGGCCTCCGCGCTCAGCAGCGTTCGACATCTGTCTTTCTCCTACTTGAGTGAGCGATGCATCCGCGTGGACAGCTGCTATACAATAATACATTTACATGTTTTCGTCAAGTATAAAGTTCAGTGAAAAGTGAATGTGGTGTCAATTGTTTATAGCAACGATAATTGCGATAATTGAAAAATGAAACCATTCCATCAGTATTTTCTTATGACGTTGTCACGTTTAACTATCGTCAGTAAACCGACTTTACAGACAACCGATTTTTTTTTCTGTCTAAGCTGAGAGCCTTGAGAAGCTATTTCAGCGTAACCTTAACTAGTAGGTGAGCTCACGGTGCTCAAACCGGAGTGATGTTAACACTGACCCTAGCAAGAGCTGTGCTTCCCAGAATCTATCACCGGATCGGAAACGCGACCCACTGAGAAGATCCGGCGAGAAACTCAGTGGACTGGTACACCGATGCATCACAATATATGTATGTATGTTTGTATTCATTAGTCAATATAAAGAAGACCTCAAGCCAAAGTAAAACTAAATTTTTTTGTTTATAGCTTTTTTATTATTAACCTTATAAAAATTATTAACATGAAAGTGGAGTATTCGAAACACAGTAATGAAATGTTCCGATGTTATACAAAGGCATTTGACTCGGCTCTACGCCGACACTACGCCGACAATACGCCGACAATACGCCGACAGCACGCCCGGCGCCCCGTGGAGCGGCGGAGTTAATTATCGCGAACTTACTTTTAACCAAGGACACTCGAACTAAAACTACTAATAATTAACTAATTTCTTTTTCGGATTAAGGACACCAGAATTAATTCGTACATAAGAGATTACAACTACTAATACTAAATACTACTATACTACTACTGTAAATTAGATACTACGTTATTACGTTACTAGATTACGATCTAAACAATACCATTTTAATGTTGTTCTATAAATGTTTTTGTTTTTTGTCCTACTTTTTTTTTATTGCTTAGATGGTTGGACGAGCTCACAGCCTACCTGGTGTTAAGTGGTTACTGGAGCCCATAGACATCTACAACGTAAATGCGCCTCCCACCTTGAGATATAAGTTCTAAGGTCTCAAGTATAGTTACAGTTTACTATATGTAATTAAGATATGTTTAATTCGACTAGCATGGATGAGCAGGCGTTGTATCCACAGAGCTTCAATAGACATTCTTGGGTGATATTTGATTGGGGAAGCATCCAAACTCCTTATAAAATACAACCTTTCAAAAAAAACTAGACAGTTAGTTAGTTACATTCAACACTAGAACAACGGGAGAATGAACACATCGTCGTTGTCAAACCAAAATCTGCTATGTGCACTTTTTGTGATTTTTACTTTTTGACCTTTTCGTATAGTTCACAGCCCATATCTACCGTATAAAAAAAAACTGTTATGTGTCTATAGCTTTAATATTTATCTATAGCTTTCATTTGATATAGTTCTTAAAAATTCACCTTCATATAAAATTTTATAAAAAAAATTTTTTACTCATTCATTCAAAATTGAATTTTTGCACATGAGAGATTTTGGTTTGACGGCTTCGATATTGTGTTAACCCATTTCACCTTGACCTTTAAACCCTTAAAGCTAAGACCCTTAAAGCTAAGACGGGAAAATCAAGTATGTCACGAGAGTCTCATCAAGCACCATCAAAGATCTACAATGCTAAATTCATTCAATGCTAAATCTAAATACATTTTCTAAGGATATAACTGCATGAAGTTCAAGTGGAAACGTCTTATAGAGTCCATCATGTACTGGAATTCGTCCTTGGGGTGGAGTATCGTAGTTCTGAAATGGAATGATCCTGGAAGCTGCCCGAATCCCGTACCCGGGATCACACACACTCCTGTGAAAGATGTTACATTTAATTAAGAAAGTTTCTGCAGACCAATAATTTCAGGACTTAATCATCATTAGTATTTACTTATGCTTTAATCGTTCATCTTAGCTTTTAAAAGTGACTAGTTTTACTTTTCAAAGTCATCGGTCCACTGTTCAACAAAGGGCATTAACCAGAGAAATTTTTTGAGACAAAAATCTTAGAAATCGGCTGGTTCACCGTGTTGCAGAGAGAGGAACTTATACGAAGAATGACAGCGGACTTTCAACCCTGATGTTGGTTTAACGGGCCCCTATCAATGCGCATTAAGCTCACCTCCATTCTCCACATTCCTCTCCCGTCTAGCCAAATTTGATAAGAAACTTCTAGTGAGGCTTTAGACGTTCATTCAAGTGTTATTTATGTAGTAAGTTGTATTCAACAATAGGTTTTTTTTTATTGCTTTGATGGGTGGACGAGCTCACAGCCCACCTGGTGTTAAATGGTTACTGGAGCCCAGAGACATCTACGACGTAAATGCGCCACCCACCTTGGATTATAAGCTCTAAGATCTCAGTATAGTTACAACCGCTGCCCTACCCTTCAGAACACATTACTGCTTCACGGCAGAAATAGGTAAGGCGGTGGTACCTACCCGCGCGGACTCACAAGAGGTCCTACCACCAGTAAGATGCCGTACTATGCTAGTGAGATGTTAAAAATTATATTTTGAATTCAGAAATGAAATTACCAGTTTCCTCCAACAGCCTAAGGCAGTAGAACTCATCAGGACTCATGTTCAGTTTTTTTGCTTCTAATTGGGCCTCTACTGGAATTTCGATACGAGGATATGCGAACATCGAACCCTGAAATTTTAAAGTAAGCTTAATATTCATCTAGAGGCAGAACGGTGGATGCAATTCTACAAGCTAAGCTTTGAATTCGTTGATTTTTGTAGCAATACCTACGTCGATTGGATTGCAGAAATATCCTGGTATTGAGTTGAAGGTTTTGTAAGCGGTTGCAGTGCGTTCCTTTAATACTTGGTGAATGTCTCTAATCTCATTGATGAACTGATTGTGTGAGGGTTTTCCGGGAGACGGAGGCTTCATCTGTAAGTTATAAATAAGTTTTTAAAAGAGAAAGCAGGAGAAATGTAGATGTTGACGTGCACTTTGCAACATACAATAGGTAGAATGAAAATACAGAGGACTCTTGTTATCATCGGGCTTTTTAAGCTCAAACTGAACAAATGAGAACGCAATAAAAAAAATTTTTGGAACGAAGTTCCTTATAGAACGATGCGGAGGGGTACCCTAACCGGGGAAAAACGTCCGTAACGTAAGTTTTTTATTTAATTGTAATTTTTTTTAAATTAAATTTTATTTATTTTTCGCAATAATTATCAGGCACAGTTGACTGTTGGTAGGGCGCCATGTTGTAGTTCTTTCGACGTTTACCATCAGGAATATCTTAAGCTAGATTTTTAGTCAATTTGTATAAAATACCCCAGGAATATAAAAAATATGAATATACTATTGTACTTGACTATTTGTGCTGCTACTCACCACGCAATCCAAAATGCACTGTCCCAAAACCGAGGGGCACTGCATGACAGACCTCATAGTATTGAACGTTTTCTGCACTGAAGGCTGGAGATGCAGTAGCTCCACGTATCCTGACCTCAATCCACACTCAGCTGCATAGCCTTTTGAAGTCGTCAAGAAACTGGCCAATTCCATGCGGGAGTATGGTGCACCCATTTCGAACATTACCTAGGTTTAATGGTTTTATAAATGTCAAAAACAATATCGTCACTGTCAAACCAAAATCTGCTATGTTGAAAAACTCTATTTATATATTAATACGTGAAGCAAAAACTTTGTAACCCTTTTTACGAAAATTGCGCGGACGGAGGAGTATGAAATTTTCCACACTTATAGAGATTATAGAGAAGAAGTGCACAATGCTAATATTTTTTTAAATAATGCATAAAAGATACATTAAATCAATAAAGAAAACATTACACACACCACATACCGTGTATTTGACGCACACACGCATGCATACTATTTATTGTCAAACTTTTGTTCTTAACGTCTGTTGTCAAATTGAGATTAAATATTGTTTGTCTTTGTTAATATTTTTTATAGTGTAGTCTTGGAGAAATTTCTGATTATAGAAGTATAAAATACAATCATAATAATGTACAAACTTACAATTTCAATTAATTATAGTCGAATTTCGACTACTGAGGGACCTCTAGTTTTGAATTAACGAGTAAAAACATTTTCGCATAAAATTTTATATGAAGGTGAATTTTTAAGAACTATATCAAATGAAAGCTATACAGATAAATATTAAAGCTATAGACACATAACAGGTTTTTTTTATACGATAGATAGGGCTGTGAACTATACGAAAAGGTCAAAAAGTAAAAGTAAAAATCTCAAAAAGTGTACATAGCAGATTTTGGGTTCACAACGACGTTATGGAATCTTCACGGCTTAAAGAAATCCATCACTACTAGACTACTGCTGAGTACTCGGATCAAGCTTTGAGTAGATAGTTCAAGCTTTATGAGTAGATGAGTCTGGAATAAACAACTAACGATCTCTGAACTGAAAGTACTAAAACTGCGCAATTCAACATGACCTTATTCCGTTTTATTGGCTTGGAATTCACAAAGCCGATATGTATCTGGGACGGTCCACCGAGCAGCACGCGATTACTCGGCCCAAATCATTTTATGCTCTCTGCACGGGGCTTTATAGGGCTGTAAAAGTATCGCAGAGTGAGCACGGATTAAGGATACTGTAGCCTCAGACCAAAAATAGATTGAATTAAGTCTTTGCATTTTAGAAATTGTCTAACAACATACCTTTTTAAAGGAATGAAACGGCTTGCTCACGATGTTCTCCTGGTATACTTCGTCAGCCAAAATGAACAAGTTACGCTCGTAAGCAAATTTGATGATTTGTTCAATATTATCGCGGGTTAACACCTAAAACGACGAAATGTAAACATCAAATATCTTCTATTTTGATTGATATCGCTCATTAATACTTATTTATTTATCTCATTAATTATTAGCTTTTAATTATTTAATTATTATCTTATTAGCTTCAGGCGTATGTATGTTTGTAACGGAATCTTTGAACATGATTTTGACCCCCTTCAAAATGTCGGACTAACTCGAAATTTGGTATACTTATTAAGGACCGATGACAATTCAAAATAAAAAAATAATAATGAAGAAATTGAAATTCAACTAAAAAATGATAAATAAATAATGGTTTAAAAAAAACTAAGAAAATACGCTTTTATAGAAAATCCAACTAAAAAATAGAAAATAAATTTTAATAAATTTAAATTAAAAATAGTGTAAGAAAAAATTATTTTATTGTAAAAAAAGGGTGGTAATATCAAAAAAAATTATATCTGTCTGCGGAAATGGAACACCAGAAGTGGCGCATCGCTCGATAATAATCCACCGCGACTTGCCTTATATGCCACGACGATTTCGGATCTTGTGATGTCCATAAACTACATTAACCACTTAACATCAGATGAGTTGTAAACTTGTCCAACTATATGTGCAATTAGTATAAAATTCGAAAGGCAGACTGACCTGTCCTGTAGGATTTCCAGGGTTGATCACAACAAGAGCCCGCACATTGCTCTCAATACTGGCGTCTCGCCAGCTCCTTTCTAGCTCAGAGATCTGGAGAGCCCAGTCGTGTTCCTCATCAAGGTAATAGTCGACCTGTCGAACCCCAAGCTCTGAGAGAGTACCCGAAAACAGTGGGTACTGAGGGATCGGCACCATCACAGCTGAAATTAGGTTTTTTTAATTAAAGGTTTTTTTTTTGGAAGGACAGTCGTTATTTTGCAATAATGCAGTCAATAATGATCTCGTGGACGATTCCCCATACGTTAGACTGATCAGGTGAAAGACCTTACTGAAACCCCACTTAACGAGTGTGTGCGCCGGGCCTCGGTTCGCAAACTATGGAAAACATCTGTCAAGGCTTTAATAAGCAAAAACTCCACATGACCACGACTGCTCTGCCAAGAGCAACCGATTATAATGAGTCTGATGATGGAATAACTTGTCAAGCTAAAAATGCAGAACGAAGGAAAATTAGCTTCTTTGTACCTTGAATAAGTGAGGCGAAGAGTCGCTTCATACTCACCAGGAGGCTTTCCTCCCACATCCTCAACAAACAGAGTTAGGACTGATTTAATAACATCAGAGGCACCAGATCCCAGGTAAATATCGTCAGGGTTGGAGGGCACACCGTCTCTGTTCGTGATGTACTGTGCGACACGAGATCGCACCAAGTTGAGACCGTTGGATGGAGAATACGATCCCACTGAACCTTTCCTAAAATATTATAAAAAGAGCTTAACTTTTTAGTGCAATGTTTCATTCTAAAAACATTGCTAGCAGGCTACCGTACGTGAGTTTCTCTGACCATATTTAACCCAATATTATTATGTGCATCGATGAACAAAGCTTATGTTACGTGTGCCTTTACAAAAAATTTAAAAAATTCACAGATGTATGTACTGGTTTTTATTTTTTTTATTTAAATAATTAACCATGTTGTTGCCCGAAAGCTATAGACAACAACAACGAAATTAAGGCGATAGCGGAAGTTGACGATACTCAATCCACCGCTGAAACAACAGCAGCTCCTAACGTTAGCATCAAAATAATATTGGTCAATACAATTGTGAAGTTGTCGTGGCCTAAGGGATAAGACGTCCGGTGCTTTCGTGTTGAACGATGCACCGGTGTTCGAATCACAGGCGGGTACCAATTTTTCTAATGGAATACGTACTCAACAAGTGTTCACGATTGACTTCCAAGGTAAAGGAATAATATCGTGTAATAAAAATCAAACCCGCAAAAATTTGCGTTCATAATTACGGGTGTTAGGACCTCTTGTGAGTTCGCACGGGTAGGTATCACCATCCCGCCTATTTCTGCCGTGAAGCAGTAATGCATTTCAGTTTGAAGGGTGGGGCAGCCGTTTTAACTATACTTGAGACCTTAGAACTTATATCTCAAGGTGGTTGTAGAATAAATTATAAATAGATGAAATTAATAAAATAAGTACACAGATAATGGACATTTTGAAAGACGTGAATTGCAACAAAATGTATGGGTGCGAAATACGATAGTTCTTGAGTAAATGGTTTCTTTTCTACAACTTTCAACAGCAACCTGCGGGACTACCTCACGGGCTGGTAGTGACATGGTGACGTCATAAATATGGCATCAGTGAAACATTGGGATCAAATAAAGTGATGGTAGGTTTACAGAACTTACGTGCAGTCGTCGAGTAGCTCTTTGGCTCTGTCCTTCACGTCTTGAGGGATATCTAGACGAGACGAGATCAGTTCCGGGAATGACACTAGGGCTAATACCTGGAACATCATGTGATTTCATTTTTTGTGAAGAACTCAGCTATTCAACCTTTTTTTGGAGTGAGAACTGAATGAGTTTACAACCCATTTGATGTTAAGTGGGTCACTGATCACATAGCTATTACACTGTGAAAACTAACAGCCGCCATGAGACATGAGGTCGGAGGCTCAATTAAACTGTACAACGGCTGAAAACCTCACAGCTTTACAGAAAAAAGACAGGTTTGTGGTATCGCTCTGGGCGGACTTACTTACATACATACATACTCGGACAACTTTAATGACATGAGTTTGATTTTATTACACAATAGGATTCCTTCATCACGGTAAGCGTTCGTGAACACGTGCTTTATAAGTATGTGTTTTAATGGCTATAAAAATCGCCGGTCACCATCCTCGTCGAACCCGTCGCTTGCGACGAAGGGCTCGACGAGCGAATTAACCCATAGACACAGCCCACTGAGTTTCTCGCCGGATCTTCTCAGTGGGTCGCATTTCCGCTCCGGTGGTAGATTCTGCGAAGCTCTGCTCTTGCTAGGGTCTGTGTTATTAACACTCCGGCTTGAGCCCCGTGAGCTCACCTACACACGTTAGGGCGAAGCTGAAATAGCCTCTCAAGGCTATCGGCATAGATAGGAAAAAAAATCAAATCGTTGCCCTCTTTATTGCAACTCTGATTTCATATACCTACCGTTGTCTAATTTCTAACTTATTACAATACACATTGGACTTGGACACAATCTATAATCACTCATTAATAAGCAAAAATTGATAAAACACAGTAATAAAAACATTAAATATTCATTAGGCATTTAAATTTTGAAAGAATATCTCGAATAAATTTTTGTTTGAGCATTAAAATCGTTTCGTAAATTTCAAAGTGAGTTATTGGAGAGAGCGAACTGGGAGCGAGCTTACGTAACCAGCCCTTCGCATATAAACCTTTCATTGCGAAATGTTGATGGAATATTTTAAGTTACGCTGATACTTTTTTGTTTATCTAATCTTGTATCTTAGATATAAACATGAATTTCTGTTCGTTAGTCTCGCCAAAACTCAAGAACGGCTAGACCGATTTGGCTAATTTTGGTCTTGAATTATTCGTGGAAGTCCAGAGAAGATTTAAAAGGTAGATAAATATGAAAATGCTCGGAAATAAATAAAAATAACAATTTTGAAATAAAGTTAAAAATTTGAATAGTTTAGGTCTTTTATATATCGATTGAGGCACTACGAAATCTGGCGGGTCAGCTAGTTATTTATAATATACTAGCGACCCGCCCTCGCTTCGCTTCGGAAACTGTAATTTATTATTGATTTCTCCACTATTTAATGGATGTTATTACACATATAAACTTGCCTCTTCAATCACTCTATCTATTAAAAAAAAACCGCATCAAAATCCGATGCGTAGTTTTAACGATTTAAACATACATAGGGATATAGGAACAGAGAAAGCGACTTTGTTTTATACTATGTACTGATTTATTAAAACCTTATTCATTACAATATTTAAATACACATAAAATATTACAAATTATATTGTATTTAAAAACTATCAAAAAAAAATAGTTCTCTTAAGTCAGACCAAGAAAGACAGAAGAAGCGGGCTTCAGACTGAAAATCCTCAATGCAAGAAGACAGAAGTCGCAGTACGCGCCTTATCAAGGATGATCATGTTTTGCACAAGGCACTTCACCCATGGACCACCTATCAACTCAAGGAAAACTCATGGTCAGGGACAGGATGCTATTGTTATGGTACACCATAATCGACAAAACCATATTTCAGGCCAATAAAATATGTTAATGATTAATCCTAGTACAGTATACGGCGGTAAATATTGCACATCGACTCTGGGAAAGAGACGGATAATTTTTGCTTCGTAGAGCGCTATATCTGTCGCACATTACCTAATTGGCATTTAGTCTCCATATTACTTAGATGTGTGGACGAGCTCACAGCCCACCTGGTGTTAAATGGTTACTGGAGCCCATAGACATCTACAACGTAAACCCGCCACCCACCTTGAGATATAAGTTCTAAGATCTCAGTATAGTTGCCCACCCTTCAAACCGAAACGCATTACTGCTTCTGCCTGCCTGGATTCCACCTGGTTCGTGACTCGGAAGCAGGTTGTTAAGCAGGAAGAGATTTTGGTAGTGTAAACTTCGACTTACTCCATAAACGGAAGGATCGCAATTTTTCTAACCCCAAAACACGCGAAAAACAAATAACTACGAACCTGTCTTATGAATGTGATGGGTTTCTGTCCGAGAGCGTGACAGTCGCCGCAGTTAGCTCTCACCACACGCTTGAAGCGCTTTGGAACCCCCTGCAACAATATAAATATATAATAATATGTAAAAGGTACAATATGTTTTGTATGGTTAGTTACACAATAATTAATTGCCTTAACAAGGTAATGCAATAGATAAATGCGGCATTTTAAATCTTATTACGTAGATGGATAAACGAGCTCATAGCACCTTGATGTTAACTGATTCTGGAGTTCATAGTCATCACGATGTGAAGACCATATCCTACCTGGGGGCACGAGGGTCATGAGGCTACATCAAACGTATAAAACAACAAGCGTCTGATTCCTCGAACCAAAACGCATAATGATTTGCAGGAGCAATAAAAGGATTAAGGTATCTTCTACCCATGCGGCCCAGTATTAACATTATAGTGTTTGCAACAAACAAATAATATTACTATGGGTAATAATATCTCTGACATATTATATCAATAATAGCTTCTTAGGCCACCATCGAATAGGTAGGAAGAAAAAAAAACCTATAAAACTCTGAAGCTATTCCTGGCATATCTATACTATAATATATAAATCTACAGTGGTTTTTACGGATGTTCCTTTATAACTACTGAACCATACATCCAATTGACTCGAAACTTGGTGTCCATGTAGAAAATACATGTACTTAATGGATTTATATGAGTGTTGGTCTCCCTACACCAGTTGCGAGGGCGTTAATGATGAGAATGTTTGTGGGGGTGAGAAATAATAATGTTAATTTTAAATGTCCAGCGAAGCGGTCGGGTACAGCTAGTAACACATATATTTATTTACAATTATATAGGTATATTAAATAAAATATAGTGATATACTCAGTATAATTTAAAATCAACATACTATAAAATAATAAACATATTTACAAGTGCTCTACGATTTCCGTGGTCAGGGGCGACTTAAAGTAAGTAATGTTTACTGCAAATATCAAGAGATAAGACGCGCTCTGTTGCCCTTCTGTTATGTTCGTGACGTCTTGTTATTTGCAAAGATACTAGATGTGTAGAGCGACGCCTACTGCTATGAGGTCTATAAAGTTTCAACGACTTTCTTTTGTTTTTATATAGAAACAAATAACAGCGGGACGTAGATATAACTAATACGTACACAAAAATAGAATTACTGCCGAAAATGTTACAAATCATTACAAGGAAACACCATTGATTATTATTAAAAAAAAAAAACAAAAAAAAAATGAAAGCCGAGAGTAACCCCGAAAACGGCTTTCCATTATATTTATGGCTCACAAAACCTAAAAGACATTGCTATAAAATTTCTAATAAATGGCCCTAAAAATCTAAAACGTCAGCGAAGATATGAAAATAAAACGACATTTTCTGGAAAAAGCAAATCTTCCGAGATTGAAGCTCCGTGCTCGATGAACTTATAAAATTGTGAGGCGAGACGTCGCAGCCCAGACGACGGCGGCAACGGCGGAACCGCATCAACTAGGAATTGCCAACTTCCAGAGTGATAACTACACAAAAATATCGCCCTGTGAAAAACAAATGACAGATCTGTTTGACTATATATTATTACGAAGTTGCATCTTTTGTTAAAACTTGTCCCAATAGATTCACAAGATGTCTAATGTGTTAAATAGAAATCGACGGGACGATAAACTGTTTTTTCCAAAATCCAAAACTACAAGACTAATAGTATACTAGGTATGAGCGTTAGGATATTTAATAAACTACCAAAGTAATTAAGAGACCTAGACGATTTTTATTTTAAGAAATAATTAAAAAATAATCTTTATTAGTGAAAATTACTATCACATAAATGATTTTCTTAGGAACGACATTGAAAATATATGGATTTTTTTATTATTAGTTGAATGATAGTGAATGAATGTTAAATTATATATCATAATATCTTGCACTGCACTAAAAATCGCATGTCAAATAATGACAAAGCATAAACGCTGCTTATAGCTTCTGTAATACACTTTCACTATGTTTAGTGAATAAATGATTTCTTTCTTTCTTTTTGTTTTCTTTATTTCTTTCTTTCTTTCTTAGCTATGAGTCAGAAGCTACAGGCATGTGGTCCGCCTTCTTTCTACCATGCGTCTTTGTCCAGTGCACAACCGCATCCACACGATGTCTGAGAATGCAACGTGTATACAAGATGTAAGATTTCCAAAAACATCATAATATCTGAAGAGAGAGATATTATGTCATGCTATGTCATGAGGTCACCTATTTTTTTTAAAAAACTTCTCGCTATGACATGTCCTTCTTCAAACGAGGCTTGTGAAGAGTATTAAGCGGTAGGCAGCGGCTTGGCTCTGCCCCTGGCATTGCTGATGTCCATGAGCGACGGTAACATATCATCAGGTGGGCCGTATGCTCGTCTGCCTACAAAGGCAATAAAAAAAAAAGTGTGTGTGTCCGCTCCGACGCACGACTGGAGTTTACTGGATATAAAAAATTAAACGAAACAATACGAGAAATAGTTCTATATTACGACAACACGATACACTACAGATTATTAACAAATTAACGAGACACAAAACAAACGACTAACAAATATATGAAAATACAATAATGAGAGAAACGCGCGATCAGTACGAGGCTTTGTGGCGGACTGCCGGCGCATGTACTAGCATGTCACACGAAATGCGCATAACGCATTTCGTGTGACATGCTAGTACGATTTTGGTCCCCATAATTTTCATACCCCGGGCCTATATATGTAAATCGATTCTAAAGGAGTAAACTCCAAAAACATCAGGAAAAAAATAAAAATATTTGGATGTTAAAAACAACTTCGAAAACCTTGCAACCCCTAAAGTACACAGGAAAACCTGCATTTCGCCTCTCCTCTCCTGGAGGATGTTGTAGTCGGAGATTTTTGCCTCCTACAAACGTTTTGTTTGCATTTACATTTTATTGTACTCGGGCGTGGAATTTCAAACTGAACGAGTGTAAAATGTGTAGTTGGAAAGATTATATTGCACCAAATTCGTGCACGAATGTACATATTTTCTTATTAGTTACGATTAGAAAACCAACTCATGGGCCACTGAATGATCGCAGCAACATAAGCGTCGCTAATTACCTTACGACACTAGGTGAGAGTCCCTTTTGCATTAGCTCAAGGGCTGCGGTACTCTTCAAGCCGGTATCCGCCTTGCTAACCTTGGCAGAAATAAACATGGTGGTACCGTGCGGCCTTACGATTCGCTGTTCCATCAGTACAGTTCCTCAGGTTAGAGCCCTGTAAGCTCACCTACTCACTCGGTTACGCAGGCATAGCCTCTAAAGACTACCAGCTAGAGCAAGAAAGAAAAATAAAAAAAAACAGTAGAGTTTAATTTTCTATAGATGAGCAGATAACGTAAGCTCGGATGTTAAACGGATACTAAAGTCCATAGACATCAAAACGCAACAGAAAGAGGCAGGCTGCACGGCACGTTACGCCTTATCATCAATAAATCTTGTCTGACATCGCAACAAACATGGTGTAGCATAACGGATTTTATAAAGATGTTATCTTTGCTTCGGTATTAATATAATTATAATAATGCAGAATTATCTATACTTGTTTAGCGTTTTCCTCGTCTGTTGTAAATATATATATAATATAAATAGGAAAACAACCATCAATCAATTATCTGCAGATCACAGTTCAAAGCTAAATTACAATTAATTACATCAGATGCAATGATAAGGGGGGTTTACTGCTTCTGCTGCTATCTTTTTGAACTATAATATTATTTGCTTTATGAATAGAAACGTACCCTGCCATGAGACACATACTACCTAAAATTAAATTTAGTGATGAACCTACATATTAAACCGTATTTACTTTTGTGAAAATTAAATCAAATAAAAACCTTAATCGAGTGTGTTAATCATAATGGCTGGAAGTATATTTATTAGCAGAGCTTTGACACTTTTATTGGCTTGATAAATTTGTATTAGTCACCCTTAAGGAAGGCTGCGGTCTTATGATGTACTTCTAAGATATGAGCCCTAAGTCTACAGACTAAATCTATTTGAATTGAGTGCCTAAGAAGGCAGACGATGCACCTGATTAATGCTGAGCAGTAAACAAGAATGATCTTGAGAAACCCAAATGAACACAACGGTAGCCGTAATACTCCTGTGACAAGCGTCGTGATAGAAAAAAGTGAATCCTCTAAAATAGTTCCTCAGAGCCCCCGCCATACTATCCAATATTCAGTGAGGGTTGCACTTATTATTCCGGTAAAATAAAATCAGCAAACAACAAACAATGCTTTAAAGTCAACTCGTAAAAAATCACTAGTATTGTGACTCGGGCGAGATCACAATCCAATGAGGCTCAAACAATAAACAATAAAAAACTTGGCTGTCATCGTCTGATCTCGTAAATCCGCGGAACGATCGTAATATAATAGTGAGGAGAGGCAATAAAAACATATTTCGTTCTCCGCCCTCAGCAACGGATGGATACTTACGCGCTTGGATGTCTGCACCAACACAGAATCTAGAACAACTAGGATACGGTACGTGAGCTTCACAAAATCGCAGAAAAGCACATTGAAGCCGCTTCTAACATGTAATTATGAAGTTATATAGGAGTTATACATTCACCAGTGATTACCATACATATGAATTAATGGTGAGGGTATGGTAAAGAAGTATACGGGAAAAAGCTGACGTGAACATTTAATATTCTGGTTTGGTTTTGGTAAAAGTACGTAATTATAAAATCATTACATTTAAACAAATTTAAATGTGCTTTTCTGTTAAAGTTGCAGATGAGTCCTGAGAGACTTGGTGAATAAAAATTTTGTTCCAACTAAAATATATTTTAGTATTATATTATGGGGAGAATTTGCATTTCACTTTATTATTTTATCCTTTGGACAGTGAATAACCGGATTCCGGTTGCAACAAGATATGCGTAAAAGCATTTTCATATTTATCTATCTTTTAAACCTTCTCTGGACTTCCCCAAATAATTCAAGACCAAAATTAGCCAAATCGATCAAGCCATTCTCGAGTTTTAGCGAGACTAACGAACAGCAATTCATTTTTATATATATAGATTTATTCTAGATTTATCGATTACCATACGGTAGCTTATCTAAAAAATCACTAATGAATGTTTTCATAAAAACAGACGCAATAGAAGTGATTTACGTGCATGTTTGTTGGTGCTCGCCCTTGTAAAGGCTGTTGTGTGAACGGGTTGCTCATGTTATTTCATAAAAATGAATATCTCTGTAGGAGCACCGTGAGACTTGCGCCGAATTTGTTGCCAGACTTTCGTATATTTATCATCGGTAATATTATTGTAAAACGGTAAAAAAGGTATTCCGCGCAGGCCAAATGTTAGGACCTCTTACTAGTGGTGGTAGGACCTGTTATGAGTCCGCACGGGTAGGTACCACCACCCCGCCTATTTCTGCCGTGAAGCAGTAATGCGTTTCGGTTTGAAGGGTGGGGCAGCCGTTGTAACTATACTGAGACCTTAGAACTCATGTTTCAAGGTGAGTGGCAGCATTTACGTTGTAGATGTCTATGGGTTCACGTAACCACTTAACACCTGTTGGACCGTGAGCTCGTCCATCCATCTGAGCACCAAATATATATATATCTCTCTCTCAATTATATTGTAACATAATATTATTGTATTGTATTGTAATATAATATTATTATTACCATAATTGTTGATTCCAAAACCACTTCACTACTTCTAACTAAAAACCTCTAACTTTTCGAACAACATTTAAATCTTCTGTCGGAGACATGCAGTTAGATAACAATGCATAGATTCCTTTACATCACATTAATAGATTGATTTGGGTATCGGATAAGATTAACTCAAGTGTTTTAGTCGAGACTGTCTGCCTCATGTCTCAAGATGGACAGCAGCGATCTGCGGGCTCCAGTAGCTGCCTAACATTACGTGTGCCAATCTCATTTGCACATGTTACAATGACAAGCATTGCTCATGTATTAAAGATGCTCGTTGCGTAGTGGTGGCTCCACTGCGTCTCACACACACACACACACACACACACACTCACAGGGTCGAGACAAGTGACATTATGTTTTCAGTTTTACTGAAAATCATGAAGCCAGAAGAACGTTAACCCTTTGAGGTCCGGAGTCCACACGTATTGAACATATAATTTAGTCTTACATTACTCTTAAGACCGCAAAGGTTAATGTTCCGGTCATAATGGGCAGTTAGTATAATCAGACGACAAGTGTGTGCGGCCCTTGGCTTGTTGCCCATCATATTTATAGTAGGAATGATTAATGTGGGGCTAGCTCTCTACCGACTTAAGAAACCCTTACTACTGGTCTTCTCGGTGGCGAGATATAATGATGGACTCTCATTATATCGAGTAGATACCACAAGATCGCCTACTTTCAAAGATGGGTGGGTTATCCACGCTGTGGTCCTTTAGGGGCTTCAGTGACAACTTAACATAGGGCTGGCTATAAGCACCGTCAGTCTAGTCTACAGTGGACAACTCAAACTTCACTTGTACATATGGGCGGTTGCCTGTTAACTCTATTGTCATAGTTAATGACATGGATAAAGGTTTAATTCATACAGACAGGTTTTATCGTTAGCACAAGCTGATCGTTACAATCACAACATATTGTATTTCCATAGATGTTGTTGATGATGTAAATAATTAAATAAACTGAACTCACCTTGACTAACTCTCTTTCGATCTGCAAAGCTCTCTGCAAGATAGGTCCACGGACCGCATACTGGATATTCAGTAAATTCTGATTAAGGTTCTCCTCAGTTAAACACTTTTCTAACTTCATTTTAAAATATTAATTATAAAAAAAAAAACAGTGTGTAATTATTTTATTTTTAGAAAAATAATTTATTAAGTACGGTGATGCGTTTGAAAGGCCCACCGGAGGGGAATGCGTAAACGCAGTGATATCGGCTTTAAACTCTTCTCAGTTTATAAGCAAGTGGTCTACAAGCTAGTGGCGGGTGACGCAATGGAAACGCAGTACGTTGGCACCAGCGGACGCCACGCGATCGAGCGAGGACGAGTCGTGAACACAGGTTAGCCCCCTTGAAGGGGTCAACTTTGAAAATAAACGCATGCACCGCAGAGTCCAGTTTTCTTAAGTCCAGTGGTGGATTCACACTAGGGGCAGTCGGGGTTAGTGCCCAGGGCGACAAATTTTTTATGACGGCAAAATTTTGAAAGTAAACATTTTTTTTTTAGTCGTGTCAAGATTTCTCAATATAATTAATTAATAATTTTCTTTTTAATTGATAATTCAAGAGATTCAATTCATCCATTATTTGTGAATTATAATTTTGGCACCTTTGATAAAAATTAATAAACAAAATTATTTAATTGATAATCGATTTTTCTATTTCCTGTAATTAAAGAACTTTAAATATTATTATTTTATGTAATATAATTATGAGTCACGCTTAGTGCAAAATTTATAATTGTTAGAAAATAAAACAAATATTTATTTATGTTTTTGGAATATATGACATATGATAAAGTTTCCGCAATAAATTAATTATAGTTTATTTTGAAAAATAAAATATGCAAACTATAAATTTAGGTAAAATTCCAGTATTGGGGCGGATTTTTTTCCGGTGCCCACGAGTGGCATTAAGTTTAAATCCGGCCCTGCTTAAATCATACGCCACGAATGATGAACTAGCAACGTCTCGAATGCATTCGCGAGGTAGGTGCCGTCCCAACCCGAGCACTCCTGACACGACCATCCTTAGTCAGACAAGTAAGACGCCACCGATCCTTATCAAAATATTACGCAGGGATCCCAATCCTTCGGCCGATACGGACGCTTAAATCATCTGTTTCTGTTCGTTGCGGCTACGTCTCAAGAGGCTTCGACCTCATGCCTCAAAGTCGATCCCGTAGTGATGTGAACTGGCTCCGAATGAATGACATTTGTGCCGTTAGCTCGTCATCTGCGAATATAAAGCAAAATATGTTCCCAAAGAATATTCTCTTTGTGCCTTTTCAGTTGGTATCACAGGTGTTACTGAAATGTGATTGATACTGATCATAATGATAATCGTGACACAAGTTGGTGCGCTTATGATGTGGCATCTTGTTAACTGCGGTCGCCCCTCCTGCTTCTACAAGACACTGTCCCGAGTGAGAGTCGGATGCTCAGCCTCGAAAGTGCAGGAGAGTTCAATGAGTCGCTTGTGTGAGTGGAGTCCACATAGTTTCGGCACACAGCGCGATCCTTGACTCAATAAAATAGGGTCTAGAAGTTTCATACATTTTCACAGAAATCCATGAACTAATGTGATAAAATTCTCAACTCAAATTACTTGAATTGTAATAACATTTGCTGTTATTTTATTTATATACTAGCCGTACTGGCCCGCTTCACTGGGGCCTTAAAATTAACTTTATTATTTATTGTCATTATTATTATGGAGTCCAACACTCATATAAATATTAGCCTATCCATTAAGTACATGTATTTTCTACATGGATACCAAGTTTCAAGTCAATCGGATGCATGGTTCAGTAGTTATAACGGAACATCCGTAAAAACCATCGTAGATTTATATATTAACATAGATTTAGCACGCCAAGATCACTATCGATCGAAACAATTTTAATATATTAGTTACTGTTGTCCGAACAAACTAAATCGATGGCGTTACACTCCCCTCAAACCTACCATCGCACCGCCCGCCACCGGAGTAGAGTTCATCCATACTACCTGGAGCCACTGCGTTCATCTACAGTGCGTTTCCAGAGGTCTTTTTTGCCACGTACCATCCGGCTATGGAATGAGCTCCCCTCCACGGTGTTTCCCGAGCGCTATGACATGTCCTTCTTCAAACGAGGCTTGTGGAGACTATTAAGCGGTAGGCAGCGGCTCGGCTCTGCTCCTGGCATTGCTGAAGTCCATGGGCGATGGTAACCACTTACAATCAGGTGGGCCGTACGCTCGTCTGCCTACAAAGGCAATAAAAAATAAAAAAAATTAAACAATTGTTCTCTTAAAAACAATTTGGAAATAGAAACAGTAAAATAACATTTCACAATATTGAACGTTCCTATATTGAGAAAATGTTATTAGTTTCATCATCACTATGGTTTGTACTGATTATTGTTAATGTTAGAGCAATATTATACAAATGTTTTTTTTATGTTGTCAAATATTTGTATGCGCAAATTTTATGAAGACAATTTAACTTTTATTTGGGGCTCGCGGGGCTTGTGGGGCTGGTCCACCACTGCGAACCGCGGGCCCAAGGATGTTTTCAGGACCTTAACCACTAAACGACTCCACCTTGCATCTCTCACCCGGCGTCCGATCTCCACCCAGGGTCAGAACACGGGCAGAGTAGAGGGGTTCCCGCGGTACGGCGGTTTTAAAGTAGTCGTGGCCTAAAGGATAAAATCTCGCCGGAAGGTACAAATTTTTCCAATTAAATACGTAGATACTTAACAAAATTGTTCACTTGACTTCCACGGTGAAGGAATAACATCGTGTACCTAATAAAAATCAAACGCGTAAAATTATAATTTGCGTAATTACTGGTGGTAGGACCTCTTGTCAGTCCGCACGGGTAGGTACCACCGCCCTGCCTATTTCTGCCGTGAAGCAGTAATGCGTTTCGGTTAGAAGGGTGGGGCAGCCATTGTAACTATACTTGAGACCTTAGAACTTATATCTCAAGGTGGGTGGCGTATTTACGTTGTAGATGTCTATGGGCTCCAGCAACCACTTAACACCAGGTGAGCTGTGAGCTCGTCCATCCATCTTAGCAATTAAGAAAAAAAAAGGGCGCCGAAATGGCGGTGCCGCGGCGGTCTGGCCGTCTCGGACGGCTGGCTGTCTGAAGCTCGCCTAGACGGCGCCGCAAATTGGTACCCTCAGGACACTCTGCTTGGCCGAAACCAGCGTGGGTGTTCTTCCGTGTTGTTGTTCATTCGCAAGGGATGAAGAGCGGCTTGCGCGTCGAAGTGATTCCCGACATAATGTTCGCAAAATACGGAAATCATATTTTAGTTTCATATTTCAACACAACTTATATATCTGACGAAGCATGTTGCGGATAATAACATGTACTTTTAGGTTAGGAATATTATGTTCTTTTTTTTAAATAATAAACGATTAATTACAACTCCACTACATACCATAATGTGTAATCGATTATTCAGGACTAAGAATTGCAGATTATTATTATATTATATTATATTATTATTATATATTACAGATAAGTTTTACAGACAAAGTTGTTAAAACTTATAAGCACTAGACTAGGTAATTGTTTACTACAACTAGGGTGCTACAACTCATTTTAACATCTACGATTCTTTGAAATGTCGGACTAAGCCGGACTCCCAAAAATCAAAGAATATACTGATTAATTGTAAAATTAAACTGAAGTCGTCGCGGCCTAGTTTAAGATGCCCGGTGTACTCAACTCTAGCGATACGATTGTGACGGTCTTATTATACCGCAGGAGTCTATGTACAATATTTTCTAAATAAATATGTATTTAACACAAGTTCACGAATCTAATTTGCGTGGTTGCTGATGGTAGGGGGTTTAGTGAGCCCACATGGGAAGGTTCCATCGCCCTGCCTATTGTTACATCGTAGTTGTAATGGGGTCCCGTTTGAAGGATGGGACAATCGTAGCATACCTATAGAACTGAGTCTTAGAACGCACGTCTCAAGGTTGTGTGCGTGTGCGTCTTGAGTGTTGGCATTTGCCATGTTGTTGTATATGGCCTCGGTAACCACTAAACATCAAGTGGACAGTGATATCTTTCACCCGTCTAGGCCAAATTCAATAATTAAACAACTTTTACGATTTAATTTCGCCTTTTTTACTGTCATTATGTTACTTCCAATGGTTCTAATAATTTACAGACTTTGTCGTCACGGCTGACTGAGCTTAAATAAGTATGAACATACGTCAACATTTGAAATTTTTTTAACGACTGTTAAATTTTCTATTCAACTCTTTCATAGTATCATCGTTTCTTTTCACACAGAAAGAATTAACAGTGTTTTGATGTCTGGCAGTTTGTTGAACATTTTATCTTCATTATAGGAGGATCCCATTTCTCTATCAAAATTAGGATATTTTGTTGTTTCAATGACCTTGCGCACCTTACGTGGTTTTTCTCTAGGATTTATGTGAAGTGCTTAATCATTTTGGAAACAAATCGAGTCTAAAGTTTCTATTCACGCATTAATCATTACCAAAGATTACACTGGTATATATTTATATATTTAGTTAGATATAATAATAATCACGTATCTAAATAAAGAGGTAATTTTTGAATATGTATATTATATTGACAATAAATTGAAACACTCTTTTTTTTTATTGCCCTTGTAGGCAGACTAGTATACGGTCCACCTGATGGTGAGTGGTTACCGTCGCCAATGGGCTTCAGCAATGCCAGAAGCAGAGCCAAGCCGCTGCCTAAACTCTTTCAACAACTTCACATCTATAACAGCCTTGCAACCTCTGACACCGTTGCTTACTTTGTTGAGGCAGCCAGGTACCTAGGAGGGTGTAGTCAATCAATCAACAGCACCAGAGTTTACAAGCAAGATTGCTAAGTTACAAGATTGCTAAGGAGAATTTTGTTATTTGGATCTGGGAAATACCCTGATGTTCATTCGAGTACACATCTAAAAATACATGAGCTGTCACAAATATTACTTCCATACTAAGGAAAGTACCGACACTAGCGATAGGATCGCTGTACGCGTATCAATCTGAGATAACGTTCCACGCCCTTACTTAAACAGTTCTCAGAATCCGTCGGGGTGTGTGTGACGCGGGTCGGCTCAGGTAAATACCAAAATCTGCACTTTTCCGTCGTGACACAATTACATGCAGTAAGTTGCAAGGTATGACAATCGTTATCTCTCAAAACGGGCACACATGTTGTCAGTCGCGCTTAGCAACAGGCGGGCATTCGGCTCGCCACACACGATCTTACATTACCAGTATAACGGACTATTTTGATGAAAAGACATGTATGTACACATAAATATGTAATTCTTGGATCATTGTTACGAGCAGAATCCTAGCACTTTATCCGATTTTTTTTATATTGCTTCGCTGGGTGGACGATCTCACGGCCCACCTGTTGTTTAGTGGTTCCCGAAGCTTATATATATCTACAACGTAAATGCCGCCATCCATCTTGAGACATGAGTAAGTCTCAATTTCAACAGTACAGCGGTTGCCCCACCCTTCAAACCGAAACACATTACTGCGTCACGGCAGAAATAGACGGGGTCGTGGTACCTACCCGTGCGGAATCACAAGAGGTCCTACCACCAGTAAAACCGAATAATTTGAGTCTCTGAAATGTGCAGTCGTCATACGGCTGATTGGTGACTTACACGTCCTTACGGATCCATCAGATCCAATAACCTTTGCATTAGACGCCTTCAGCTCTAACACTAGGAGCAGGCTTAGGGACCTCGGTAACCGTACTCGTCGAACTCGACAAAGAGTTCGCCCTAACCCATGAATCAGCTCGCTGAGTTTCTCACCGGATCTTCTCAGTGGGTCGCGATTCCGATCCGGTAGTAGATTCATTCGCGAAGCAGCTACTCTTGAGCTGTTAGGTCTCCTTCGGAGGCGCTCGGATAGCTGTTAGCAAATCCCACCCCTCTTGGCTGAGCCTATGCTCGCCCACCTATCCTGGTGAAACTGGAAAGGCCTCCGGGCCACCAGTAATCCTTCAATCATAAAAAAAAAAAAGTTGGTGACTAGTCCGTCACAAATACCTAATGTTGTTATAAGTATGTTGATAAAGACAACATGTACATAATTTGCTCTACTTAAAACTTAACTGAAGTGCTATCGATAACACAAGTTAATTACCTTTAATAATTAATATTGCACGTGTTCGTTTGCCTGCACCGTCACGTGCCGGGGAGTTCCCCAACCAATCCTTGGAATTTTGATGATTAATTTTATGTGTCAGAGGTCGATATTATCAAACTCGTCGCTTCCTCAATCATAAAGGGATCTTTAAAGGCGAGATAAAGAACAATGGCAGCTTTCTATACAACATTTTACCTGATATCTATTTGAGGCGTCTTGAAATAAAAAAAATGCTAAAATTATAGGAATAACATAGCTTAAGCTTAATCAGAAATATTTTTGTTATTAGAAAGTCACAAAAAAAAGATATTAAAGTTTATACTTTATGATTTGAGGTTATCTATCAATAATAGATGTCTTTGATTTTTGTAGGCACGGACTATAATAAATTGACATCTCTGAAACCGAACAATAAAATGAGGCCGTCAGCGCAAAAGTGGCCTAAGTTTACCATAGTCAGTATAGAGATAATGAGGTTCGAAGTTACCTTTACAATAGTTTGTAGGTTAAAAAATACGCGGTAACGTTTACGCAGTCATCTGTGTTATCTATGGATGAAACTAGGGATAGGCCGATTTTGCATCAAAACTTATTATGTTTTAAATAAATTGCATTACATGAGCACGAATATGAATTGTGGGTTACCCATTAGGCCACTGCGCTGACGGCCTCAAATGTGAATATCCCAAATTAATCGTTTTTTTTTTAATTTCATGCCATGACATGTCCTTCTTCAAACGAGGCTTTTGGAGAGTATTAAGCGGTGAGCAACGGCTTGGCTCTGCCCCTGGCATTGCTGAAGTCTATGGGCGACAGTAGCCACTCAAAATCAGTTGGGCCGTATGCTCGTCTGCCTACAAGGGCAACAAAAAATATAAAAACCCTTAGCGCCTCGCGAGCACCTTTACTGTTTGTTAGGTGGGTGCGCGGGGGGCGGGGCGGGGCGGGGGTCGACCAAAAGCAGTAAGTGGATACAACAAAACAACTACAGAAAAACACAAGACACTATATTTTGTTTCATTTTATTAACAACGTGCTCAAATAAACAAATTTAGTTTTATTTTAAAACATCTTTCCTAACAGGAATGTTACCAGATTAATATCATACTTAATACAATTATTATTTTAATAAAGCAGTGTTTCACTGATTCAAGTAACAAGTTACTTTAGTTTAACGAAGGCAGATCAAAACAATAAATATCTATAAATTAATTAAAAAATATATAATTCATCTCGGAACAATACAATTTGATGCGAGCGACTCAGTCGCATCCCGAACTTAAGAAAATTCAGAAACCCTAAAAAAGCCTATTAAATAATAAATTACTATCTCTACGAATTGATTACACTGGGGGATTCAATGTTACAATATGTCATATTTGCTATGATTAATTCTTTTTTAAAGTGAAACTTTTTATTACATCGTCTCAAACTTTTTTATTACATCGTCTCAAAAAATTTCGTCTGTGTGTTGCATGTCGCGTGACGGTCGGCCGCGGAGTAGGGACAAAGTGAAAGGCGTTCGTCAGAGCAGCCAAAGCCAATATGGCGGCGCCTATAGTTCGCAGCAACTGACCGTGTAGTGTATAGACTATTGCTCATTTGTGCCAGTGCTCCACGCTATTTTGTTTGTTTTGTCAGTGTTTAATGTAAATGTTGTTTGTCAGAGTTAAATGTCTATAATGTGAAAAAAGTTTCACTTTTACCGTCGTTTTTTAATATTCAAATACTATTTAAATATGAATACAATTTAATACATTACGGATAACACAACTGAAACAATGTGTAGTATTATTATTTGAATATCCCGACGTGACCAAAACATGTCGTTTTATTTCTTTTCTATAAATTGTTGAATGTGCGGTGGCGCCCGCACCAACAGAAATGTACAATTCTCCACGAGAGTGTTTAAAATCATAATTACGAATATTGTCTCATTAGTAAGTTAATAAATATTATAAAACGACACGCGGCGTTATGTTTGAAGCAAGCGGCTCTGTGTGGCGCCACGCGGCCCCGAGGGGGCGGGCGCGGGGGCGGACCGGGGGGGGAGCTCCGGGCGGTCCCCAGGGGAGACGGTCCCCGAGGGGGCGGGCGCGCGGCCCCACAGGCTAACTTTGTAAATGTGATTAGTACGATTTGGGGTTTAGTTAATATCTACTATTGCACGACAGCCGCCGCTACAATCTTTTTTATTGCTTTGCTGATAGGATGAGCTCACAGTCCACCTGGTGTTAAGTGGTTACTGGAGCCCATATATATCTACAACGTAAATGCGCCATCCACCTTGAGATACAAGTTCTAAGGTCTCAGTATAGTTACGACAGTTTAGATTTTGAAGCTTGTGCTCCCAGGTAGGTGCCGTAAGCGGATAAAGCGACGGCGGCAGAGGGGCGGGGGGCGTCGACAGACTAGCCCGAGTACTCGGCTGTGAACTTCTGGTGGAACTTCTTGAAGATGTCCAGCATCTCTCGCAGCAGTTCCGGCTGCGGCAGGATGGTGGTCCTGAAGTGGTAGGTGCCCGGCCGCTGCCCGAACCCGCTGCCCGGCACTATGCAGATACCTGGCCGCAGACACGATACACCAAAATACTTTTGATTATTCTAATGTCGTATTGGAACGAAGTTCCTTATGGGACGATGCGGAGGGGTACCCTAACCGGAAAAAAACGTCCGTAACGTAAGATTTTTATTAGTAATGCACACAGTGTACGACTTAACTTTGTAATAACGTACAAAAAAACATATTTTTTTATCATTAATTGACCACGATCTCAGAGCGTTCGTTTGCGCAATACACTAACTCTTATGCAAGCAACCGTGTATGAAGCTTACCACAATAAGTTCGCACGTTACCGAATGACCGTGGGTTGTTGTGAAACCTCCAGTTTTATTTTCTTTATACCTCGAATAGAACTTAAAATTAATATTTTTATAATAAGAAACTTCGTTCCTATCCGGTGTCCCACGATACCACACATCTTTTATTTATTTATTTATAACTAATCTACTCTGGATTGCGTTCGACCTTGACACGGCCCAGGTCGTTCGCCGTTCCTGTACTCCTTTAGGACCTCAAGGCCGCGCCGAGCTCCCAGAGCTTAAATTGTGCCCCACTGTGATATGGCCGCATTCGGAAATACATGTCGTTTAAGCAATCTGGTAATTCCAGAACCTTCAACGTAAATCTCAGGGACTTTTTGGCGGGAACGTGAGGAGTGAAGTTGTGTGATTGGTTTTATTTTGTCTATTTAGTGTTTCTTCAGGTTTAAATGTGTAATAACGGTGGTTTATTAACTGTTTAATATCTGTGAAAGTGCACAAATGTGGGAAAATGAAACAAAGCCGCTGGACGTAACTTCTTGGGATCCTCCAACACAGTCCACTGAAAAAGTCTCACTAAATGACCACCATTCTACTGAGATTGTATTTCATCCCATATTATCTCATCTCATTTCATTGCATGTTTCATAATAACTTCATTTCATAATATCATTTTTCATATAAAAAAGTTTTCATTAAAATTAAAATAAGACTTGACCTAAAGGTCTTAGTTACCAGGTCATAAAATCCCTTAAAACTATAAACGTAAATCTCAGATGTGAAGCTCCCCGGTCCGCTCACTCACCGGTTTCCTCGAGCAGCCTGAAGGCGTAGAAGGTGTCGGGGGGGATGCCGGCGGCGGCGGCGGCGGCCACGGCGCGGGGGGGCAGCTCGAAGCGCGGGAAGGCATACATTGCGCCCTGCGGACCAGCAATGTACAGTGTTCAACTTTTTTTTTCCTACCTAAGCTGATAGATAGCCTTGAAAGGCTCTTTCAGCGTAACCTTAACTAGTAGGTAAGCTCACGGGGCTCAAATCGGAGTGATGCTAACACTGACCCTAGCAAGAGCCGTGCTGCGCAGAATCTACCACCGGATCGGAAACGCGACCCACTGAGAAGATCCGGCGAGAAATTCAGTGGGCTGTGTCTATGGGTTAATTCACTCGTCGAGTCCTTCGTCGCAAGCGACGGGTTCGACGAGGACGGTGACCGGTGCTTGTGGTACCTAAAAGCACCGTTAATGGATCGGGAGGATCCGTAATGACGTGGTTCAACACAATCGAATGTTGTGAAACGAGTTATCATAATTTATAAATGATGTCGGTATTTTTCATATTTTTTTAATGTGTAATAGGCGAACGAGTTTACAGCTCACCTAGTGCTAGGCGGTCACCAGAGCTCATAGAAATTAACAATATAAACCCCGCCACCCACCCACAGATATGAGTTCCCACCCCCGGGGCTCCGTACCTGCACAACGTTACACTTGAATCCCTGCATCTGGTTGAAGGCGTCCACTATCATCTCGGCGCGTTTCTTCAGCGAGTCTAGCACGTCCGTCTTCTCCTTGATGTACAGCTCGTAGGAGGGCTCGCCGGGCTGCGGAGGCCGCGCCTGTGTCCGCGCACACACCGCGTTGCATTAGGGCGGCCGCAGATATACAATTTCAGATTGGCCGACTATCGAGCAACTAAATCGTGGGCGTTTACATAATTGGCTACCGGCCGCGGATCTTTACTGACTTTTTGGAGTTTACTCCTTTAGAATCGATTTACATATATAGGCCCGGGGTATGAAAATTATGGGGACCAAAATCGTACTAGCATGTCACACGAAATGCGTTATGCGCCTGATTGGCTCCTGATTGCGTGATGCGTGCGCGCGCCAATCAGGAGCCAACGCGCGGCCGCGTTATCGCAGGTGACGCCGGGCTGCTGCGCCGGCAGTCCGCCACAAAGCCTCGTACTGATCGCGCGTTTCTCTCATTATTGTATTTTCATATATTTGTTAGTCGTTTGTTTTGTGTCTCGTTAATTTGTTAATAATCTGTAGTGTATCGTGTTGTCGTAATATAGAACTATTTCTCGTATTGTTTCGTTTAATTTTTTATATCCAGTAAACTCCAGTCGTGCGTCGGAGCGGACACACACACTTTTTTTTTAAAGGTATTTTATGACCTGGTAACTAAGACCTTTAAGTCATGTCTTATTTTAATCTATATTTTATATTTTTATGAAAAATGATATGGAGTAAAATGAAATGAAATGAAATGAAGATGATTAATTTGAAACATTAATCAACTGGGATGAATTTAAATGAAATGAGATGACCTTTACTGACTTAGTTGGTGACAGTGTTGCTATCGCGGTGACGTCTGCGGTAAAATGCGTGAAAAGGAACGAAGACGAAAATAGAAGATAATATTTTGGGTGCATCCTATATTAAGTGATAGATTAGAACATGGCCAACATCATACGTTACATTCTAAACTGAGATGTTACTCAGATAAGATTTTTTCATACTACAGAATGAGTATTTCTTTTTTTTATTAGCTTTCATATGTTATTGGACCAGCAAAAAAAGCCACTGGCAAAGGTGGGAATCTCGCGCTCGCGTGTGGCTCGATTGCATTTTTCCGTGCGATTGACCAATTTGCATAGTCCGCGGGTTTACACACGGACTTCGTGCTAATAACCGAATTGGCCGATAGTTGGTCAACTTTTTAATCGTCCTTTAATCGGAAGGTCCTTTAATCGGAAGGGCATTTCGATTCTGATTACAGACAATTTAGTTGAATAAGATGTGCGTGCTATCATAAGTTTCTATGTCTATTATTACTACACTCTGCGATTTAGTCGGCCAACTTGCAATTGTATACGTGCGATCACCCTTAACAACAGTAATGTTTCTTTATATTCTTCCACCGAGCGGATGATATTGGTCGGTAGACCAACGGTAGTATTTTTTATTTTTTTTATTGCTCATATGTGTGGACGAGCTCACAGCCCACCTGAAGTGGTTACTGGAGCCCATAGAAATCTACAACGTAAATGCGCCACCCACCTTGAGATATAAGTTCTAAACTCTCAGTATAGTTACAGTACAGTATCGAGTGTCGACTGACCACGCAGTCGATGGCGGCCTGTCCCAGCACGTTGGGGCACAGCATGGCGCTGATGCACTTGTAGAGCTGCGCCCGCACGGCCGCGTTCACGCCGCGCAGCTCCGCCCAGCCGCCGCGCGCGCCGCACTCGCCCATGTACCCCTTGCTGACCGACATGAACGACGCCAGCTCCACGTCCTTGTAGTCGTCGCCAAGCTCCACCAGCACCTGCGCAACAACCGGCTCCGTTAGGGCAACTGGACGGCGGGGGGACAGAAGCGGGGGGGTTGGGGAGGGGGGGGAACCTTCTTAAACGAGTGGAACTTGCTCCCGGCGGCGTACACGTTGTCCTGGTACACCTCGTCCGCGAACAAGAACAGACCGTGCTTCTTCGCGAACTTTATGATCGACTCGATGTTGTCTCGGGTCAGCACCTGCGGCAACGAAATTCAATATTATCGGAAATCGGATGGCGCAGTAGTTAGGCGGCCGTGAATGCTGGACCGCAAGTCGTGGGTTCGATTCACACTTTTTAAGGCAGCATTTGTATGAAGAGCATATTAATTTGCTCAATATCTAGTAGTTGGACTTTAAACATTAATACATTATAATAATGTCTCTTTCGCATGGTATGTATACCTATTAGTTCTTACTAGTGGTCTCCCGGTAGTCGAAATTCGACTATAATTAATTGAAATTATAACTTTGTACACTATCATGTTTCTATTGTCAAAGACTATTATTATACTTCTATAATCACAGATTTCCAAGACTACACTTTAGACTATAAAGACAAACAGTATTGAACCTATTCTCAATTTGACCACAGACTTTATGCAATAAGAAGTTTGACAGTAAGCAAATAGTATGCCATATGCATGCATGTGTCAAATACATAGTAGTGTGTGTAATGTTGTTTTTATTGATTTAATGTATTTTTATGCATAATTTAAAAAAATATTAAGTTTCAGCACTCCTTCTCTATATTCTCTATAAATGTGGGAAATTTCATACTCCTCCGTCCGCGCAATTTTCGTAAAAAGGGGTACAAAGTTTTTGCTTCACGTATTATTAATATATAGATTACGCGTGACTTCACTAAGAGCGCTGACCTGTCCTGTCGGGTTCCCGGGGTTGATGACGACCAGGGCCCTGACGTTGCAAGTGGCGCTGGCCTCGGCGAGGGACCTCTCCAGCTCGCGGAGGTCCAGCCCCCAGTGGTGCTCCTCGTCGAGGTAGTAGCCGACCTGCGCCAGGCCGTACTCGGCCAGCGAGGCCGAGTACAGCGGGTACTGCGGGATGGGGATCATCACTCCTGCAGCGACACCAAGTGCGCGTCAACTCTCCGCCAGCGGGACACGCGTTATTACATATTTTAAAGTTATAGATATTTCGGCCACGAAACAAATTATTTATTCCGGTTTGATGAATAAAAGAACAATTGTGGTAATGTAATTCAAGGCTTGATTACGTTTTGAAGACCATTTTTCGGGTAACCATTCAATGTTGGGTGGGCTCGGCGGCATTGGGGGCTCGTTTATCCAAACCAACTAAATAATGCACACGAAAAATGTATTTTTAAAAGTTCAAAATTATGACACAAGCAATGTGACACGGCACAGTCCCGGGAGCGACGTCCGCGTGTAGTGCCGGGGGGCGACCCCCCTCGCCCTACGAGACACAGCGAGCTTGTGTGGGCTGGCGGCGCGGCGCTTTTTTTTTTTGCCTACTTAAGCTGATAATAGCCTTGAGAAGCTTTTTCAGCGTAACTTTACCTAGTAGGTGAGCTCACGGGGCTCAAACCTGACGACGTCGTCAAGAGCCGTGCTTGGCAGAATCTACCACCGGATCGGAAACGCGACCCACTGAGAAGATGCGGCGAGAAACTCAGTGGGCTGTGGGTTAATTTACTCGTAGAGCCCTTCGTCGCAAGCGACGGGTTCGACGAGAACGATGACCGTTGCTCGAGGTACCTAATAGCACCGTTAGTGGATCGGGAGGATCCGAAATGACGTCAGCGCGGCGCCCGGGTCTATATCGTATCTCGCACGAATTTATAATCAATGAGATCGATCGTAAAGGAACCTGAAGTTTTCCCTCCCAGATCGTTGCAGAACAGCTGCAGGCAGTTCTTGATGGCGGTGGAGGCCCCGGAGGAGAGGAAGATGTCCTCCCAGTGCGCAGGGTGTCCGTCCCGGCGCTGGATGTAGTCGGCCACGCGGCGCCGCACCAGCTCGATGCCGTGCGACGCCGTGTACGAGCCCACGGAGCCGCCCCTGGACACATCCCGCACTCAACTGTTACCGTGTCTATTCATATTTTAAAACTTTTGAATTAGTTTTCGTTCTGTACATTCGGCATCGCGTATATGTATGTTTTTTTGGAATGAAGTTCCTTATGGGACGATGCAGAGGGGTACCCTAACCGGGAAAAAAGGTCCGTAACGTAAGATTTTTATTAGTAATGCACACAGTGTACGACTTAACTTTGTAATAACGTACAAAAAATAACAATTTTTTTATAAATCCTTGTGAATAAAATATTCTGTTAAGATTAGTAGATTAATGTAGTAAACAACAATGGCCGACGAGTAACCAAAGACAATGTATAGTGTTGGGAAATCATAGAATGACCAAATGAACGGCTAGGATATCTGTCAATATATGAATCTAGAAATATATGGTTTCAGAAAATATATGGTTTTTAAATCGGATATCCGAAATCAATATATGGTCTCGATTTGATACGCGACAAAAGCGTTATTACCCACTCCTAATAAGATGTATGATGTTCAAATAGTCAAAATAATGTGAAAACTGATTTGACGGATTCGATAAATTAATATCTGGGGGTTATTAATTTTCTTAGATATCAATATTTTGTAACGTATTTTTTTTAAATAATTTCTGTTGATAAAAGTAAAAATGTTCGCTATAAAATTATTATAAAAATAATAATGAGCTTTTGGTTGTTTGCAATATTATTTAGTTTACTTTTAAAAAGTTGAATACATTCACACAAAGTACATTTCAATAGTTCATTTACTTAGTGTTATTACGGTGTGGCATTCCAAAAATACAGTTAAAAGGTTTTATAATATACACTAGTTAGAAAGTTGAACTGGTTATGAAAAGTTCATTTCTTTCATTTTCTAGAATGACTCATTCACCTACGGTACATCCCTATGATTCATAAAGATGATAGATTTACGAGATATCAAATTGCCATGTCGCTGTTTAGTCTGTGGCCTCAATTTTTAGAAATTTAGGTAAATATAACTAGTGGTAGGACCTCTTGTAAGTCCGCGCGGGTAGGTACCACCACCCTGCCTCTTTCTGCCGTGAAGCAGTAATGCGTTTCGGTTTGAAGGGTGGGGCAGCCGTTGTATCTATAGTGATATCTTAGAACTTATATCTCAAGGTGGGTGGCGCATTTACGTTGCAGATGTACTATGGGCTCCAGTGACCACTAAAGGTACTCCCACTACCACTATCCTATATTACATCATTTTTTCAGGTTCAGATTTGTATAAAAGAATATTCGCTAGTCATTACATAGTTCCTTCGAAACTCACCCACAAGCATCCAAAATCTCTCGGGCTCTCTGTTTCACATCCTCTGGAAAGATTCCCTTGTCGATGAGGTCGGGGAGGGCCAGGCACGCCATCACCTGAAATACAGTTAATGTCATATTAGTGTCCATTCAGGTCACATGTTCTGCCCGATCATATTTCAAACAACAAGTTGTTTTTTTTATGATTGACGTATTACTGGTGGCTCTAGAGCTTTTCCAGTTTCACCAGGTGAAGGGTCATTGTCGCTTTTCTTAAAAAGAAAAGAAAGACTAGTTGAAGGGGCTCACGGCCCACCTGGTGTTAATTGATCCTTGGAGCCCATAGATATCAACCATGTTAATGCCGTCAGCCACCTTGAGACTTGAATTCGGCAGAAATAGGCAGGGTGGTGGTATCCAACCGTACGGACTCACAGCACGTTCTACTATCAGTAATTACGCAAATTATAGTTTTTCCAGGTTTGATTACGCGATGTTATTCCTTCACCGTGAAAGTATACACATTTGTTAAGAACGTTTTTCATTAATAATAATGATAGCTGCCTGCGGATTTCGAACACCGATTCAGACGCATCGCTCGATACGAATGCACCGCGTCTTATCCTTTCCGACGACTTCCTTCATTGAGACCATGAAAAGAAGCTAAGCAGTGACAATCATTAACAGGTTTTTGGACTTTTATAACTATACCACAGCTCCTACTTCGATCAGTAGCGTCATGGACGACTATGATAATACATATTTGATTCGACGTAGCCTTGCACGAGTTCTTAACTATTAACTTCAATAAATTTATTGATCGTTTAAAGTCCAAGCAGCAATTGAATGATTATATGTAAAAAGCTATGTATAATATGATATAGTTCGTATTGTTCGTTGAGCGGAGGTTACAAGGTCAGAGTTAAAAGATATTTGATATTTAGGGTCTGAGTGTAGCTTGTCTTGTCTGCATATTTTCAAGATCTATGACGCAAAAGAAAACCAAGGCTTTTGAAAATACTTTTTTTACTGCTACGATGGGTGGAAGAGCTCACGGTCCACCTGGTGTTAAGTGGTCACCGGAGCCCATAGACATCAACCACATCGCCGCCCATCTTTAGACATGTATTATATTAATATAATTCTCAGAACAGTACAGTACAACGGTTGCCTCTCCCTTCAAACCGAAACGCATTACTGCTTCACGGCAGAAATAGACAGGGTGATAACCCACCCACTAGTAGATACTATAGCTTCTTTGTATGCAGACACAATTTACAGTTCAAAACGTATAAGCTTTATCGCTAGAGAATACCGATAAACAACACAAGCAAAAGTATTGATTTTGTAAGACGTGAGCTCTGACGTCACGTACTGACGCACGCTCTAGAGCTCATGAACTTAAGGCTTCGTCAAACAGAACGCGCACCTAGCGCTGCGTTTTAATGTCACACAAATTGACTAGATCAGCACAACGCTCCTTGACGCAATGTAACATTTACCAAATCATAGTGCCTTTCGACAGCAGTGTGAAAATTTTAAAGTATTAAGATGTTGAGTGATTCAGATTTGGCATTGTATAAGCTTGGGTATTTTTCGGGCACTATCTAGTATTTTAATACACATGAAATTTGTAAAAGGTTAAAGCCTTCGTCAAACAGAACGCGTACTTAGCGTCGCGTACTTAACGTCGCGCTCTTTTCATGTCACACAAATTGACTAGATGAGCCCAACGCTCCTTGACGCAACGCATTCGCCAAATCATAGTGCCTTTCGATAAGTGTGAAAATTTAAAAGTATTAGGAAATCGAGTGATTCAGATGTGGCATTGTATTATACAATGCCACATCTACCACTGTCTAGTATTTTAATTCAAATTTACTTGGAAGCTAAAATAAAATTTGTAAAAGATTACAACGCCTGACGTCGAAGCGTCCTAACGCCGCGACAGAGCGTTGCGTACTGCTAGCGTTGGCTGGCGCTCTGTTTGACAGTATATTACCATAGTAGTACAACACATCTCGGCGTCACAACGCGCCGACAGTTTAGCGCGCTGACGCGCGTTAAGTACGCGTTCTGTTTGACGAAGCCTTTATGTTGTTCAATTAGCGCTGGTCGCGGACATAATTCAAACTATGTTTGTTGTATCTACTCATACTTGTTTTACAGCACGCTTATTAATTTCAATTTATGATTCGCGGCCGTTTCGGAACAAAAACTATCGTGGACATTCGAAATAAATACGAGGTCATTCGTCGACATTTAATCATAACATCGAGGGGTGAAAGGCATTTGGTTTAAGCGACATTACGTTTGATACGCGATATTTATATTTGTAATTAATTAAAGTTTCGTTTTATTTGGTATTAGCATCAACAGTTCGATATATTTAATTGAACTTCAACTAAGTTTACTCCATGCAAATAGTTTTTTGCTAAGATATTTTTTCCAAATTTTTAACTTCAAGTGGCAATTTACAAAAAAGTCGCATAAACCAAATAGCCTTTCCCCCGTCGTTATGTGTTAAGTACCGTCTAATACATTAAAAGCCCGTGCTGTAGTGTTGCAGCAATCTTAAGTCGCGCTCGGGGCACGTAATATTTTCCAGAAATAAATTATAATAAAATAAAAAAATTATCCAATGTTTTTTTGTTTTGTGGACCTTTTCGCGCCCCTCTACGATTAGCGCCCGGGGCATGATACCCCTCTTTGCCCCCTCCAACCCTCGCTACGTCACTGCTGTGCTGTGTCATTTATGTTTTCACTAGCGACCCGCCCTCGCTTCGCTTCGGAAACTGTAATTTATTATTGATTTCTCCACTATTTAATGGATGTTATAATACATATAAACCTTCCTCTTTAATCACTCTATCTATTAAAAAAAACCGCATCAAAATCCGTTGCGTAGTTTTAAAGATTTAAGCATACATAGGGACAGACAGATATAGGGGCAGAGAAAGCGACTTTGTTTTATACTATGTAGTGATTATGTGTGTTTGTAGTCGTACACATAGGATTTATTTTCCAATTAAGTGGATTATTAATTACATGATCTCTAGGTTCGACATTGACTGCAGCACAGCATCGTGTGCGCACCGCCTCATTTAGATGAGCTTGCTGCGGTAACTCGTTCACAAAACAATTCAATGCACTGATAAGACTGTTCGGATTCTTATCGTAAAACGTTATCATACTGATTGCCGTTACCATGTGGTACAGAGCAGTTTGTGTTAACTTTTGGCGGGACGATCTCACACCTGCTATAAGTGATAACCGAGACATACCGGGATACACAATATAGCTTTTGCTTTTATAGCTAGACCGTAAGATTCAAGTAAATTCTTGAAAAATAATAACTGTTATGACGGTACGATTAAAGATAACATAGTACAGAAATTATCCCACTGACCTGTCTGATGAAAGTGATAGGCTTCTGTCCCATGGCATGGGCATCTCCGATATTCGCCTTGATCACTCGCTTGAAAGGTTTCTGTGCGCCCTGAAACAATTGTATCACCAATTTTATATTTTACTATATAGCTGTACCCGTCCGCTTCGCTGGGCATTTAAAATTAACATTATTATTTCTCACCCCCACAAAGATTCTCATTCATCTCATCTCATTCACTCTCATCGTCATTATTAAAGCCCCCGCAACTGGTGTAGGGAGTCCAACACTCATATAAATATTAGCCTATCCATTAAGTACATGTATTTTCTACGTGGATACCAAGTTTCAAGTCAATCGGATGCATGGTTCAGTAGTTATAACGGAACATCCGTAAAAACCACTGTAGATTTATATATTAGTATATACCTACTATATATATATATATATATATATATATATATATACTTATGTGTGTGTACCTGTAGACACAAGGTGTCCCACAATCGGGCACTTCTAACAAAGTAGATCGCTATTTTTTAACTAAATTTAATTCAGTTCCATATGAGGCGAATAAGGACTTTTTGGTCCTAGTGCCGTAATTTCAAGGGGTCAACTTGGTTCAGCTGTCCGTGGTGGTTGTTCATACACCCTACCACCAGTAAACGCATATCGACGGTCCCTGTATCCGGAGCGCTATGAGTACCGAGATCTGCCCGCCCGCATTTTTATGGCCAGGTTGGTTTAACTGATAGTTTTTTAAGCCTACGGTTTAACGAGTCTCTGTAATTCGCAGTACACCTTCAAGGTGTAAAGTACCAGAGCGGACACAGAGATATCTCTCGTCTTCCCTCATCATTTTAATTTTACTTTATTTATATATACTTTTATACCTAATCAAACAATGTGCTAATCTCTTTCAGACTGAAGAGGTACTTTCCTTATTCACTCACAGACTTACGCTAAAGCCGTAACAAATACAGTTTAAAATTTTAAATTACGTAAACACTTTACTAATTTATTGTTTTTGTTCTTAAGCTCTTAGTTTATTTATGCAGATACATACAATCTTATCTTTTACCAAATACTTTTAATTTACATAGAAAACACTGATGACGAAATAAGGCAAGGTAACCAAACAAACAAAACAGAGCTCAGTTTGCTTAGTGCGAGTTTTTTAACGCTCTCGATAGCGTAAAAGTTAGCCCAATTTTGTATGCAGTTGGAACAGCGCCCCTAGCGGCAAACGTAGGCAAACGATCCCAATCCATAAAGGCGAATTTACATTACGAAATTAGTGGCATGAAATTAATTTCGTGACATTAGTTTTACCAACAGTTTCACGTGTGATTTAATACTTTCGTAATGCATGCATTAATTTCATGCATGCAAATTAGTTTCGTGCCCTGCGCGATTTTTTGGTGAAATTAGTGTCATGCAACTAATTTCATAGTGTAGACGCGACGTGAAACTAATGTCGCGAAAGGGCCTGCGCTGTGCGGACGTGTGTATTGTTAGTTCGGACGCGCTTCAAGCGTTGAAAATGGCAAACCAACGGTGGTACAGAACAACGGTACAGAAAAAAATATAGATCTTGTTAATGAATATCAGCGACAAGGGTGTCTTTGGGACCCGAAACACCTACAGTAAAAAAATCAAAATTATCTTCACTCATTTGAAAATAGTTTTTATAACTCTCAGGATCTTCATCTGCTAATTCAGACTAACTTCATTGCACCTAAATTCCTTCTTGTTGACCATCCTCGAATCTACCAACTTTTTTTTTTCTTGCACGTCTTTTTTTAAGTTTATAGGTATATAAGCATTTCTTTAGCTACATTGAATATAGTAAATTATAGCTTTGATGCTGTTGGCGCCATGGTTACTGCGATACTGTGGATTTCGCGACACTAATTTTTTAACGAAATTACTTTCGCATATATCGAAAATACTTTCGTGAAACTGAGCTCAACATGCATGACACTAATTTCGTAATCTAACACTAAAGCCGAATTTACATTACGAAATTAGTGGCATGAAACTAATTTCGTGACATTAGTTTTACCAACAGTTTCACGTGTAATTTAATACTTTCGTAATGCATGCATTAATTTCATGCATGTAAATTAGTTTCGTGCCCTGCGCGATTTTTTGGTGAAATTAGTGTCATGCAACTAATTTCATAGTGTAAACGCGACGTGAAACTAATGTCGCGAAAGGGCCTGCGCTGTGCGGACGTGTGTATTGTTAGTTCGGACGCGCTTCGAGCGTTGAAAATGACAAACCAATGATGGAGTACAGAAAAAAATATAGATCTTATTAATGAATATCAATGACAAGGGTCCCGAAACACCTATAGTAAAAAATCAAAATTATCTTCACTCATTCGAAAATAGTTTTTATAACTCTCAGAATCTTCATCTGCTAATTCAGAGACTAACTTCATTGCACCTAAATGCCTTCTTGTTGACCATCCTCGAATCTACCAACTTTTTTTTTCTTGATAGTCTTTTTTTAAGTTTATAGGTATATAAGCATTTCTTTAGCTACATTGAATATAGCAAATTATAGCTTTGATGCTGGCGGCGCCATGGTTACTGCGATACTGTGGATTTCGCGACACTAATTTTTTAACGAAATTACTTTCGCATATATCGAAACTACTTTCGTGAAACTGAGCTCAACATGCATGACACTAATTTCGTAATGTAAACTCGGCATAAAATCCCGCATTAGTGAAATTAGTGTCATGCAACTAATTTCATAGTGTAGACGCGACGTAAATATGAGCTAACTTTTACGCTATCGAGAACGTTAAAGTTAACGTAGAGACCGTACCTTTAGAATATTTGATCACACACTGATGCTATGGCAGCTATGGGAAATTTTCCGAAACGATGAGAACTTTGACACCTGTATTCAGTGTTATAACAATCATTATTAAAGGTTCGTACGTTCCTCCCAAGTCTTCGTACACTCAAACCGGGGTACCTTTTCAAATTTATGATTACGAGGTTCATCTTACGATCAATATTAATAGACAAGCCTACGGCTCACCACATGTAAGTGATTCCGATCGCGCCCCAGTTATAAATTTAATTGATAGTTAAGAATACCTATTTTCTTTTCCGCGCATACACCTGCTCAGTGACAGTGAAGTAAAATTGTGTGAACTGCATTGCGTCACACTTTATATTTGTTTATTTAAGTTAATGTTCGTACACACGCGATCGGTCTTACATAATCACCTACGGGCAAGGAGAACTAATTCTATTCTTCTTGACAAAATATGTATATTGTTATAATGATGAATAGTAAAACTTGTGACAATACAAGCGTGTATCATTCAAATGTCAAAAACTTCTATGTGTTCGTTTAAATTTTAGAAATAAGATACTAAATAAGCCGGCGACGCTTGTACATGAGCATCGCAGTCATTACACACAATACATATATAATTATACATATGTTTAATACAACCAATCGCGTCATCGGTTAATGTTAATGAGGTTTTAGGCTAAATAATAGCACGGACGTCTAAAATATTCAAACTGAGTACGTTCCTGCAATATACATACTTATATTGTTTACATTGTCAGAGAGGCTCTTGTCTACATCAGTCATAACAGCGAATATCCCACACTTCGAAGCTCATACTTGCGACAGAAGCAGGATGGAGACACCGGGTACATTCTCTTTCAATTCACAATAAAATCAGTCAAATACTGTCTTATCTACATCCCAATTCAGACGACATTGACATTAATCACGGATCGAAGCGGTGCCAAATCTATTATTATTATTATTATTATTTACAACCAAAATTAGCGACATGGGGATTACTTAGATAAACGTTCGTTCTTTCCTGGTGTGTCGTCTTTGAGTCAACATTTTTTTGATACCTTCACGTAGTTCTTTGAGACACTCTCTTTGATATCATCACTAACCAAAGCCGAACGTGTCCTTGATCAGGTAAAAGGGTAAATCAAATCGATCAAAAAGTTAACGAGATATCCTATATGCCTTTCTCAAGCTAATCTGGTCTTTATAATTACTAAAATTTCCTTTCTCCCACCAAATAGGTACATTATTTGCAATGAACTACATATCTCAGTAACGCATGTGCAAACATGTAACAATCATATTACGTAATTAACGTTGCTTTAATATTTCATTATGATAGTGGAAGTTGCCAAGATAATCTGTTTACTTTCTGATAATATCAATTAATCGATGGAGTGGAATCTTATAAACTTTTTATCAATGGAAAAGGTTTGAAGTGGTAGAATTGTTTTTATTTATTTATTGTAGGCGCTCTCAACCTAAGTCAAAATGTCAAATTCGTGATCAAATAATAGATCGAGTGGTGTGAAATCACGATATACCTACTCTACTGGCAACCAATAATTTTTTTTATTAAAAAAATGTCCCACCTGTTTCTATGCACATAACTAAGTATACATAATATGAACTAAGCAACACTTAATGAGACCAGTGTGCTTAGTGCGAGTTTTTTAACGTTCTCGATAGCGTAAAAGTTAACCCAACTTTGTATGCAGTTGGAACAGCGCCCTATAGCGGCAAACGTAGGCAAACGATGCCATTCCATACAAATATAAGCTAACTTTTACGCTATCGAGACGTTAAAAAACTGGCACTAAGCACACTGAGGTCCAATTCTCAATTGTATTGTGTATTGGATCTGTCCTATTCTTCAAATCGGAACGCATGACAGCTTCGTGGTAGAAATGGGTAAATAAAGTTACCTACTTAAGTAGGCTTTTTTTTATTGCTTAGATGGGTGGACGAGCTCACAGCCCACCTGGTGTTAAGTGGTTACTGGAGCCCATAGACATCTACAACGTAAATACGCTACCCACCTAGAGATATAAGTTCTAAGGTCTCAGTATAGTTACAACGGCTGCTCCGCCCTTCAAACCGAAACGCATTACTGCTTCGCAGCAGAAATAGGTAGAGTGGTGGTACCTACCCTCGCGGACTCGCAAGAGGTCCTACCACCAGTAATTACGCAAATTATAATTTTGCGGGTTTGATTTTTATTACACCATGTTATTCCTTCACCGTGAAAGTCAATCGAGAACATTTGTTATGTACGTATTTCATCAGAAAAATTGGTACCCGGCTGCGGGATTTGAACACCGGTGCATCGCTCAACACGAATGCACCGGACGTCTTATCCTTTAGGCCACGACGACTTCATCACAGCTACGGCAACACAGCCTACCAACAGTAAAAATGTAAAATTATACATTTTTGTGGGTTATATTTTTATTATACAAGTGATAAATACGCATTTCTTTAGAACAATTGGTATCCTTAGGATTTGAACGCTGATACAGTTACATCTCTCTATACAAGTTAACCAATGTCGTTTAGTTTGAGGCTTGCACATTTTTTTGCTTTTGTAAAAAGTGTGAATAAACATAAGCACTATGTTCACATTTGAGAGAAAATTAGTTTGTGTGTACATCGTGTCAAATTTAAATGATATGGATAAAGTCCTCTGAGTGGGTTAAGTTCTCTGATGCAGAGAAATTTCCTTGTATTTCTTATTATGTCGGTAGATTCAGTAGTGCCGTGACACATCTTGTGTTAAGTGGTCACCGGCACCCATAAACTTCAACAACATGAATGCTGCCACCCACCTTGAGACATGAGTTCTAAGTCTAATTTTATACTACAACGGCTGAACTACACTTCCCACCAAAATGCAATCGCAGATATCATTATGAAATTCAGAGGCAAGCCATATATGTACTTCTGGTAACAAACCAGAAGGACCTGTTGTTAACATTCTTTAGATTTTTTCAGGGTTTTTATGACATTAAATAATTTAAAGAATTTGGGTAGAGATTTTAAGCTTTCTACATCCCTATGGTGGATAGGGTGTCTGTAATGGCTAAGAATGAAAATTAGTTAGTTCTTCTGTTATCTATGCATGTTATTACAGTCGGAACCAATTCCTATTTAGATATAGAATTTATAAATTTCTATTAATACAGGAAATAATACTTAAATATATAAATATAATACTTAAATAGCATAGATAAAAAAGTAAAAAAAAAAGAACGATAATAAATAGGTGCAAAATATAAGAATAAAACAAATATTATTTATATTTATATTCCTATCTATACGGCATTAATAAATTATTATGATTGGGGACACTTATGGTTTAATCTTGTATTTGTCTTAATAATCTTACATGGACCTTAAGTTTAATTTCAATGTTTTATGAACAGCACCATATTTGCAAATACACAAATACCCACATTTTAATAATATCAACAACGATAATAAAATGTCCAAAACTATCATGGTTCACTCAATTTCTCTCTTATATAAAAAACTTATTAGCATAGCCAGTAGGCAGATGAGTCTATAGCACAATCCAACTTTTCCAATAAATTGACAAAGGTTCGTGAGTTTTCAGAATTACTTTTCAGCATATGAACCATATGGTCCGCATGTTAACAATGCCAAGTCAATATCCATATCCATTTATTAACAAGCACACTGTATTTATGTGTCTTTGTAAATAATAAAACAATATACTGAATTGGATGTTTGTTTAAAATGTTAATATTTGTTTATCTAACAACACATAAATGATGATAATGAAAAATCTATCATGATGCAATCATCACCTACCATAAAAGACATTCTTAATCTATTACATAAGTGACTTGTATTTTTGTATTAATTTTCAGTCATGGTGTTGACGTAGCTATGATTTTCAGAGTTCTTGCTCAGTAGTTACATGTAAAAATTACTTCTTGAATTGGTAATACTTATTTTACATTAGTAAGACTTAAATACATTTTTTAATGATACATATTCTTATTCTCCTTTGAATCATAGTTGAAGTAAGCAGTATAGTGGTACAAACCAGTAACTGTTGTAATAATATGTCTACAAAATTGATTCAATCTTTGCCACTTTAAACTTCGACTTAAAAACAATAATTTCTAGGTATTTTAATCTTCCATCTATGTTTCTATTTGTTCATTAGGATACATCCTGTTTCCCTCAATACGTCCTGTCCCTCAATTAGCATATTTGTAATAGAATTGTGAAATGAATGAAAATTGTAGTTTCACACTGGTAAAACAATCATAGGGGGCTTCAAAGCTCTCAATGATATTTTACATATAACAATATGTTACAATTGTATATTTGAAACAGGTGCAACATTCAAATTTTAAATATTTGAAAGTTCATTTGGAAATTTCTTGCCTTATGTAAAAAGCTATTTGTCATGCAATAATCATGAAAGTAGCCCTAATAAGTTTTTAGAAATTCAAAAGTACCTTCTCAAGTTCTTTTTCAATCTCGCCAGCGCGAATGACAAGGGGCCCGCGCACAGCGTATTCCAACTTGACAATGTTGGGATTCATGTTTTCCACAGTCAAGCCTTTGGATGCCATGGTTCTTGCGTTGTTCGTGTTTACTTTGTTAATTTCGAATAACTCTGAACGTTTCACCGCACCGGATAAAACGCGACTAACGCGGCTTATCAACTTTAACTGTGACATATTCCGTAATCAATCGAACTACTTATAATACGTCGGACTACTATTGTAGGCAGTGTGCAAGTGGTAAATCACTGATAATTCATAAAAAAAATACCACGTGTGACCCGAAATAATCTTATTTTTTATGTACATGCAAACATTGACGATTGGAGATGACGAGGAGTAAAATGAGGTGCGGCCTCTCTACGCGATCGATTTATCCGCACTGAGAGACGTAAATAAATCTCATATTCGATATTTGAGTCGACTATTATCAAAGGCGGCAATCTGACTTTTGGACAATGATTGGTAAATCAGAAAAACGAATTATTGAATTTGTATTCCATTGGCAGTCACAAAACTCTTCGGAACGACATCTTAGATCAATAACAGGTTAAGTATTAACCTTTATTTAATGCAGGTTTTGAACCGTATTCTTTGAAGGAGACGATTATATTCAAATAAATCTGTATTGACATATCAATAAAAAAATTTTGTCCAAATGTACAGATTGCCGCCTTTGATAATAGACGACTCATTTGCTTAACTATGATAACGAAATTGCAAGTACAACTGATAATTTTATTTTGTAATTACTAGTTATTTTAACGTAATGACCTCCCACAAGGTTACTGATAAAATCCTATCAAATGTACGATAAAACACTTGAAATGTTCGTTTGTTTGCATCAAATTCAGTGACAATAAAATTTGCCAATAAATAGTTAATTAAATCAAAGGTAACTTCATTCTAGATTCTTGTCTTATGTAAATTATGTAACTAAAAATTGCTAAATTATTATAATTTCTACTTTTGGTTTTTTGACTGTGAATTACTGTGAAATGTCATATCTGTCTGAAGAGAATGTCAAAAAGACGAAGACTTTTGGTTAGTTTTCGTTTTTGGGTGGAAACATGGTGGAAACACAAGCAGTGAAGTCATGTGACCTTTTTTTTAAGAAAAATTACTGTCTCATCGGGCTTAAACGTGCAACAGTGGCTTATGAACACTGAAGTATGAAAGTTATGAAACCTATGTAGGCTTATGAACCGTTTAGCATCTATGAAATTGCTTATGTCATGGAAAATGTCATGTCATTAATACCAGACTGCAAGCTTTTCTGAACCTCGAAATAACGGTATTGAGCAAGCGACATTTTTGTCAAAGGTAAGAAAAAGAAGCAGAGAGAGCTTTTCACAAAAAATCGAAACGTCTTGAGAGTTTCCGGTATCTTCTTTGTCGACTTTCGCAAGACCTTCGACAAAAAACTCTCTCAATACCGTAAAATGGGGCGATTAGGGACAAATTCCAACTTTATGAGCAATTTTAAGGTAGTTGTTGATGTATATAATGCTATATCAGAATCAAAATGATTGAGTCTTGGGGGCATCTTTGTTGTCTAATTTAAAATGATGCAACTAGCATTCCATTTTAAGCAAAAAATGCAAAAATAGGTGTAATCCCTATTTACCCGAAAATTGCGGTTAATTGGGACGAAATGAGAAATTTGCTAGGGTTGGCACTACTTTTATTTTTATATATAGTTTTAATTAATTTATTTCTTTAATTGCACCAACAAAGTGATCATCAATAAAAAAAATTGAAAAGTACATGGCAGTCATCACCTCAATTATAGGTGCAATCGACAGTGCTGATATTTCTATCTGGGTTAAGAGATTAGGTGTGTCGGTTATTCCATGGATTAATCAGATGAATACCCCCACTCTGAACAAATATTAAATATTTTATTATGTATTACTTAGACATTTTTGTCCACCTTGAGATTTCATTAATCTTCCTACATGTCTCTGCAAAATCAACTAACTTATATTAAATTGCTAATCTATTTCAAATAAAGACTTATTCCCAATTTCGCTTCGAATAAACCAGATTTTTACCAACAAATTTAAAAAATATTGTTATAACTACATAGACAACCCTACAAACCTGTACCTATTTATACTTAGGTCGTTTCCATTTCACGTATTCTCATCCCAATTTACCCCTTTTTCGTTGTTATTTGTACCTAAGACGTCCCCAATATCCCCAAAAACAACAGATTTTTACATGTATTTTTATTTAATCAAATACATTAAAACCAATAACAACTGAGACTTACTTTTAATATATATGCTGGTTCAAACAATAAATAACGTTTATAAATCATAGTCGTCTTCTATTATTATCAAATAAATTAAAGAGAGCAAAGTTTCTAGCACTAAAATAATTACCACCACAGGAAGTTAATTTGAAACGCGATTTTTTATAAGTTAGCAGCTATTATCATGCATATTCAGAGTTGTTTTGTGAACTTTCAACATTCTACTATTAAACTACAAAAAATGGAAGATTTTGAAACGAATATAAAACTTATATTGAGCGTCGAAAGATTTTCCCGGTTTTTTCCCGATTCGCCTCTCAATCCCTAATCGCCCCATTTTACCGGTACNAGTTAATTTGAAACGCGATTTTTTATAAGTTAGCAGCTATTATCATGCATATTCAGAGTTGTTTTGTGAACTTTCAACATTCTACTATTAAACTACAAAAAATGGAAGATTTTGAAACGAATATAAAACTTATATTGAGCGTCGAAAGATTTTCCCGGTTTTTTCCCGATTCGCCTCTCAATCCCTAATCGCCCCATTTTACCGGTACCTAATCTGTTGTTCAACAGGGGTAGTTATTCCTGAGACTCTTTTTGGCGGGAACGCGAGGAGTGTTTTATTTTGTCTAGTTAGTGTTTCTTCAGATTTAAATGTGTAATAACGGTAGTTTATTAACTGTTTAGTTTCTGTGAAAGTGCACAAATGTGGGAAAATGATACAAAGCCACTGAACGTAACTTCTCGGGATATTCCTAAAAGTCCACTGAAAAGTCTCAGTAAATGACCACCATTTTACTGAGATTATAATTCATCCCATATCATCTCATCTCATTTCGTTTTCATTTCACTTCATGCCATGTTTCATAATAATCAACTTCATTTCATTTCATAATATCATTTTCATATAAAAATTAATAAAACGTATCATTAAAATTAAAATAAGATTTGACCTAAAGGTCTTAGCTACCAGGTCATAAAATCACTAAAAAAAAGTTATTCCTGAGGTAATTGTAATTGTTTCTCTTTAATAAGTGGTCGTCGGGTATTTTTGTTTGCCTTCGGGTAGGTATTATATGTTGAGTCGGGAAGGCGAAACTCCAACATCCTCGGGGTTTTTGTAGGGTTTCCCATACGTGTCCATCAAAATAGCTCAATCAAGGGCAGTGCTTATGATTGAGTAAGGCTTGTTGCTTGTTTCTTATAGTTCAGCTTTGTTTCAAGAAGTTTATTTGTCTGTGATTTGTGTGTAATCCTTTATAAGATCTAGTCACTGAAAAGCTAACTGCTTCAAGTATGTGGAGTCAATCTTCTTCGAAACTTCGGTTTTTTTTGTGGGTTCGTTAACTCCACTTCTGTGAGAGAGCGGGTCAGTCGGCAGAGGCCCAGGTTCTCGCTGTAAGCCTAGATATCGCAAAGACCTTCGATAGCGTCTGACATAGGGCACTTATATCTAAGTTATCAGCTTACGGAATCCCCGGGGAACTCTGCAAGTAGGGTTTTGGATGAGCGAATTATCACAGTCGTCGTAGACGGCTGCTTCTTCGATACCATAATCATTAACGCTGGTATTCTCTCCCCCATGCTTTTCATCCTGCATAACTAATGATATCTAATGATAGCATGCATTGCTATGCGGATGATAGCACGGGGGATGCGCAATATATTGGCCATCAAAGTCTCTCTCGGAACGTGGTGCACGAGAGACGATCAACACTTGTGTCTGAAATAGATAACTTTGAGGTGAGCCTCTGTGTGGGTAGAATTAGTTCAAATCAACCTGTTGAAGACACAGTTTTGCACATTCAATGCAAAGAAGGACCCTTTTATGATGGAGCCGCAATTCCAAGAAGTGTCCCTGCAACTTTCCACGAGTTGTAAGATACTTGTAGTTGACGGTTCGAACTATGTCCAATCTCGGAGCTATTTGCTAATCAAACCCAAACTGGTGTCAAAAATGCTGGGTGTCCTGAACAGAGCGAAGCGGTACTTACTTCACGTCTAGACAAAGGCTTTTGCTTTACATCGCACAAATTCGGCCTCGGGTGGAATATTGTTTCCACCTCTGGTGTTTGCAGAGCGCTATAACATGTCCTTCTTAAAACTGGGCTTACGGAGTATACTTAGTGGTAGGCAGCAGCTTGGCTATACCCCTAACATTGCTGACATCCATGAATGACGGTAACTACTCACCATTAGGAGGGTCGAAGGCTCGTCTGCCTACAAGGGAATAAAAAAAAAATACTTTTCGTCGCATTCGACAAGGACAGTTAGGTTTTTTTTTTTATTGCTTAGATGGGTGGATGAGCTCACAGACCACCTGGTGTTAAGTGGTTACTGGAGCCCATAGACATGTACGACGTAAATGCGCCACCCACCCTGAGATATAAGTTCTAAGGTCTCAGTATAGTAACGACGGCTGCCCCACCCTTCAAACCGAAACACGTTACTGCTTCACGGCATTGGTAGGGCGGTGGTACCTACCCGCGCGGACTTACAAGAGGTCCTACCACCAGTAACAAGTACCGTACCAGTGCTTGAAATACCTAAAATCATCGAGTGTATCGAGAGGATTGTAAATGATATGTTTAGGGCGACGACAGCTGTTCGCTACCGCGTCGTCACGGGTCGAGGGTTTAACTTGCGGCGGCCACGATAAGAGGGTTAAGATATTGTAATTAACTTACACATGATTTAGTAGTTAAAAAGTCTTTCTAAGAACACTGAAGTTTAAGTCACCCAAACAGCAATGCAGAGCTATGGTCGAAGCTATCCTGCTCGATCGATTTAGTAAACATGGTAATTTGTAGGAGAACCATGCTGGAAGTGGCAGTGAATAGAGCATGTTATTTGTAGAACAGATGACATCCTCAATAATGTATATATATAGGGTCTTCCAATAGGTTTCATTTTCTTATGTAAGAAACCAGTATTTTATATTGCAATAAATGTGGTAGTCTCTAATGAATTACAGATTTGATACATTCTGATACATATATTCGAATTATATTAACTTAATCATAGTTTGAAATTTTTATGTAATGAGAGAAGCCAAGAAGCAAAACTAACTTAAAAATGAATCACAATTGACAACTTAGGTCACACGCCATCAGATTTGAATTCTGTTGTGGGATTTATTTTGTTTTCACTTCATAATTTATTTTGAATGTTTTCTATAATTTGTGAATAATTTTGTTTCTCTATTTCCATCTTCTTACTCTTCTCCCCTTCTGTGTATATAATCTCAATATAAAACGTTTATTTACACAGAATTTCAGTACTTTGGTGTAAGCTGAAGTGCGCAAGATGTTTACCATTTAGCTATGCATTAAATTAGTGCAACTTAATTGTAACTTAATTGTAATAAATAAATAAAAACACACAAAACATACACAATAATTGGTTTTATATTCTTTTTTTTTCACAATATTTATCAACTTAAGTCAGAAAGACAGTCTATAACTATAATAATCCCGATATAAAAATATTTTCATCTCCTTATCCATATTAGGTATATTGACATAATAAGACTTTTAACATCATTTTTAAAATGTGATGTAGGTTCTATGTAACAGTAATATTTATAATTCTTATTTTATGTACTAGAATGCACATAATTATTTACAAAACAAAAAACATGTATTTTTTATTATAGTCAAAATTAACAAAAAACAGCTCATACTTTTATGGCAATACTTTAGTTCCACAAAAAAGATTCTTTAATATTTTATAACATTTAATTTTCATCTTTATATAATCCTAAAATCGAAATAAATAAATAATCCTTACTGCTTATTGTCAAAATAAATTTAAATGTCTATAAGAAGAAACAAGTCCCAGTTTAATGGCGGGAAAGCCGAACAATTCCTAAATTACATTTATGTACTAGTCTAACTTAACTCCATAAGATAATATGTTTAGGAATGTAACAGTCACTTTGGCCTTTACTGTTTACCCTTTAGTCTATTTTTACACATTGCTTTAATTTATAATACATAATATTTTTAATTTATGACATAATATGTGGTCTCTATGTTTATATTTTGTTTATATCAAAGGGTTCAACAAATAAAGGAAATAACATAAGTCAAGCTTGGAATGTATATAGCTACTATGTAGAAATGTATTACTGATTGATATTTAACATTTATTTATCACGAGATGATATGGTATTTATGCATGTACATAACGATTGAGCATAAAACAAAACGAGGTATAATCTAAGTACGTTCGAAACAGAATCAGATTAAATTAACTAAAAACAATAAACTTTTTGGGAAGAAATTAATATTTAAATCTAGAAAGGACGGAAAGACATTGGAAAAACCAAACGATATTAATTTTCGTGTCTTATAATTCACATTTTGTAGATATAAAATAATAATGATAACATCAATTTTTTAAAGATCCATTTTGTTTATTTTTACTTACACGCAAACTTTAACAAATAACTGTATGTACGTATTCTTTTTAATTAACATTTTAATGTCACATTAAATTACAAATTGCATCTTCGATTTGTTGAAATGATTTGAAATCTGACATACTTCAAAGTCTTTATTTGGCCTCATCGAGGCGACTGACGTTGACATTGAAGTTGTCTTCGTCATTGTCAATAATTATGACACTCTCTTCCAAATTGCTCTAGTGATGTTGAAGTACAGAGTAGAGCTTTACATTATTCCTGTGGTCGGACGATTTATGTTTGTAGAAGAATGCTCTCGGCGTGAGCAGGAGCGGCGCGACCCGTCGCCCGGGTCTGCGCGGGGCTGCGTGCTAGCAATGCTTGTCCTCGCGCACAAGGCCCTGCGTGTCGGCGCCGGTGTCAGCGGCTGGCTCCAGAGCCCGCACCGCGCCGGCGCCTAACGCTGCGGCATGACGCGTCTCACTTGATGAAGGGGAGATCACAGCGGATGCTACCTTATCTTTTAACTCGTCTGGTACTTCGTAAATGCCAGCTGAAATAATATTTTCTACATTTCGACTGATTCTCGTTTAGTATCTATGCTTGCTTAGCTTGGCCATTTATATATATAACCATAAGTTTATTATTTTTAAAATTACAGTTATAATCATTTTATACGCGCTATATAAAGTAACTAAACAGGAATTTGTAAATAATATAGAAGATAGCTATTGGAGAAGCAAAGCAAATAACATAAGACACTTACGTAACGGCGGTTCAGGCTCACCCGCGGCAACAGCCCGCGTGACCGCATCATACATAGGGTTGGAGAAATCTCTCCCCTTTCTAGCGGCCGCGGCGGCGGCTGCTGCAGCCGCTGTCTCCTCGAGCGTGTAGGCGGGTTCTGATACGCCACCGAACTCCACGTTGGAGCCCTGACGGAACGAGACGCTCTGGGATGACGCTAGACTGCTCAGGCCGCCTTTACCACTGTTATACCAAAAAAGTATGATTTCTGCTGTATTACAGCGCTTCAATATTTAAAAAAAAAAAAATTAGAACACAACAAGATACAGAGAAACTTTACATACTTTTTTTAATTGATTGTTTTAAATAATCAAGTACGAAAAGAAAACGCAATGATCAGACCCTGTGGACAATCTATGGACCTTTTGCGGATTGATAAAAACGATGAAGGAAAATTGAAATGAATAAGGCTTTACCTTCCTTCTAACATAAAAGTTAAATTAGAATACTTACAACGGCCTTTTCCTGATGACGAACCAGGCGGCTCCGGCAGCAACTCCGAGCAGCAGCACCAGCAGCACCGGCACCAGCACGGCCGCGCCGGTCCCTGCGCCGGCTCGCACGGCGGCGGGGGACGCGCACTGCGGGCCCGCTCCCGCCTCTCCGCAGCGGCACTCCAGGCCTCCGTCGGCGCGCTCCACGCACGTGCCGCCGTTCTCGCACTCGCAGATGCGGGGTAAAGGACGGGGGACTTCTATCGCTGTTTCATCCAAAACAATATCACCATACTATTATTGATTGCGTGATTCATTTAAATTTAATAGAAGAAAGACCTAGAGCTAGACCCAAGACAAGGTGGAAGGACGTAGTGTTGAAGGACAAAAGAGAATGCAATGTTGCTGACGAGGATGTCGAAGACAGAGCGAAGTTGAGGAGTAAAGTGAGGAAAGTTGACCCCACCACCATGTGGGATAAATGAGAGAGAGAGAAGAAAGTTTGGGCAATAAAAATAATAATAATTAAAAGGCTTAAAAGAAGACAGACGCTTCAGTGATTTATTCAATAAATGTTATGCGCTGTTTATTTAGTAGGTACATACGTGCGTCGCAGGCCAGCTCCTGCGTGGCCCGCTTGGGCGGCGGCTGCTGGTCGGGGCACGTGCAGCGGCGCCCGCCCGGCACCACGAGGCACAGGTGCGAGCACGCCGCGCGCGAGCACGCCGTCAGCGCCGACACGTTGTACCGGAGGGGGTGGTATACTGCAAAGAATCACCTTGTTATTTCCCTATCTCCGTCTTATAATGGACGACCAATATTAATTATCGTCACGATAAAATGGATTACTGACCCTGAATTCTGAGCCACGAGATCCAAGTTAGATTCCTGATCGAAATCAGTATCTCTCTTACAGATATTTAAAATATGAGGTATTTTTACTTTAGGTATGTTTTTAGTCTCCTCACCTTTGACTCCAGACGGGTTCACGAGATCTCGAGATATAACAAAAGCGACGCCTCGACCAAACTTATCCTGTCGCAGCAGCTCCCCGGTGTCCCTGGTGACCCAATACAACGAGGACTCGAACACGTCCAGTGATAGCGGATGCCGCAGCAGATCTCCCTTGAGGATGACCCGACGCTGGGAGCCGTCGTGACGCATCATCTCAATAGTGTTCAGCTTAGTGTCTGCCCAGTAGACAGCGCGATCCATGGCGTGGTCGATGACGAGGCCTGTGGGATGGCGGATGTTCTCGGTGACGAGCGGCCGCCGCTTGGAGCCATCCATCCAGGCGATCTCTATTTTGGGTGCGGTACCGGCGTCTGCCCACAGGATGCGTCCGGCTCTCGCGTCGAGCGCCAGCGCCGTGGGGGACTCCAGCCCTGCTGCCACCAGCACGCGGCGGTACCGCCCGTCCGTCCGCGCCACCAGCACGCGACCTCGGGGCTTGGACCCGAGTCGCTCCACCTCCGTCCAGTAGAGGTTGTCTCCCACGTAGTCAACGGCGAGGGCGGTCGGCTTAGAGTTACCCTTCATGTTCAAATCCTGCGCGAATCCAATTTTGACGGCGCCGTTCATCGCGTTCACCATGTAGGATCGCTTGATCGTCTTGTCGTAGCTGTCCGCCCAAAATATCATTTCGTTAACCGGGTCGTAGTCGATGGCTTCGATCCTCTTCTCGGAGGTGATCACGTCGAACTGCTCATTCTTGCTCTGTGCAAAGGCTCGGATCTCTGGGCCGTTCGAGTATAACAGGACGACGTCGTCCTTCGTCGCCTTGCACACTCCAGACAGACTGTCGGCGAGTCTGCGGAAGATATTTGTTTTTAAAAATGCGGTACACTTTCTATGTCGATGCAACAAATGTGTACTCTACTTTTGATAACAAGATTTAATATTCTTTAACATAAGGCATAAGGCTGCTGTAGGTACGTGAGCCTCTGCTTTTTATGGAATTTAAAAACAACAGGTTTGCAGTTGCTATGTTGCCTTCAATCTTAGAAAAATACACAAATAGAACAATTAACACTATTATAGTAACGTACTGGAACCCTTCTCGACAAGAACAGCTAAAACTTCCGTTGAGGTTGGTACAGAGATGGGAGCAGTGGTGGAGGCCAGCAGAGCACTCGTCCAGATCCACGCAGCGCTTGGGGTCGGCGGACGAAATGATCCAGCCCTGGAAGCACGTACAGATGTACCCGCCGTTGCTGGACGTCAAGTTCGTGCAGAACTGCTCGCACCCACCTGTCCATAAAGTCAGAAATTATATCTCTATTCTAATAATCAATCGAATCTCTTTTCAATTGGTGAAATTTGCATTTGAAGATTGCATTTTTTAAATTTATATATATAAAAATGAATTGATGTTCGTTAGTCTCGCTAAAACTCGAGAACGGCTGAAGCTTTGGTCTTAAAATATTTGTGGAAGTTCAGGGAAAGTTTAAAAGGTAGAAAAATATGAAAATGCTCGGAATCACATAAAAAAAAATAACAATTTTGTTTTCCCTTTGATGTGTTTCCCGTCGGACGGATTCCTTTTGTTTGTTTTAAGTTCATTTTATACAAAAGTTTAAGTCTTTTATTTATCGACTGAGGCACTACGAAGACTGCCGGGTCCGTGCCGACAATATAAAAAAGTGGTAAATGCCTAACTGACTTAAACAATCAAGATCATAAAATGGTTCCAGAAATGGCTTTTGTGAGCGAAATTAATTTTGAGAAATGAAACCTTTATCTAGATGCGAGCAGGAGCGCTCGTGATGGCAGCCCAGCTCGTCGGAGCCGTCCCCGCAGTCGTCGCCCAGGTCGCACAGGCGGCGCCGCTCCACGCACTGCTTGTTGGCGCACTGGAACTGCGTGAGCGGCTCGCAGGGGCGCGCGCGGCTGGCGCACAGCGTCATGTTGTTCTCGTCCGAGCCGTCGCCGCAGTTGTCCACGCCGTCGCACACCTGGTACCTGCGCAGGGGTGGGGCGGCCCTCTGTTCAGTGAGTCCACAGTTCACATCACTATGTCATTGTGTGAACGAATGCCACCGGCCGCATTTAGATTGGGAATAGTTGTCTCAATACTATTGTAATACGGTTGTCCTAACTTTAAGACTGGAACTAAAACGCCTCGCAACGGATTTCCGTAGATGCCTGCAAATGCCCGTGCGAACTTACAATATGCCTCCGCACCAGAATAATTAAGACAGAAATTAGGGACTCTTTGAAAATAACGCTAAAAAACTTGATTGACGCGAGAATACCTTAACTGCGAATGAGTTAAGAGAATACAGTAGGTGTAGCTAGACGAAGCGGACTCTTGCGCCGGCACGTCGCGCTGAATAGACACCCATCCCAATTGTAATTTTCTTACCGCCGTCAAACATAAGCTGTTGTTATTTTACACTAACTACATAATACCACAATCAATGTTCTTTAACTAGAGATCGATATTTTTTTTGTCCATTTATATACCTTACTTACTCCGCTGAAAGCATATTAGGTAGACAGCAGTCGACGAGAAGCTTTGGCAAGGCTAGAGTGGGAGTACCTGGGTACGCAGCGGTGGTTGTCGCAGTGGAAGCGGCGAAGGGTGTCGCAGTTGAAGTTGTTGCAGATGTCGGGCGTCTCGTCCGAGCCGTCCCCGCAGTCGTCTGTGCCGTCGCACAGGTCCGATTGCGACACGCACAGGGTATTGCCGCATTGGAATCTGTTGATTAAACATCGCAATGTTAGTCAGTGTACGTACTATTAAACGAAAATAAAATGATTTTTTAATTACTTATTTTCGGGACAATATCTGCCGCCGGGAAACTTAGGTGGACAGCCAATCTCGTCGGAGAGGTCCCGACAGTCTCGGTCGCCGTCGCAGCGGAAGTGCGCCGCGATGCAATGGCCGGAGCGGCACTGGAACGTTCCGTTCTTGCACTGGAAGCCCCCGCAGTCCGTCTCGTCCGAGTTATCGCCGCAGTCATCCTCGTGGTCGCATCTCCATCTCGAGGATATGCACTTGCCACTGCCACACTTGAACTCGGACTCGGAGCACTCTCTGTATTTGCTCTGACAGAGAGCTTCGGTTTCATCGCTGCCGTCGCCGCAGTCGTCGGTAAAGTCACAGAGCCATTGTTTCGGTATGCATCTTTTGTTGTCGCACGTGAAGTCAGTCTCGGCAGCGCAAGTTGGACAGTTTTCGGCTAGTTCGTCTGAACCATCTCTGCAATCGTCTTTTCCATCGCAGAACAACCACTTAGGAATACACCTGTAGTTGGACTGTCCGGGACACCGGCGCCATCCGGTGGTGCAGTTCTTCTGTCGGCACATGTAGGCGGGCTCATCGGAGTCGTCGCCGCAATCGTTATCGAAGTCGCACATCCACAGTTTCGGAATGCAGCGACCATTCTTGCACGAAAATTCAGTGTCGGGATTACAAGTTCTATTGTGACACATCGCCGGGTCCTCGTCACTGTTATCCTTGCAGTCGGTGTCTCCGTCACACTTCCAACTGTCCAATATGCACCTGCCACTATGTTTGCACTTAAACTCGAGAGACGGACAATTGTGTGCGCATTCTGCTTCGTCGCTGCCGTCACCGCAGTCGTCCGTCCCGTCACAAATAGTGGCCGCAGGGGTACAGTTAGTATTCTTGCACTGAAAGGAGCCAGCTCTGCAGTGTCTCACCGGGCAGGTGTCGGGTTCGTCGGAACCGTCTTTGCAATCTTTTTCTCCATCACATTTCCAGAACCATGGGATACATTTTTCGTCGCGACCGTTACACCTGTGTTGTCCATCGGTGCAATTGACTATGCAAGTCTTCATGTCTCTAGCTAAGTAGAACTGATTCGGACAGTCGCATTTGTATGTGGTGGCACCTTCCTCGCCATAACCTTCAATATTTAGATAACTCGACTCGTGCGGAGGAGCGATCAGACAGAGATGAGAGCAGCCTCCATTGTTATCGCCGCAAGGATTAGGATAAGGCAGTTGTCGCAGAGGGTGCACTACGTGGATATCGTATGGTCTGTGGGTGGTATTTCTTAAAACCGTCAAGTTCTTGCCGGAATGCTTGTTAGCTTTTCTTATAGCTTTCAAATTCCAGTCAGTCCAATAAATATCGTCATCGAACAAGCTGAGAGCAAAAACATGAGGTACGGACTTTCCAGAGAGCACCACGTGTCTGTGTCTACCCTCTAAATCGGCTGACCCGATATAGTCCAAGTGAGCGTCGGCCCAATAAATCCTGTCTGTGAAGTAATCGATGGTCAGCGCATTAGGCCAGGCGATGTCGTCGTCCCAGTTCAAAATCATAGTGAAGTTTGATCCGTCCATGCCCATCTTTCCAATGTACGCTTGCAGATGCCAAGACGTAAAGTATAGATAGCCAGTTCCTGGATGGACAACTATAGCTCTGGGATCGGCGATTCCGGTTTTAAGCGTCTTCCGTCTCGTTCCGTCTAATTCGGAGACGTCCAAGTTCTTAGAGTGTCTGTCAAGCCAGTACAACTTTCTTCCGATCCAATCAACCGCGATACCTTCCAGTCCATGAGAGTCATGCCTAATCACGACTTCCTTTGTGGGATTGAGGTCGGTGTAGTTAGATCTGTATATGGTCTTGGCGGAAACGTCAGCAAAGTACATCTGTTCTTCTTTTATATCGAAGTCTATGGCGACAACGTTCATTAGGTCCTGATGAACCAGATTGTACAGAGATGCGTCCGTAGACATGTTTCTCACGTAGTACTTATTTGTGAATATGACCCATGGTGGTATCTTATCTCTTCTCTTGCAGGTGTGTTCGTCAGCCTCTCTCTCATAGTATTGATCATTACACTTGCAATAATAAGAGCCAGGAGTGTTAGAGCAGTACTGGGAGCAGACGCCTGGAGTCTCTATACACTCGTCGATATCTGCACATGCTTTGCCGTCAGTGAGGAGTTTGTAGCCCTGGTTGCAGTCGCAGTAGTAGCTGGTGAGAGTGTCGATGCACTTATGCCCGCACTGGTTGATCTCCAGCTTAGCACACTCGTCGACGTTGCAGTGGGCCGGCTCGTCGGAGTCATCGCTGCAGTCTGACACCTTATTGCAAACGAGGCTGTAATCGATGCACTGGTCGTTGTTACACTTGAACTGTCCTGTCGGACACGTTTTATTTTGTTTGACGCAGCCGACCTCGTCTGAGTGATCACCGCAGTCGTCTTCGCCATCGCATCTGAAGTGGTTCCTGCAATAATATCGATTTATGTTATACATATTTACATATTACATATTACAAAAAATACGTAGTATAAATGAATACACAAGTAATAAATGAAATATAATGCATATTGGTATTTACCTAACGCATTTAAAATTTTGACACTTGAATTCCTGGTCCGTACACTGTTTGTATTGCGTATTGCAATGTTTTCCTTCATCGGAGCCATCTCCGCAGTCATTGTCGTGATCGCAGACCCAGCCTCGGTTGATACAGCGGCCGTTGTTGCACTGGAATTGATCGTCGGTGCACGGCGTTGGAGTGGAGCAGTGGTGGATGGTAGAGTTTTCATCAGCGCCATCAATACAGTCCGGATCACCATCACACAGCCACTTCTTGGGTATACACTGCGCCCTTCCCCAGGCCTTGTTCTCTTCGCAGGTGTACTCGGTTTCCGCATCGCACTTACGTTCGTTGCACTGATGGCGGTCGTCTTCGTCACTGTTGTCAAGGCAATCGTTGTCACCGTCACAGATGTAGATCCGGGGAATGCAGTTTCCATTGTCACAGGTGAAAAGGTCCCCGAAGCAGGTCCGGCCTTCCGAGCGGCAGTACTCGGGTGGTTCATCGGCACCGTCACCACAATCGTCATCACCGTCGCAGTACCAAGTAGCAGGGATGCACCGATGGTTTGGACAGCGGAAGCTGTTGGACGGACAAGTTCTTTGCGCGCAGTGGAGTGGATCCTCGTCAGAGTTGTCACCGCAGTCATTGTCTCCATCACACAGCCAGTACGGTTCGACGCAGATGTTTGTCTTCTCGCACTTCAAGTGGTTAGTGGGACATGTTGTGTTCGTAGGACAGCGCTCTTGCGTCTCGTCGCTGGTCACATTATCCTTGCAGTCGTTGATGCCGTTACAGACTTGTGACATGGGAATACAGCGAGAATTGAGGCAAGTAAATTCGCCATCAGCGCACGGCGGGAAGACGCAACCTTCTTCGTCAGAGCCGTCCTTACAGTCATTTTCGTGATCGCATTTCCAAGATTTAAATATGCAACGTCCGTTATTACAGCGGAACTCATTTGGTGAACAAGAATGGTATGCGCAGTAGTTCTTATCTTCGTCAGAGTTGTCACCGCAGTCATCATCCCCGTCGCAAGACCACATCCTACTGATGCACTTTCCGTTACCACAGAAAAATTTGTACGAGTCACAGGTTATGTTCTTAGCCACGCACATGCGACCTTCATTCACTAATTTTGTGTTTTCGTCACATCTGCATTCGACCGTATTATTGGGTGCTGGATGACAACTATGGGCGCAACCTCCGTTGCTGATCTTGCAAAGATTCACTTGACACTTCTGTCTTTTCGGGCTGTAGACGTGAATGTCTCGTGGGGAGTCCTCTAGTCGTTTTACCATCTCGATCATGTTGGCTCCCGTATGTTTCTCGGCACGATAAACTCCTCGCAGTTGAAGGTCGGTCCAGTAAATATAATTACCGAAGACGGTAATGGCGAATGGATAGATCGTTGCCGAGATTAGTACTTCTCTGTCGCTGCCGTCAAGTTTCGATCTTTCAATTTTTTCTCGTACTGCATCAGTCCAATACAATATGTTTTCATCGAAGTCGATAGTTAAGCCGCTGGGTTGTGATAAATCTTTGTCGATAATAGCTTTCTTCAATGAGCCTGCCATTGTCGTTCGGTATATTTTACCTGAAGTTCCAAATCTTCCCCAATCCGTGTAATATAACGTGCCATTACATGGGTCGACCACGATGGCTCTAGGTCTTTCAACTCGGGCTATCATAACTAGTTCGGAACCATCCAAGTTCATGGCATAGATGGAGTTATTAGAGCTGTCGGTCCAGTAAACTTTCCGCTGAGTCCAATCATACGAGATGCCTTCAGGATTGATACCTTTGTTTATAATATTCTGGATGGCAGCAGAACTTGGATTATTAGCAGACATCCAACCGATTCTCGCCCACGGTCTGATTTGTGTAAAAAATAATTTGTTGTCAGCGTAGTCGAACTCGACTCCGACGACGTTGGTCAAATTGACGACGGGTTTGAACGGTACGCCGGTAGACTTCGGATCAAGGTTGACAGCTCGAATTTCCGTTCTAGTCGTAAAGACTAGGTATTCATCTACAACATCACATTTAGTCGGATTTGTGGCTGATACCTGTCCCGTGGCACAGTCACATCGCATTGTGACGCCGTTGTCTGGCGGGAAGCTGAAGCATAGTTGTTCGCAGCCACCGTTTCCAAACTTTCTGCAGGGATTGCTCTCATCGGTCGGTTGGTTGTTGACATCAAATATTACTATATCACGTAACTTTCCTAAGTTGGTTCGAACTTTTTCTGGCATCGACATATTTCCGGGCAGTTTAGACGATTTGTAAATAGTTTGTAAGTTTCTGTCGACCCAGTAGACGCTACCTGTGTGGACCGCTATGCCCATCGGGTTGGGTAAATTTGATCTGATCACCTGTCTGTTGCCGCCGCTGTACGAAATCTTTTGAATTTGGTCTAATTTAGAATCTACCCAGTACACATCATGAGTCAACATGTCGATGGTCAAATCTCGAGGATTCGATATCCCGGAACTGACTAATGTATTCCATTGACTCCCATCGAGATACGCTCGGCCAATGCGAGGGTATTGCCCGTAATCAATCCAGTACAAAAACCGGTATATCGGGTTAACGGCTAATTCCCTTGGGGCGTCCATTGTTGTTTTCACGAGGACTTTTCTGTTCGAACCGTCCAACCAGCACATTTCCACGTAGCTTTCGTGCGGAAATACATTTGTGAAGTATAGATTACCTGCAACCCAATCGACGGCTAAGCCTCTAATGCCATTGCTTCCGATTCCATCCTTAATGATGTGTTGCAGTTCTGTACCATTTGGACGTATCCTGAAAACTCCGTTCCACTGACCTCTGTTGAACTCGACCCAGTAAATATAATTTTCGGCGAAATGAACGTCTACGTGTAGGATATGATGTCCAGAACCGGTAATGGGTACCATCGCTTCTGCGCTAGTATCGAGGCTGTACCCCCGGATTAAATCTAGCTGAGAGACTACTGCGAACGTCTTATAAGGAACACAATGAATCTCGTTCTCTTTTCTGTAGCCGATAGAACAAGCACACACCCGAGACACGCTGTCGTCACCTGGAATACAGATCTGTTCGCAGCCTCCGTTGCTCTGAGAACAAGGATGATGAATCATCTTCCTTTTTTGGAAAATTGTAAAAGATTTCAAATCACTTTCATTGTCAATAATAGTTTTGATGTTGTCTCCGTTGGGGAGATCGGCTTGGATGATCTTCTCGTGTCTCGGATCAAGTATGTACAGCCTCAAGTCAAGTACAGCGATCACTTTTGGATACGAGATATCATTTGATTCGCCGAGTATAGTTTTTCTGTCATTTCCATCTGTGTTTACACTGATGACGGTGGCGGGGTACTGAGTGCTGAAATAGACAATCTTTCTCTCAATGTCGATGGTGATGGCCTCCGGTCTTTCAATAGTATCTACCAAAATGATAGAATTGGTGCCGTCCATGTTTGCTTTCCCAATTTTTGGGGGAACTCCGTAACCACCTTCATCAGACCAGTACATTTTACTGAAAAGAAAAATTTCAATTTTACTCTATGTCAAATGAATTATTAATATGATAAGCAGTTTATAAGTTCTAACTTACCCTTCTGTAGGATCAAGTGCCAAAGCTCTGGGTTTTGCCACGGACATCTTACCACCATCGTTTGCCATCACGATGGTTCTGTACTTAACTTTGCCGTCTACTTTGATTAACTCGATATTACTGGCAACTCTATTTGCAATGTATAAGTTCCTTCCAATCCAATCGAAAGCAATCGAAGATGGTGCACCAACAATGCCGGTATCTCGGCCTAAAAATTCAGCCTTATTGCCACCACCGTATGGCATAGTGTATATGGTGCAGTTTTCATCATCCTCACTATCTCCTGAGATGGACTGGAGCCAGTACAGCGTGTGTCCTTGACGGTCGTAGTCCAATTGGATACCACCTGTGCCACAATCAGTCGAAATTATTAATACGATTAGCTCTTCATGTATTGTGCGTGTGTGTCTGGGTGTGTCACCTAATAATATTTTATAAAATGACACGGGCTCTTTGGAAAGGGTGTAGGGAAGTCTTGTCGGGTTTTCTGGAATCTAGTTGGATTTCCTTATAGTTTTACACTTAAAAGTCCACCATTTTGTGCATGTCAAAGAAACCCTTAATAATCAAAATAGACTTAATTCTATTCATTTGTCGTGATTATCATGATATATTTAGTTTTCAAATCAATGTACAAATTGTATTTTTAAGAGAATGTAATTATTTACGCTATCTCCAACGGATGCATCGTTTTAAAATATTTGCATATAGGTAGGTACCTAATTAAGAGCGCATAAATGATAGTCCCGTACCTTTTCCTACTGTATCAATACCTATTGCGCAATTCATATTGATCATAAGCGACTTGAGCATTCCCTTTTTTGATGTCACAAAGAAAAACAAAATGTACTTTCTCTTAACGGTTGATACGTCAAAGAGGTTCAAAGACTACACTATTTTTAGAGTTTTCCTTCTCTTGGCTCATGTCAAAATTCAGGAGGCTAGGTCATCGTGAACTGTCTTGAGAAAAACGATTTTGCGTGTCGTACAAACAAACACATAGCTGGTAGCAATAAAGAAACGAATCGAAAATGGCGTCTATGTACCTGCACTGACAGATGGTTAACAAATAAAAAGAAAGATAGAAAGAAAATGTTGTTTGTTGTAAAAAAAAAAAAATTAGAATTTACTTTACTTTACTTTATGCCCTGGCAGAGAGGGAGGTGTCTCATCTGGGGTAGACACTTTTGCTGCCAATCATCTAAGTCGCACAACTCGAAAGTGAAAAAACTCGAACTCAACAACAAAGTCAGAACTGATATATTTTTTTTGCATGCAGTACGTGCCGTGTGCGACTAAAGACAGCAATAGTTTAGAGTGAGAGCGCATGATCGCCGCCGCCATTTTAGATTCGTTTCTTTATTGGCGCGGCTTATAGGTACTATAAACAATGAAATTCATTTACCTTGTATACCAACCACCGGCGACAGTTGTCCAGCTCTTCCTGAGCCGTCAGTGGAGAGGTCGATGACTTGAGTGCCCTTCAGTACCATCAAATAGGCTGTTTCTTCTGCAAAAGAAATGAAAGCGATAATTTAATGGATAACACGCCAAGCCGGTCGAATCCTGGAGCAAGTGCATTTCTTATAAATAACCAATTGTATATTTATACCAATTGTATATTTATACCAATTGTATATTTATACCAATTGTAAATCATTCTCGCAGGTGACATAAATCTGCACAATTCTACCAGTGAAAGAAATAATGAGACGTCCACACGAGCAGGTACATAACCGGCCTGGCAGGTTCCCGTCCTGTAGTCTTTCGTGTTACTACCGCGAAGGAAAAAGCACTGCCGCTATTACAACACAATTGAGATTTTAACCTCATTTCGTCGGCTTATAACTAACTAACTAGCCCGCCCAGCCATGCGCCTCATAGTTGTTGTGTGCGCGTGAAATTGTCGCCACCCAGCTGCCGTTAGGTGGTTGATGGAGTCTCACACAGACATCACAACGTGAGGCTCGCCAGCCACCTCCAGACATTAGATTCAAGTCTCAATGGTATTGTGGAAGTCAGGCCACTGTTTAAGCCGGAATGCGTAACTGCTTTGCGGCAGAAAGAAGCAGGATTATGTAGATTGGAAAAGTAATCAAAATATATTGTAAACAAACTCAATACAAACACCTATATAAATACCTAATATATTACATATTCAATCAACTGTGAATATTGATGGTATCCTCATGAAATAAATAATAAATAAAGATTTCAAGATGGGTAGCGACCATAGCAGTAAAAACTCCAATAATGTATAGTTTATCTACGTATTATTCATTAATTATGATGATGATGATGATAAATATGAAATCGGTGACAACTTACCGTCTGCACATTTTCCATCCTGCAAGAGCTTATACCCCGGTTGACACATACACGTGTAGCCGACCGTCTGGTTGGGACTCAGGAGACACAGATGCTGGCACGTGTCGCGCTTGCAGGGCGACGTGTACTGCTGCTGCAGCGAGGGGTGGTGCACGTGGATGGACAGCGGCTGCGAGATGAGGTGCGACACCACCGTCTGGTTCGAACCCTTGAATTTGTGCGCCGACAGCACTCGGTTCAACTGACGGTCGGTCCAGTACAGCGTGTCCTCAAAGAGCGTGAGCGAGTGGGGATGCAGCAGGTAGTGGCTGCCCGACAGCACTTGCTGGCGACCCGTACCGTCGTAGTTGCAGAAATCTATGAAGTCTAATTTGGAATCAGCGAAGTAGACCCTCTTCGTGGCCGTGTCGAGCGTGAGGCCGTTTGGCCAGTATATTTTAGTGGTAATGATCGCCATTCGTCGGGTCCCGTCCATGCCGATCCGTTCGACTCTGGGATGCTCGCCCCAGTCGGTCCAGAACAGCCACCTCGCGTCCGGAGCCGGGTCGAGACACATCCCTCTCGGCTGCGTGATGTTACCGCTCAGCAGAGTCGTCCGAGCCGCTCCGTCCTCTTTCGCAACCTCGATGGTGTTCAGTTTGCTGTCCAGCCAGTACACGTTGCCGCCGACCCAATCGTACGCGAGTCCCTCGACTAGATCAAGTCCCGTTGAGACGATAACTTTCGGCTCGCCGCCGCGGTCCAGGCGGGAGATCTTTTTCAGCTTCATGTCGGACCAGAAAATGGTACCCGTGTGCATGTCGGAGGCGGTGGCGACCACGTTCTCAACGTCAATGGGCACCCGCTCGAGGCCTTGCTCGTCGAGGTCGGCTACTAGAATCGAGTGGCGATTGGAGATTATTAGGAAGGCGCCGGAATGGTTGTCCGCCTTGCAAGAGTGCGCGTCGAGTGCCAGGCGGTAGCCGGCCACGCAGCCGCACGCGTACGAGCCCTTCGTGTTGGTGCACAGCTGCGAGCAGACGCCGGGCGGCTCGCACTCGTTCAGGTCGGAGCACGTGGCGGCGTCGGGCTCGCCCGGGGTCAGCTGCAGGCCGCGCGGACACACGCACTGCGCGCCGCCCGGCGTCTCGTGGCACCCGTGCGAGCACTGGGCCCCGCGCCACGAGCACTGCTTCTCCGAGCACACCGGACCTGAGCAAATGAAATACGCTTACTTAATGTCTCCTACAAAATTCTAACGAGGAGATAATCTACAGCGCATTAACTAATACCTTCATCGGTGCCACCCGGACAATCCAATTTGTCATCGCACACTTGAGTGAAATTTATGCAGCGGCCTGACGCTTGAGGACATTCCCATTGATCGGATGGACAGCTGAAAACAAAGAGAAATGTAGACTAACAGATATTCTTGACAAATGAACCGAATATAATTCATCATTACAAATTAAAGTTTTTACCGGAAAGGCGGCGCTTTGCAAGCATGTTGGAGTCCTTCATCAGACCCATCCTGGCAATCATCATTTCCGTCGCAGACGTACGTCTTGAAGATGCATCGTCCGTTGTCGCAGCGGAAGTAGTTGGGGGCGCACTCCACCGTGCCGCAGGAGGCCGGCTCGTCGGAGAGGTCCTCGCAGTCCGGCGTACCTGATACCCATTTTAAAATCATACTCCACTTAAAAAAACACATAAATCATTAAAAACTGTGGTAAGAAACAAGTCTTCGAACAAGTAAGAAAAGTTACGGTAAGGAGATTTTTTTATAGCTTAGATGGGTGGACGAACTCACGGCCCACCTGTTGTTAAATGGTTAATGGAGCTCATAGACATCTACAACGTAAATGCCGCCACCTACCTTGAATAACTAATTTTGTTTCTTAACGTCAAGAATAAATAGGTACATTAAATAAAAGTGCACGTATATTATATTTGATTACCGTCACAATGCCAAGTGGAGGGTATGCAGATCCCAGAGGAGCGGCACTGGAACTGTTTCCCGGGCTGGCACTGGTGCGGCGCCAGCGACGGGCAGCCCAGCTCGTCGCTGCCGTCGTTGCAGTCGGGGATGCCGTCGCACTTGTACACCTCCTGCAACCCGTTACAACAGCGATGCACAACGCGCAGATCGACTTGCTTACCGGAGCTCACGACCACCATAAGAACTATAATCCACTTCCCTTGACAAATATGCCCCAAATAAGCTGCCTTTTTTTTATTGCCTCTGCAGGCAGACGAGCATACGGTCCACCTGATGGTGAGTGGTTACTGTCGCCCATGGACTTCAGCAAAGCCAGGGGCAGAGCCAAGCCGCTGCCTACTGTTTAATACTCTCCACAAGCCTCGTTTGAAGAAGGACATGTCATAGCGCTCGGGAAACACCGTGGAGGAGGGGAGCACATTCCATAACCGGAAGGTACGTATGGCCAAAAAAGTCCTCTGGAAATGCACTGTGGATGACCGCAGTGGCTCCAGGGAGTATGGTTAAACTCTACTCCGGTGGCGGGCGGTGCGATGGTAAGAACGAGATGATGGTATCATCTCGAACAACTCCTCAGAGTACTCCCTTGCCTGCCTTATTGAAACTCCAGAACTTAATATAAAAAGTGTAATGATATTGGTTTTGTTACAGCTTGAAAACCTTTAGGTTCAAAACCTAACACAGTTACCTCAGTAAATAACATAAGTGCACACTTAAAAAGATCAAATTTTTTACCCCTATCTCAACAACATTGGTATAGTATTGGTACGAAAATTCTCGGGTCTTACCAGCACGCACTGCTTGAGATCGGCGCACTTGAACTGGTTGGGGAGGCACGAGACCGGAGGGCAGTCCGCCTCGTCCTGCTTGTCGAAGCAGTCGTCGTCACCGTCGCACACCCACGAGGCCGGGATGCAGTGCCCGGTCCGAGGACACGTATACTGGAAATGTAACATAGCGTGATGTCGTGATCGACCACAAGTGCCAATGCCACTCTCAATCATATGGCTTTTTTGCAGTCCGTTATAATTTGCGTAATAACTAGTGGTAGGACGTCTTGTGAGTCCGCGCGAGAAGGTACCAGCACCCTGCCTATTTCTGTCGTGATGCAGTAATGCGTTTCGATTTGAAGGGTGGGGCAGCCGTTGTAACTGTACTTGAAACCTTAGAACTTATATCTCAAGGTGGGTGGCGCATTTACGTTGTAGATGTCTATGGGCCCCAGTAACCTATAGCTAGCTCGTCATCCCATCTAAGCAATAAAAAAAACTGCTAGTAATTTATGGTAGATCGATACAGAAGCCTAAATTGTAATAGCTTTGCGACCACGATGGCTACGGGTACACTGCACTGCTTCCTCTTCATCTCTCGGCATTCGTTCGGTGCCGTGTAATAATTACGCGTTGTGTTTGAAAGGTAAGGTAGCATTCGTTAGTAGCGGGGGTTGAACACTAAAAATATATTTAATCAGAAAAAAGGATTGTGCAGTTTTATGAAACCACGGTAAAAGTGAAACTTTTTTTCACATTATAGACATTTAACTCTGATAAACAACATGTACTAAACATTGACAAAAACAAACAAAATAGCGTGGAGCACTGGCCCAAATGAGTAATAGTCTATACACTACACGGTCAGCTGCTGCGAACTATAGGCGCCGCCATATTGGCCTTGGCTGCTCTGCCGAGCGCCTTTCACTTTATCCCTACTCCGCGGCCGACCGTCACGCGACATGCAACACAGACGAAAAATTTTGAGACCGTAAATGTAACCTGGAAATATGCGCAAGTTTTCTCGGCACAGTGTGGCCCTTCGTCCGAGCCGTCTCCGCAGTCGTTCTCGGAGTCGCATTTCCAGGTGGAGGGCACGCAGCGCCCGTTGTCGCACTGGAACTGAGCGCTGCTGCAGGTTACGTTGACGCAGCCGGTCTCGTCGGAGAAGTCTCCGCAGTCGTTCTCGGAGTCGCAGCGAAACATGTCGGAGATGCACCGCCCAGACTTGCACATGAACTCTCTGGGGCCACACGTAGCCTCTGTTCATTGCGAATTACCATTATTAACGCATTAAAAAAACCTTACTACAACCAAAAAACAAACAGCTTGACACTTTTGGTTCCTCAGAGGGACTTTAATTGTCTCTGGCTTTTTTATCGTGTGTAATAGGAAGTGCTCTCAGAAAATGTTTGCTGATAATGAAAGGTGATCAATCACCTCTCCTTTTATTTTACCATCACACTACTCGCCACTGAAGTAGAGTTCATTTCTAACGTTTAGAACCATGGCGTTTATAAACAACACAGTTTCAGAAACCTTCTTTGCCACTTCACCATCAGACTCTAAAATGAGCTCCTCTAAACCTCTATACAACAATTCCAACATTTTAATCTCCATTCCCTAAATGTACGAGAGCTATCGGCTAAAACGTAAACAGAATTCAGCTAGAGTAGGACATAGAGTAAAACATAGTAGAACACATTGAATTTTTAACATGATAATATGGTACGGTATTTTTAATTGCTTTTTAAGCTTTCTAGTATCTAAATTTGTAAATTGCGCTGACTTTTCACAGTTTGAAAAAATATATTTACCATTTTATTGAAGAAGATTTTTTTAACTTCATGCATTTTAACTAGAAATCTGCATCTCCTTTAATTTTTATTCCTACTATAGGTGAATTATTGTTCTAACTTGGCTTCCGCGAAAAAAATAACAAATCTGAAGTAAAGCTACTTACTGGTGCAGTTCTGTTCTTCATCGCTGTTGTCGAGGCAGTCGTCGTCGCCATCGCAGACCCAACTCTTCGGAATGCACCGCTGGTTGTTACACGTGAAATCCCAGGACTGCGGACACGCCTGCACCGGAGGCTCCGAGTTCGGATCAGATTCACAGGTCTGACCGTCCGCCGCCAACTTTTCACCGTACGGACAACCGCATTTGACCGTCAAAAACTCTGTATTGTTTCTAGGTATAGCGAAACATAGTTTCTGGCAGTTTCCGTTATTTCTCGCACAAGGTTGCATCGGGTCTATCTTCTGGATTTTTTCACTGTAAACTTTAACGCCGTAGAGCCTGTTTGTTTGTGGCTCCCTTACCATGATGTCTTCCTGTTCGCCAGTCAACTTGTGTAACCTCACGATTGCGTCAAGTCTCCAGTCGGTGATGTACATGAATTCTTTATGGATAACAATCGAGAATGGATGCCTGATCAATCGTGAACTGACAGTCTTGACGTCAGTTCCGTCCAGCTTGGAATGCTGTACGTGATCCAATAGCGCGTCGCACCAGTACAGTCGATCCGTGTCGAAGTCTATGGACAGTCCATTTGGCCAGCCGAGGGTTACATTCTCGAAGACTAGAAGACCAGTACCGTCTGTATTAGATCTACTGATGTTGGCAGGACGATCCCACTCCGAGAAGAAAATGAACCCTTTGTTAGGGTGGACGACGATTGCTCTTGGTCTTTTCAGATCTTTCAATAATGTTCTTTTATAAGCAATATTCCTTGTTGATAGTACATTTAAAGTTCCTTTTCTGGAGTCAATGTAATACAAGTTTTTGGAAGCCCAGTCCACCGCCAGTCCTTCGACCCCTTCGTTTTGCGATGCTAACACGATTTCCCTGGTAGTTCCATTCCTGTGAACTCTGTAAATGACATCTTGTAACACGTCAGAGTAGTAGATGTGTTCGTCCCTCGCGTCGAAATCCAAACCGACGAATCTCGCTCTCCTGGACACAACTGGCAGTATGGCGTCACTGAAACCTTCTATCACAGGATTCAATACCTTTCCTTTGATAAATCTTTGTTGAGAATACATAAGGAATTCGTTAACGATGTCACAGTTGCGCAGATCAGTCTCGAGCCTGTATCCGATGTTGCAGGCGCATCTGTATCCTAATCCTCCATTTTGAAGCGCAGTGACTATACACATCTGCGAACACCCCCCGTTGTTGGTTCCGCAAGGGTTGTTGACCGAGGTCTGCTTCAGAGAATGTATCACAGTGATAGCTTTGGGGTCCCTGATGTCTTTCATTTTGTATATGGCTTGAATACTGGACGCCCCGCCGTACTTATTGACGGAGCTTATACCCTGTTTGGTGCTGTCCGACCAGTACACTCTGTCTTCGAAGAGTGCCAGTCTAGACGGACTGGGCACCTGTTGACCTCTGAGGACGAGGAACCTGTGGTTTCCGTCGTAGTCGACAGTCTCGATGTAGTCCAGTAGCGAGTCGCACCAGAACACCCTGCGTGCGATTATATCCACTGCTATTCCTGACGCTTTGTACGCAGCTTCGGAAACAATGGCTTTCATGTGAGTGCCGTCCATGTTTGCTCGTATTATCTAAAATCAATCGAAAGTGTTATGCTACTTATTTACATTTACAATTAATTTTATAACTTATTTGTGAGAAAAATTGTAAATGAAGATAGTATAACAGATTTATGGCGATCCAGTGACTAACGACATGGCGCAGTGAAACTGTATGCGGAGTGTAATAAATTGATGCGGAAATTCTTCTCGGCATTAATCATCGGACCGAAAATTATCTAATGCCACAAGCTTTGATTTGTATTAAAATACTTTTTAGTTAAAAAAATTGACAATTGACTACATAGGTATGATTAAACAGCACACACTTCAGTGTAGTTGTTTATTGGCACTAGTTTATGAAGGGATTCTGTGCAATAACTATATTCATGTAAGAAAGACAACCAAAAGTTAAATGTATGAAACTGCAAGTAAAAACGATTACTTGAGCCTAGATAATAACATTTATGGACATCATACTAACCTGACTGCTATCAGCAACGAACATGAGTCCCAAAGTAGGATCGAGTGCTAGATCGGCCGGGCTGGTGAGGTTGGACCCGAGCACCACGGCGTGCCAGCGGCCGTCCAGCTCGAACAGGTCGACCTTCTGTCCGAGCGAGTCGGCCACATAAAGCTTGTCGCCCACCCAGTCCACAGCCAGCGCTACCGGCGCCCAAGACCCCGCCACGGAGATCTCTGCGTCGCCGAACCTACCCAGCCCTGCCGGAGCGCTTAGTTGTTGAGAGTGGATCTGAAATAACAAGAAATTTTTAACGTCATTCGAAATTTGTAGATAGGTAACTTGTTTGCTTGGTTATAAAAAAAAACCAAAATTAGGATTTCACAAACATAGTGTTACGTCGGTAAGAGTAACGCCATCTATCGCCGAATAGTCGAACGAATATCGAAGGACCTAGTAGCACCTAGAACGCTCGAGAAATAGAAGGCCATCTATTGCCAGATAGCGGAAACTACTACTAGAGATGTGTGGAATATTCTCAATAATTCTAGGGATGAGGTATCATCGGCTATAAAAGCGTTGCAGGGATGACACGCAGACAGTCAGTAATCGGAACTACTCGAAGCGAAACGGCGAACGGATCACCTGAAGCGAATCGGAAGAAGCGAATTGAGAGTTTTAAAGTGTTTGTGAAGTGTTTTAAGTGTTCTAAGTGTTGAATACAGTTTTTAGTTGTACTTTGATGAAATTTTATTTATCCCGAATCCCAGCGCGTAACAATAGTAATAAAGCTAAATAAAATTAAATGTCTACATTATTTGGTTCTGATAGTTGAAAGCTTAGGATTGGCATAAGAAAACAGGGACACAAACCTTTCTAGTTTTTAGATCGGACCAGAATAGCAAGTTCCTGCGGTAGTGGTAGTCGAGCCCAGCAGCGGCGGTGGCGTTGGCGAGTGTCTGCGGCGCGCGGCCGTGTAGGTCCATACGCAGCACGGCGCTCGCGTGCGCCAGCACCAGCCAAGGCGAAGCAGCCACGCCCGCCGAGCACCGCTTACCGTCCACCAACGAGTACCCCGGAGCACACTGGCACTTGTATGCTGCAACCAGCCCACATTCACGATCATTAACGAGATTAGACAATTTGATACGAAAATTTGCTAAAATGTCTATATTATTACTAAGCATAGGCAGACAACTATTTTAAAACCCCTTAGAAAAAGACAGACCGATCCAAGGGGCCAATCATCTCCTAAATTCAATTTAATACCTCTGTGGGTAAGAGCGCGAGGGCATTATTCACGCGCATGAGATTGAGTGAGATATGTATTAGGATATATTAACTTCTCTGTCTCTCTATTTCTCTCTTACAGTTCACTCATATATTATTGCTTAGATGGGTGGACGAGCTTTCACAGCTCACCTGGTGTTAAGTGGGTACTGGAGCCCATAGACATCTACAACGTCAATGCGCCATCGACAAATCTTATGTCGTACTGTTAACATTTAAATTTAACCTATCGTTCCGTTGTTTGTAAAATTGCTGTAACATGTCATAGTGTGTTATAAGAGATTGATTGCTGTACATGCCTGTAACTGGCTTACATACCAGTACTTAATTTTATACTTGTTAATTTTAAGCTTGAATGTTTTGTGTGTATTGCTGTTGGTGTGTCTAAATAAAATAAACTCAAGGCCAATATTTTTATTTATCTATTTATTGCCTAAGCAGCTCATCAAGCTCACAGCAATTACATCTCGAATGAGATGAGTTACAAAAACACCAACACTCAGATTTTCTAGAAAAGTCAGACATTGATTCTGGCCAAAGAAGCGAATGAATCCCTTTACATTGGTTTTCCTGGAAAACGCTCTGTACACGACGAGGACTTGTAAATATGGATCAATAACTCACATCCTAAAGTATTGACACAAAGCTGGTGACAGTAGCCCCACTCCTTGCATTCGTCGCGGTCCACACAGGTCCTGTTGTCTGCGGACAGCATTAGTCCCGCCGCGCAAGAACACGCACCCCCCGCTAACGACGCCACGCATTTGTACTCGCATCCCAACGCTGGGCATGATAATATGGCTGTTGGAGAAAAGTTAATTATGAATTAAAGATACTAAGTTAATGTTACGAGGACTCACGAACACCGCCCCTGCTACCTCCCTCCTTGCTCTTCCTCTGGCTACTGATGGCTCTAAGTTAAACATAACAGCAGTACCCAATTCGAGCCAGTTCCTAGCGCTTTTCGATCATCATATTCCAGGTTATAGTCGGGATAATATCTTATATCTTTAAACGAGCAATTCTTGTATATCACTACATAATATAAAGCAAAGTCGCTTTCTCTGTCCCTATATCCCTATGTATGCTTAAATCTTTAAAACTACGCATCGGATTTTGATGCGGTTTTTTAGTAGATAGAGTGATTGAAGAGGAAGGTTTATATGTATAATAACATCCATTAAATAGTGGATCAAAAATAAATTACAGTACGAAGCGAAGCAAGGGCGAGTCGCTAGTAAATATATATTATAATATATAATCTGAATCTCGGAAACGGCTCCAACGATTTTCATAAAATTTAGTATACAGGGGATTTCGGGGGCGACAAATCGATCTAGGTACGATTTATTTTCAGAAAATGTTGTTTTCTTGGTCTAACCTTAAACCAAACACTCATTGGCTTCGGGTTGCTTAACAACGTCATCTGCTGAAGTAGCTTTATCGTTATTGTGTCTTTAAAGCAGTTAGTTGCTCTCAATTAAGAAAAATAGTATTATTATTCGCCAATAGATGTCGGGAGGAGTCATATTTTTTCTGTTTAAGTTGCGATATTGGACTACCCAAACGCCACATTTTTGTTATTTTCTTTCAATAATAAAAATAAGTTTATGTTTAAGTTGATTATCGATAAGTTGATTATTGAAAACACGATTAAGATAATATTTATAAAAAACACAATTTATCCAAAAAAAAAAACGAGTAGACCTCGGTCATCCAGGTACTTAATATTACACGGGATGTGCTTGCTAAAAAATAACATTTTCTAAAACTATGAAAATACCAATTGCTTAACTCACAGCATGCGTCTTCTTCATCAGCCTTATCTTCGCAATCCTTCTTTCCGTCACAGAGCTGTGATCTAGCTATACACTTGTGCACTCCCCCTGGGCCTCCCTTGGGACATAGGTACTGATTATCAGGGCAGGCTATGGCAGTGCAGTTGGCTTCGTCGGAACCGTCGGCGCAGTCATTGTAGCCGTCACAGTGATAGTTCGCGGGGATGCAAAGAGCATTGCTGCATCGGAATTGTCCAATGTGACACGGTGGGAAACCTGTAATGTAAATGTTCACGATTGATTTCCACGGTGAAGGAGTAACATCGTGTAATAAAAATCGAACCCGCAAAATTATAATTTACGTAATTACTGGTGGTAGGAGTTCTTGTGAGTCCGCGCGGGTAGGTACCACCACCCTGCCTATTTCTGCAGACCTTAGAACTGATATCTCAAGGTGGATGGCGCATTTACGACGTAGATGTCTATGGGCTCCAGTAACCCCTTAACACCAAGTTGGCTGTGAGCGCGTCCATTCATCTAAGCTATAAAAAAATGTAAACTTTGATTGACCTTACTGTTCTGATTGGTCCTATGAAACCGTAAACCACCCATGTTTAGTGGATTCGGAGTCCATCGACATTCCGACTTGAATGGCGCCGATAAATAATTAATTCAACCATTAAACGTGCTTAATTGAATTAAAATAAACTTGAGTTACAAATAACATAAGAAAGACCAAGCGTATTTAAATAGGTTTTTTGCAAACCAGTAATTTCAGATATAAATTATATTAATATATAGATCTACAGTAGTTTTTACAGATGTTCCGTTATAACTACTGAACCATGCATCCGATTGACTTGAAACATCCATGTAGAAAATACATGTAATTAATGGATAGGCTAATATTTATATGAGTGTTGGACTCCCTAATAATAATGACAATAAATAATAATGTTAATTTTAAATGCCCAGCGAAGCGGGCGAGTACGGCTAGTCATTTATATATGCGTAATGTTTTTTGATACGTACTGCAATGTGCCTCATCAGAATTATCTCCGCAGTCGTCCTTGTGGTCACATTTAGCTGATGCATCGACACATTTGTTGCCAGAAGCGCACCTGAACTGATCGAGGCGACACGCGATGCTCTGCCCCGGACAATCTTGCTCATCTTTACCGGTTCTACAATCTAAATACCTGAGAAGATACCAGTATGTTAGTGGTGAGTTATATTACTATACGCTGACAAGCTGAGTATCTAATTAAATCCAAACATCGCTGAACGCATCGCAATGACGTTACACCGCTCAGGATCTGCCGGCAGTGAGCACTCATCCATTTATTGAGCATTATGTTTCTGGTCTTTTGTTTCTACGAGTCTTTGTTTTATCCAGTTAGCCTCTTGGGGAGTATTATGTTCAATCAAAATATGAACATTAGAATTATATTGTAATATGTAATGGTAACACCTTAGTTCTAAGTTCTAAGTTGCTAATTATATAATTTGCGCTTGGCAACCCTCTCTTCCGTTCCAGCCTCATAGCCCCGTGCATGGCAAGTTGTAATTAAAATTATTAAAATTATAACAAACGCAATTATTCATTATACAAGCCTGTATTTTATTTATACATGGCGTCTGAGGAATTGTTTAAGATTACTCCTTATATTCCTCTCGGTACATTACCACGATTGTGGCAGATTGATCCTTTCCTCTGCTACAAACCGCCAATTATCAATTGTGCGTAAAGATCACTAAAGTCCACCACTTAAGATCAAGTGGGCCGCAGGATAATCTATATTTCATATTGACAATTGACATATAACAAATTGAAAATTTTGAACTTCGAACTCTGTGGTAGAACTGTCGATGGATGCATCTATATGTCTCCCCCGTCTGTTGACCTGAGATTTTTGATATCTATATGAAACTGTAAAAGTCAAAACAACATACCCATCACACTTCTTCTCCTTTGTTACACAAGGTCCTTGTGACGACACCTTCCCTGTGCCCTCCATGCCGCACTGAAAATCATCAGCTTGGCATTTGCGGTACGCTGATGAATAGAAATAGATTTATTTGAACAGTAGTCATAATCAAAAACTACAAATTAAAAAGATTGAAACGATTTTACTCTAGTAGAATAATTCCGACTTTTGTCTTTCTTAAAACATATTAACTACTATTGATTTCCCTGCTGCATGCAGTGGACAAGTGATGAATGCTGTGATGTTTGCTCTCCAAAGAAAGCATAAAAGTGTTGATTGAACATTTTCTTCCTCATTGTGTATAATTTATAGCTTAGAATAAATAGCCCACCTCATCTTACACGGAGGTGTCGTAAAATTTCACTTAAGAATTCATCACAGAATACGCCGCAACGTTCTCAAAACATTATAAAATTGTGCTGCGATGGCCAACCGGTGACTTATTGATGATATTAATAATAATTGAAAGGGCGAACTTTACACACGGATAGACACGACGATTCTGCCTATTTTTGCTACGAAACACCTTATATGTACGTTCCGGCTCAAAAACAGTCGTTACAAAATATTGAGGCCGCGACCTCATATATCAAAGCTGCTAGTGGCATTTTGCATTTTAATATTTTAAAAAAGCATCTAGTCTTCCTGCCAAAAGTTTTTTCATCTAGAAAGAGTTTTGTTTATTCAATGGCTTCAAAGGAGCTTTTTATTTACAAGCCCTTACTGTTTTTTTCCTCGAAAACATCGGGGATCTAATTAACGCTTCTACGTAGAGCACGTGTACATTGTCAGCGCAACCACGACAATGAGAAGTGTTCGACTAAGAAGACTGTTTTTTTTTAATCCAGATTTTGAAACTAAATTATGCTTTAAGGTTTAAGAAAGTGGTTTGAAATGATTAAGGAATCATAGTTAATTTTGTCTTGTAATTGTAAGGGTTTTTGTTGTGCTGTGCTAACTGTTGCACCTTTTAATGTACGTCTCGTACGCACAATAGTTGAGGTTCACGTCTGAATCTGGAAGATCAAGTTCAATAGAAATATTATAAATAGTGTCTTACTTTTCAATCGAAGTTCATGCAATGTAGCCCAGCCCATATCAGTACCCCAGATAAGATTAAGATTAGAATTAATCAAGTAGTATCAAGTATTTAATAGCCGAACAGTCTATTATCAGATAAGAACGTCTGCTCTAAAAACTCCAGTCTTATTTTTTCGATATATACCTTTATTATGGAAATATTCAGACAATTCCACACCTTACATTATCGCTCTGAGAAGCTTGCAATCTCCCCGTTGTATACATAATGAAAAGTAAAACCCACAATCTTTTCAGGAAACTTCCTGAGTCGAGATAACGCGTTGCTCATACATATTACGTGTAGGAAATGTGTTGTTCGCGTTTCCTAATGTAAACTGAAGATCTGCGGTGGTATCTTTCGATCCGTCTTCATTCTTTTTGTATCTATATAAAGATACTAAATATGTCCACTGGATTTGCCTTCTTTTAATTTGGGCAAAGCTGACTTTTAGACTACGCTATAATAGAAAAGCATATAGCTCATAGCTATAATATAGCAGTCGACAAGCTGAAACGGAGTCACGATCCTCAGTAATGAGGGAGCGATGGAAAAGAAGAATAGCTCATAGCACAACAATATCGCGCACCATACATTATTATAGACAAGTTCACACTGTACTGTACTATATATTATTAGTTAAGTACACGCTGCTATACTATATATATATTTATTTGTTTATTTATTGCTTAGATGGCTGGACGAGCTCACAGCCCACCTGGTGTTAAGTGGTTACTGGAGCCCATAGACATCTACATCGTAAATGCGCCATCCACCTTGAGATATAAGTTGTAAGGTCTCAGTATAGTTACAACGGCTGCCCCACCCTACAAACCGAAACACATTACTGCTTCACGGTAAAAATAGGCAGGCCGGTGGTACCTACCCGCGCGGACTCACAACAGGTCCTACCACCAGTAAAAAAATATATGGCACTATAGTATAGCGTAGTCTGAAAGTAGCTTAAGAACCAGGTAATTTTATTTTGACAACAAATAGCAATTCCCATTCGACCGTCCCTACCTAGGATACACTCCTGCATTTTGAATAACGAAGACATCAGATGAGTAACGACAAGTACAAGACTACAAAATACACTTTACGACAAAAACAAATTATAATTCGACGACGACTAGTAGTACCTCACTAAAGGCTTACTAATAAATCAATCAATTATTTAAGCGGAAAAATATGAACATTTAAAATTTTAATTACCTTCTTGTGAGTACATCAAATATCAAAACATTCAATCGACAATATACAAGCCTGTCAAGTACTTCTTGTGGTTGCCAGTGTGATGATAATAACCAAGAAATATATATCGTTTAGAGTCAGATAACACTTTACGGATGTTAAGACGGTTAACAATATTTTAGTCATAGTCTCGCCAAAGTTGAAAGCTCTACGCTCTCAATTTACGTGGATATATCTGTTGTGAGTTTACAAAAAGATGAGAAACCCTATTAATTCTATCTCTGAAAGTAATATTACCTACTACCTAACCAAGGTCACACCATAGTATCATTTAAGTGGGATGAATAAACTCTTTAAAATAAACATAATGTATCATCGGGTTCCACAAAACGGAAGTTTGAAATTATTGTTAATAACCCAGGTGATAATTATCACCGATCCCGGTTGTCCCGCCAAAAAAATAATTCCCTGACCGGGTATTCTTGCCGATGCCGCAAATATGGCAAACGGCACATTCACGGAATCTTTAGGGATGTGCCGATATAACCGGATTAAATCCGACCGGTCGACCCTCGTAAATAATATCAGCGGAATAAATCCACTATTGAATGACCGGACTCGCTTGGACACGAGCGATTTCACTAATACGTATTCGTATGTATATAACAAAATTATGTAGTTTCCTGCGGTTTTCGCGCTACTCACTAGATCACTCTTTCATATCTTGTTTATTTTAACCAATTTGGGAATTCTGAACACTACGGCGTGCAATGACAAGCTTCAGGATCTTGGTGAGCTTTTTCTATTCGCCTATTTACAACTAAGTTGGCTTGTTCCAAGTAGGTATGCTGTTTTATGAACCCGTATCGGATAATACTACTGCTCTATCTATTTCTGCTTCAATATTATTATGCTGCTTTTGTCGTGTATATTTTTAGTGGAAGAGTGCCGTAAGACGTTGAAGACAGATGTTGCAGGTTGTGATGACGATGTCACGAGGAGACTCGTTTACTGCTATGTAAGTTTTTTTGTGCTTAGATAAGTGGACGAGCTCACAGCCCACCTGGTGTTATGTGGTTACTGGAGCCCATAGACATCTATAACCTAAGTGCGCCACCCACCTTGGGATATAAGTTCTAAGGTCTCAAGTATAGTTACAACGACTGCCCCACTCTTCAAACTGAAACGCATTACTGCTTCACGGCAGAAATAGGCAGGGTGGTGGTATCTACCCGCGCGGATTCACAAGAGGTCCTACCACCAGTTATTATGCAAATTATAATTTTGCGGGTTTGATCTTTATTACACGATGTTATTCCTTCACCGTGGAAGTCAATCGTGAATATTTATTGAGTACGTATTTCATTAGAAAAATTGGTACCCGCCTGAGATTCGAACACCGTTGCATCGCTTAACACGTATGCACCGGACATCTTATCCTTTAGGCCACGACGACTTCAAATCTCTGAAAGTATTAATTTTGTTTTCTGCAAAACATTAACAACCACTTAATTTTCACACACAAAATAATTGTATGTAAATGAAGAATGAGAATAATATTTGAATAACTTCTTGAAAGTTTCGTCTTGCGTATACAGAATGAGACGACGTGAAATATTCAAAGACAACAGATTTACATGGAAACCAGAACATCTCAGATAACGAGAGACCAAACAAAAACGCAATTTCCACACCATTAAAAGTTGCACACTTCTCGGGACTTTCCTCACAGACGCGGGGTTGTTGTATTCAAAAAATATTGAAAATTTCCAGAACTATTTTTAATACACAAATGTTCGAAGTTTTATGGATGGAAGATATAATTTTTAAGCTAAGGACCAAATAATATTCACCTTACAGTAGACGTCTTTCATCTAAATATGAAACTGATTTGTTTCGTTCAGATGGTGTCGATATTCCTGAGTCTAATTTTCAGTTGTAATTAGTTAAGTTCTAAACTCAAAATAATCAGGTCCATTTAACAAATGATATCAGAAATTTAGGAGGAAGAAGCAGATTACAAATATAAAAAACCGTTTGTGTTATCTAAGTCGCAGTAGCAAAATGCCCTTTGAAGGATGTCTTCATTTCACTTAAAACTTATTTTATGTCTTAATCCAGAAGCGTAACTTCATTGCAGAGTGGAGTAACTAATACTGAGATTAAGATTAAAAATGTAGTATACCAGAGCACCGGTTAATACAACACAGTAAATACAGTACAGTACAACAATACAGTAAAACCAACTTTTTGAGCAGTCATAATATAAAAATATTACCATTAATGGAGGCGTATTAAGAAATAAACATTAATATTAACATAACACTTACATCAAACTTGCTTATGTGCTTATGCTAAATAAAAGCACAAAAGGATTTCAGAAAAGCTTTTGTTTGTTTACGATTATTTCAATTTGAATTAAAACTTGGCAGCACTTTTAACACCAATTTGTGTTGAGATGGGGTAAGTAGAGCACAAGTTCAAAATGCCTTGGAATTTCGGTCGGATACTGAAACTAAGGAGCTCAATTGTTTTGGTTCATTGTTATGTTGAAAATATTTTTGAATCTGCGAATATCCAAAGTAGGTTATATACGAAATAACTAAACAGTAATATTTGGTCCGAGAACGTATTAATAATTTTAGTAGCGATGCGAAGCTCGCTGTGAGACTTGGCCGCCATTAGTACAGTAGAGTTTTAGTTGGCATGGTAACAAAGATTCTCCAACGTTGCATGTTGCCCTCTGACTACAAGTCGTCATTACTTTATATCGTGAACATCGACAGCAGAAGTTTTTGAAGACTTATACAAGTCGCGTGTATCGGTCGCCATTAAGGGAGACAAATAAAGCAAATGAGAAACGACACTAGAGGGTCATTAAACACAGCTCTGAGACGGATCCGACGCAACCATGCACAGTAAATGTTATGCGTCGTGCTAAAACTGACTTCAGAAATCGACGAACGCTAACTATGACTTAGTAACGTGCAGATCTAAGCGTCTGTAACAATGAAATTAAATAAGCGCGAGATGAGATCGCAAAACTATATTTTCGTGTGACTGGGGGATATAGAAGACCTAAGAAAATATAGCTTAATAACTTTAAGCTTCAATGAAAATGACAGTTATAAAAACTAAAAAAGTTGAAATTCACATTTGACTCCAAACTTTTCTTATTTGAACTTAAAGTTGCATTCGCGCAAACTTTAAATTCTTAAAGATGGAGCTTGTTAAAAAAGGTCGTTACCAAAAGCGAATCAATCCCGGTCCCCATCGACCTGAACCATATTAAAAGTTCGCGAATAGCTTACACTCCCCGAAAGCTCTGGAAGTTTAGAGCTACAGGGAATCGCTTAACTAATACTGATCTTACATGTGATGTGACTTTGAAACTTTTCTTATTCCCATCGTTGGGTTTGTGGCGGGTAGCCATCATACAGCCCAAGATAATTGACAGATGCCTGAATCTCGCTTACGACATTTTCAAGAAAAGCTTGCATATATACAAGTTCCGAACAACAACATACGGACCGTCGGTATACCGAGCAAATATCACCCGCTCGGTGGAAGATCTTCCCTTCCGTCGTTAAGCCTCCTAAACTGGTGACCCTGACGTGATTTGAACACGCAATCTTCTACCCGCCACAGGTTTAAATGCTAACAGAGCAGGTGAGGTTACGGTCTGCCTGAGCATAAGTTGTTAGTAGTTATGCTGGTCGCAGTGTCGAACTAATGAAATGTTGTATGACGACTGTCCCAGCCTTCAAACAGGAACACATGAGGTTTCGTAACAGATGAAGTAGCGTGAGACACCTAAGAGCCGTTTGATCATATACTAGTCCGCCCTTGCTGAACAGCATTGCCTTCGGCTTTTTGGAGGGAATGCGAGAAGTTAAGTTGTGTGATTTGTTTTATTTTGTCTATTTAGTGTTTCTTCAGGTTTGTGAAAGTGCACAAATGTGGGGAAATGAAACAGAACCACTGTACTTAGCTTCTTGGGATCCCCCAAAAAGTCCACTGAAAAAATCTCAGTAAATGACCACCATTTTTCTGAGATTATATTTCATCTCAAATCATCACATCTCATCTAATGTCATTTAATTTCTTCCCAATTGATTAATGTCTCAAATTAATCATTTTCATTTCATTTCATTTCACTCTATATTATCATTTTTCACAAAATTAAGAATATAAATTAAAATAAGATATGACTTAAAGGTCTTAGTTACCAGGTCATAAAATCCCTTAAAAAAAAAGGCTTTGCCGTCTCCATGAGCCTGTATAGCACTTACTACAGTCAGCCTCGTCGGAGCCGTCCACGCAATCCACGTGCATGTCGCAGCGGTAGTGCGGGGGGATGCAATACGTCTTGTTCCACACGTACTGATTGCAAGACAACTGCCCTGCGTCGCACTCCGGAGGAGCTGAAACAATTAACGAAATGAATTATATTGTTGAGGGGGACAGGTCAAGAGGAATGGGTAATATAAGTTTTTTAATGGTATAGGTACTTCAGCGTTTGAGCTCATGCTCCAGCTGATATTAATAAGTCTTTACTAGTGGTAGGACCTCTTGTGAGTCCGCGCGGGTAGGTACCACCGCCCTACCTATTTCTGCCGTGAAGCAGTAATGCGTTTCGGTTTGAAGGGTGGGGCAGCCGTTGTAACTATACTGAGACCTTAGAATTTATATCTCAAGATGGGTGGCGCATTTACGTCGTAGATGTATATGGGCTCCAATAACCACTTAACACCAGGTGGGCTGTGAGCTCGTCCACCCTTAAAAACAATTAAAAAAAAACGAGATAGTTGATAAGCTCAATCAGGTTTTCTCAGACGAAACAGATAAAGATTCTGAATTAAGAATCTTCGCAATCTCGTTGCTTTGTAGTCGTTTTAAAAGGGATAAGTGCGCTAGAAAAGTTTTTTCATCGTCATCGTCATAGTAATCTTCAGTCTCGCCGCGATTCACAAACTTCCTCTTATTTCATTATCGCGATCTACTTTGAAGTAATTCAGTGTTTTGCTATCTAGAAACGCGGTTTGCGAAGTTTATTAAACGCGAAAAAAGTCACTGATGCCCTTTGAAATGGCGCAAGGAAGGGAAACCGTGGGATTTGAAACATTTTTAGCTGAATTGTGGGTAGCGCTATTCAATCCACTTTTAAAAGAGAAATATAATTTGGAATAGATGTTTTTCTTCCGGAATTTGGGTTGATTTTATTTTATGTGTAACAAACAAGCACCAAAATACAACAATCAATTTTTTTTTTAAATTTGTTTTTTATGAATCAATGAAAAGTTAAGTAGTGTTGAAAATATAATTTGTATCGTGATAGTTAATATTTTCCGGTAAGAATAATTTTATCAAAATAAATATTTGTAAGTGCGCTTTTTCTTTGGTTAACAAGCGCACGGTGTACCTTTACGCTGTAAATGTTGTAACTAGTTCATGGATATCACAAGGAGGATNCATCCCCACGATACCACCTGGTATACATAAAGTCGAAACCTCAATTTTATTATGGCTGTCCCATCGTACAAACTAGAACGCATGAGCTATTCGCGGCGGAGAGCAGAGATAGAAAAGATTGTGGTACCGAGCCTTATTGGCTGACAATATGTTCTACCTCAAAAGTGGTCATCAGGACATATTTTTTTATTTTTTTTTTTATTGCTTAGATGGGTGGACGAGCTCACAGCCCACCTGGTGTTAAGTGGTTACTGGAGCCCATAGACATCCACAACGTAAATGCGCCACCCACCTTGAGATACAAGGTTTGGGTTGATTTTATTTTATGTGTAACAAACAAGCACCAAAATACAACAATCAATTTTTTTTTTAAATTTGTTTTTTATGAATCAATGAAAAGTTAAGTAGTGTTGAAAATATAATTTGTATCGTGATAGTTAATATTTTCCGGTAAGAATAATTTTATCAAAATAAATATTTGTAAGTGCGCTTTTTCTTTGGTTAACAAGCGCACGGTGTACCTTTACGCTGTAAATGTTGTAACTAGTTCATGGATATCACAAGGAGGATGCCGCCACCCACTTTGAGTCTTGGGTTATACAAATGTCTCTATCATTAAGTAATTATGCAAATTAAAAATTTAGGCGGTTTTTATTACACAATCCTATTTTTTCACTGTGGAAGTCATGCACAAACATGAGTGAGGCATTGCTTGATACGAGAACACCGGGCGTCTTATCCTCCAGGGCATGACAACTTCTCCCTAGTTTATTGGTTCGTGTTTTCCCATTATCCCGTTTCATCGAGTAACAAACATGAACTGTGTAACTATGCAGTAGTTGTTGACACTCCAAAGAAGACGAGGTACGCTATAAGTTTACTTTAAATGCCCGCAGAGGAGGCTACTAATGTTCTGGCTATTTCTTCTGCAAAATTTTACCAATTGTACCAATGTCACTGAGATTTATACATTATTTTTACATCAATTTCAAAATACATTTGCAATCGGCACTCACTCGGCAGTCACGAATCACCGCACTAACTTTGCTAGCTTCAAGAACGAACAAGTAATTATTTCAAAATGGCGCACAGAGTCGGAGTCCAAATTGAATCTACTGTTGAATCGTGCGAACCCGGGGAACTAATCGAGTCGACGATCATTAGGACAAAGGGTCTGTTCGAACGCGCCGACCTGTAATCTAAGGTCATCAATCAACGCACTCACGGACACTGGAGCACTTCACAGCTTGACAGCGTAACTGAGGACAGTCCGACCGAACTAGTGCGGAGTAATAATTCTACCAGGTACTCTGACTAAAAGTAGTATTCACACACTATTTTGTACCGTTAATATATTGTTTATATGATCGAAGGATTACTGGTGGCCCTGAGGCCTTTCCAGTTTCACCAGGACAGGCGGGTGAGCAAAAGCTCAGCCTGGAGGGGTGGGATTTGCTAACAGCTGTCCGAGCGCCTCCGAAGGAGACTTAACTCAAGAGCAGTTGCTTCGCGATGGAATCTACTACCGGATCGAAATCGCGACCCGCCGAGAAGATCCGGCGAGAAACTCAGCGGCTTTTGTACCATTTATTGTTATCAGAGAGTATTGGACTTATCCAATTGGAGCTTATGGGTAATTATACGCCTATTTAAACGGCTTGATGATTAAGTCCTCAAAGATGCGTAACTCTATTACATGTTACCAGTCGTTTCTTTAATAGCTTACAATGATACATTAAAGACCAGTTTGAAGACAGCCATCGCTCTAGTCATTATCACTGTCTCTGGTTTGGCAGAGTTCGCATCCCCACGATACCACCTGGTATACATAAAGTCGAAACCTCAATTTTATTATGGCTGTCCCATCGTACAAACTAGAACGCATGAGCTATTCGCGGCGGAGAGCAGAGATAGAAAAGATTGTGGTACCGAGCCTTATTGGCTGACAATATGTTCTACCTCAAAAGTGGTCATCAGGACATATTTTTTTATTTTTTTTTTATTGCTTAGATGGGTGGACGAGCTCACAGCCCACCTGGTGTTAAGTGGTTACTGGAGCCCATAGACATCCACAACGTAAATGCGCCACCCACCTTGAGATACAAGTTCTAAGGTCCAAAGTATAGTTACAACGGCTGCCCCACCCTTCAAACCGAAACGCATTACTGCTTCACGGCAGAAATAGGCAGGGTGGTGGTACCCACCCGCGCGGACTCACAAGAGGTCCTACCACCAGTAAACATGACATTCGAGATACAAATAATAATAATGATTTCTTTGTCTCATTGAACAAAGCGGAGGGACTTCAGTCCAGTGTCTGTGTGCATTCAGGTGCGATAGTTCACGCGCGACCAGTCAAATGGTTTGATTGCTTGGTTTGAGCGCCTAATTCAGCGGAATGGAAACACACGCGTTTACACAATAATCAATTATATCGTTTTGTAATACAACTGGTTCGCTGTTTTATTATCGAAATAATAGCGGTTTCGTTCTTCATGGCCACAGGTAGAGACGACTTTCACAATGAGATATACACTGCGTTGCTCTTCGGATAACACAGTGGAATCCAGAGTCACCATGAAGTGATTTCTGCAGACCATATTGGAACATAATTAACAAATGGACTTACTGGTGGTAGGACCTCTTGAGAGTCCGCGCGGGTAGGTACCACCTCCCTGCTTATATCTGCCGTGAAGCAGTAATGCGTTTCGGTTTGAAGGGTGGTGCAGCCGTTACAACTATACCTGAGACCTTAGAACTTATGTCTCCACGTGGGTGGCGCATTTACGCTGTAGATGTCTATGGGCTCCAGTAACCCCTTAACACCAGGTGGGCTGTGAGCTCGTCCACCCATCTAAGCCATAAAAAAAAAAGTGTGTGTGTCCGCTCCGACGCACGACTGGAGTTTACTGGATATAAAAAATTAAACGAAATAACAATACGAGAAATAGTTCTATATTACGACAACACGATACACTACAGATTATTAACAAATTAACGAGACACAAAACAAACGACTAACAAATATATGAAAATACAATAATGAGAGAAACGCGCGATCAGTACGAGGCTTTGTGGCGGACTGCCGGCGCAGCAGCCCGGCGTCACCTGCAATAACGCGGCCGCGCGTTGGCTCCTGATTGGCGCGCGCACGCATCACGCAATCAGGAGCCAATCAGGCGCATAACGCATTTCGTGTGACATGCTAGTACGATTTTGATTGGCGCGCGCACGCATCACGCAATCAGGAGCCAATCAGGCGCATAACGCATTTCGTGTGACATGCTAGTACGATTTTGGTCCCCATAATTTTCATACCCCGGGCCTATATATGTAAATCGATTCTAAAGGAGTAAACTCCAAAAAAACATAAACTTGAAACAATTCTGTTTTTAAACGTAAATGAATTGATGTGATACAATTTGTCTTTAAAAACCTTGTGTTTGTATACACGATCAGAGTCACGTTGTTCATATAGTCGTGTTGAGCCAGCAATACCAGTGACCGGATCCTAAACAAACATCGATTGATTTAACGGCGACCTCCCAATCAAACTACATATACCTACTAAGCTGAGCATATTTGCACGTCATTGTCTTTGTGTCATTGCGTACGTACAAGTATTTGCTGTTGAGCTTAATGTTAATTAACCGTCAATGGACGCAAATTTGGGAAGTGGTCATTCCCTGTGAAAGAAGAAACTAAGCAACAATAAAACGATAGTCGGACTATTACACGGTCGCACCGCAGTATCTGTTATGTCCGGCGGCATGTCGCACCACGTCCGTTCCGATGTAATGTCATGTTCCGATACGCTTCGAACGATACAGAGAACAAGAAATATCGTAACTCCCAGCTTTATTTTTTTTTCCCTATCTAAGCTATATCAGCGTAACCTTAATTAGTAGGTGAGCTCACGGGGCTCAAACCTGACGACGTTGCTAACACGAACCCTAGCAAGAGCCGAGCTTCGCAGAATCTACCACCGGATCGGAAATGCGACCCACTGAGAAGATCCAGCGAGAAACTCAATGGGCTGTGTCTGAGGGTTAATTTACTCGTCGAGCCCTTCGTCGCAAGCGACGGGTTCGATGGGAACGATGACCGGTGTTTGAGGTACCTAAAAGCACCGTAAGTGGATCGGAAGGATCCGATTTTTTTTTATTTTTTTTTATTGCTTAGATGGATGGACGAGCTCACAGCCCACCTGATGTTAAGTGGCCACTGGAGCCCATAGACATCTACAATGTAAATGCGCCATCCACCTCGAGATATAAGTTCTAAGGTCTCAATATAGTTACAACGGCTACCCCACCCTTCGAACCGAAACGCATTACTGCTTCACGGCGGAAATAGGTGGGGTGGTGGTACCTACCCGTGCGGACTCCCAAGAGGTCCTACCACTAGTGATTACGCAAATTATAATTTTGTGGGTTTGATTTTTATTACACGATGTTATTCCTTCACCGTGGAAGTCAATCGTGAACATTTGTTGAATACGTATTTCATTAGAAAAATTGGTACTGGCCTGCGGGATTCGAACACCAGTGCATCGCTTCATACGAATGCACCGGGCGTCTTATCCTTTAGGCCACGACGACTTCAGACGTGTTTGGGGCGACGTCGACTGCTTTCCATTTTGTCCGCTGGATCGGAAATGTAGTTACCGGCGGCCACGATGAGAAGGTTCTCATGTCGTGCCGCTTTATCAAAGTGGCGCATCGACGCGGACTAAAGATACTTACTGATGGACTCTAAGTCCAGGTCGTCATGGAGGTCGAACTCCCAGCCGTATCTTACTTAATGAGTTTTATTTAGCATTTTAGTGAAATTCCTTTGAAGTAACGTTACCGTTAGGGCAATGTGTTCCTCAAGTTTGTGGCGAGGCTCGGGGGAGGCCTATGTCCAGCAATTTCTCAACTCACTCTGTGCCCATCAGGTTACTACAGACTTCGATAGACTTCACGGAACAAACTAATCACATTCTTTTAATAAGTATATAGAGCCATATAATGGTTTTAACCATGTCTAATAACCGTAGCAACTCAAAGAAACACACGACAGTCACATACAAGATACCCAGAATAATATCGAGGGGTGAAATGCTATGTGGCTTAAGCGACATTTTTACAACTTCACAAAAGAGCCATTTATATTTTAAATTTAGAAAAAATAGCACAATAAAAAAACCTCTTCGGCTGTTTTAATGTGGCAACATAATTGAAGTTCAATTAAAAACATCGAACTGTTAATGCTAATATTAATAAATGTCGCTTATTAAGCGAAAAATCGCTTAAACCAAATAGCTTTTTAGCTCTCGATATAGGTACATAGAGCGGCAGACAGCGACTTCTAAAAATAATAAACAAAATCAGTAGTTTATTTAGTCCAGTAATTTAACATTATTTTTTCGGGAAAGGTAAAGATTACACATCTTTATTTTTGCTATACACCCCGGTTTTCATCAGACGTAACAAACAACGGATCCTACATCCGAAAACAAATATTGTCAGGTCAGACGATAAAAAAAAGCGTATGAAAACAAGCTCGGGGTATTTTCGTTTGTCGGAAACTGAACACTAGAAGCTACGACACGTTGAATAATGTTAGTTTTTAGGTTATAAATGGTACGGCGATACTGCGCTACGTGTTCACTATCACCGGTGGATTGTCGGATGTCGAATGTCGGACCCAATATATTCCGTAAAGTCAATCCAACTAATTAACACCAAAAACGTTATAACTGCCAATTCGATCCAATCGATTATAAGTTGGCAACTCGTTACGAACACTATTTATATGGTAATATAATATATATGGTAATATAAATAGTGAGTCGAGATCCCTCACGCACTGATACGCAATCGTCGTTCGACTTATCTAAGTTACGTATAACTTTAATGAGATTTATTTATATGTGGGACTATATAAGAGAATCTTAATATGAAAAGTTCATTGAAACAAAACGTATTTAAGACGCAATATTGGACAGCTTTACACTTTAACGTTACCATTGTAATTTGTTTATATATAATTATTGTTAAAGTACTTTTCAGTGTGCTAAAATTTTTTCAGTTACAAATTTGTCAGCACATCCGTCCACATATACGACGGCAACATGAGATTGTTTTGTTTGAATATGATTATTAATATCAAAATAATAATAGTTTAATTCATACTAACGCCATCTAGGGATTAAAATATGTAATAGGATAGTAATGTATCATAGTCAATTAACAAACAATAAAGCGTTAATTCTCAAGCATCATCTCATTCGTGTTATTATATTTCTGTATCAGGAGCTTTGTATTCCGTCGTGAAGCACGCTTGCTTCGGTATCATAGAGGCACCCGCCAAAACCATCAAGACACAATGAATTAATTCCAGATGAAACTACCCTCTAAAAACTTTTAAATTAATTGCATATTTTTTATGTATTTTTCTAGGAATTTACACGAATAGTTAAAAACAATGGAACTTACGACAAGACTGGAATTCGTCCTCGCCCTTATCGCAGTCCTTCTGGTAGTTGCACACCCACAGCGAAGGGATGCATTTACCCTCTGGACACCGGAACATGCTACTCGGGCATACTGTGTCGCCTGCGAACAAAAAGAAAGTCAAGATTAGATCGCAATCAACCAACAACAACAACCAACATAATAAAAAGGCTTATAATAATAATAATAATTCATTTATTTGTACAGAATGCAGGTACAAGTATGGTCTTAGTACCTTAGTACCTAGCTTTTATCCATTTTTTTATTTTTTATTGTTCAGGTGGGTGGACGAGCTCACAGCTTACCTGGTGTTAAGTGGTTACTGGAGCACATAGACATCTACAACGTAAATGTACCACCCATCTTGAGATATAAGTTCCAAGGTCTCAAGTATAGTTACAACGGCTGTCCTACCCTTCAAACCGAAACACTTTTCTGCTTCACGGCAGAAATAGGCAGGTACCTATCCGCGCGGACTCACAAGTGGTCCTACCACCAGTAAATTTCGAATGAAATAATATTTCAATAATAAACAACAGAGCTATACATGAAATTCATTTAAATCTTGAGGTGTGAGTGATTACATATTCCGATCATTGGGCGCCCACCGTGTTATTTTATTGCATGTAACACGACATCTGTCAGCTCAGTCGGCTCGGGAATGGGAAAAGAGATCTACTGAAAATTGTTGCGCATAGTTTTGCGAAGTTTGCCTCATTACGAGCGACGTAATTTGAGACCAAAATGTACGACAGTTGACCAACATTCCCTGACACCGAAACGATTGCCCCGCGTGACATGGCAGGCTGACAATGACGTGAAAGAACTTTACAATTATAACAATCATATTATTTACTTGCTGTATCCGTCCGCTTCGCTTTGCATTTGAAATTAACATTACTATTTCTCGCCCCCACAAAGATTCTCATCATTAAAGCCCCCGCAACTGGTGTAGGGAATCCAACACTCATATAAATATTGGCCTATCCATTAAGTACATGTTATTTCTACATGGATACCAAGTTTCAAGTCAATCGGATGCATGGTTCAGTAATTATAACGGAACATCTGTAAAAACATCTGAAGTCGTGGCCTAAAGGATAAGACGTTCGGTGCATTCGTGTTGAGCGATGCACCGGTGTTCGAATCCCGCAGGCGGGTACCAATTTTTCTAATGAAATACGTATTCAACAAATGTTCACGATTGACTTCCACGGTGAAGGAATAATATCGTGTAATAAAAATCAAACCCGCAAAAATTATAATTTGCGTAATCACTGGTGGTAGGTCGTCATGATAATCGCCTTATCGTTGCCGCCGCTGACTACTCCCCGAATCCTGATCATGCAGGAGCCAGTCACCGTCGACGCCCTAGACACGTCCTTACGGATCCATTAGATCCAATAACCTTTGCATTAGATGCCTTCAGCTCTAATACTAGGGGCAGGCTTAGGGACCCCGGTAACCGTACTCGTCGAACTCGACAAAGAAGTCGACGTGCAACCTAACCCATGCACCAGCCCGCTGAGTTTCTCGCCGGATCTTCTCAGCGGGTCGCGATTCCGATCCGGTAGTAGATTCATTCGCGAAACAATTGCTCTTGAGTTGTTAGGTCTCCTTCGGAGGCGTTCGGGCAATTGTTAGCAAATCCCACCCCTCTTGGCTGAGCCTTTGCTCGCCCACCTGTCCTGGTGAAACTGGAAAGGCCTTCGGGCCACCAGTAAACTTTCAATCATAAAAAAAAAAAAAAAAAAAAACTGGTGGTAGGACCTCTTGGGAGTCCGCACGGGTAGGTACCACCACTCCCCGCCTATTTCCGCCGTGAAGCAGTAATGCGTTTCGGTTCGAAGGGTGGGGATAGCCGTTATAACTATACTGAGACCTTGGAACTTATATCTCGAGGTGGGTGGCGCATTTACGTTGTAGATGTCTATGGGCTCCAGTAACCACTTAACAACAGGTGGGCTGTGAGCTCGTCCATCCATCAATGCAATAAAAAATAAAAATAAAAACACTAAATTTATATATTAGTATATACTTATATAACAATCAGCTTAAAGTATATTTATGTGTTCACATCTACAATGAATTCCGTTCGCTTAAAGACTTTACTTATAACAAATGCGCGATAGAAGTAAACAAGCACTTAATAAATTTAACATCAAAACAAATAGAACTTCACTTAAAGAGCCATTATTACACTTTATTGATCCAACTCTTGACTGCCACAACTATCGGCGAAGTGTTTGTTTCCGATAAATCCGCCTGATGAGGGACCGCTTATCGTTAAGTGAGATGAAATGCTATTCAGTACGATTTAAGAATCCTCGAGATAAATGTGGACTGATTTACAAACAAAATAAGAGTTATTTAGAGCGCGCGATCGCGGAAAATGATTAATTCTCTTTTAGATATTTCTAAGCTCATGGTTTAAGCTGATATTAAATTGTTAACGAAGCCCATTAGTCAGTCATTACAATGTAAATGTTTCAGAAGTTGGATTAGTATTATAGTAAAACTAAATATTTTTGCTATAAGTACATAATTAAAATAATTAGTAAAAACAAGTGAATTTTTTAAACGTAGGACAACACCAAACTCAGATAAATAAAACATAATAAATAAGTACTGTATTTATGAAATAAACTGGAAATTTACCGTCAAAGTAACATAATAAAATAAAGTAAGAAGATTAAAATTAGGTTTAACGGGAAAATATAAATTGAGATAACGATAACAAAGTTGAAGGTTGCGTCTTACGTTTACTGATTCCATTGTCGATCACGTCACGAGAATTGAAAAATCTTTATCGAATGTTTGCTTTATCGTTTTGAGTTCATAAAAAAATGACTGATAATCGGATTATACAATACGGTCTGATCGAGAGCATTCGAAGACATGCCTCTCTGTGGTCACACTGTGGCCCTGTGGTATTCATGCAAATTCTCTGAAAGTGATCATAATGTCGCTTGAAATAAATCATCTGCGCGACGAGCTGGTGGTAGGACCTCTTGTGAGTCCGCGCGGGTAGGTACCACCACCCTGCCTATTTCTGTCGTGAAGCAGTAATGCGTTTCGGTTTGAAGGGTGGGGCAGCCGTTGTAACTATACTGAGATCTTAGAACTTATATCTCAAGGTATGTGGCGTATTTATATTGTACATGTCTATGGGCTCCAGTAACCACTTAACACCAGATGGGCTGTGAGCTCGTCCACACATCTAAGCAATAAAAAATTAAATTAAAAAAAAGAATAGAATGAGATGTTTGTGTCCACGAGTAGATTGCGCCTAGCAAAGTCGTGTCGTCCTAGAGCCTCGGAGACATCGCACAAAAAGTACCAATATTATATACAAAACGGAGGTATCAGTATCAAGATTGTTAAGTTACTTAAATACGATACCGTGTTCCCGTAAAGCTGGAGTTTCAAAGCGCAGTATCACAAACAACTGATTTACTTACAATTTTCTCGGCCATCTTATCTTTTATAGATGGAAATTTCAAGATAAACAGATATTTTGTGTGTGTGTTTTTTCTTACTAGTATAACTGCGATTTATCTCAGTCAGTGTTTTTGGCCCGCGGGGACCGACACCAACATCTTATTTATAATATTTCTGCCGCAATTACGCATTCCGGATTCGAGGGTATGAAGCCTAAACTACATAAGTGAGATTCGATCAATGTGATTGAGGGTGAGTGGTTCGTGCGTGTAGCTCCTGAGATCTGCTTTCAATGACTTCCAAATGAAAACGCTTGTTGATAAAATACATTTTTAAGAATTCACTTTCTAATATGGTCACCTTTAAAGAAAAGCCATCTTAAATATGGACGTCAAGAAAACAACACAAACTTTTCTCATTACCCGACCGCCATTACAATGCTACAACTGGCTTATAACCGTAAAGGTAGCCTACCAGTCACAATGCGTCATAATCAAGTCTTTCAGCAGCTATATTGCTTCCACGAGCCGACGTGAGTTGCGTACCCTAGTGGAAAACAACTCATAACCTAAGCCCGCTTCTGGCCGGATTTTCTCAGCGGGTCGCCATTCTGATCTGCGAGCAGATGGCCCATGAAGCAGCTCTCTTTGAACTGTTACAACAAGCCTATGTGCGCTGCTGCGGTGACATATAGCCAAAAGCTTTAAATCGAAATGGTCTAAGGTTTATGTCTACCGAAATTATGTATTTAAGCTGCATATTACCCGTAACAGCGCGAGATTATTATATGTTTAAAGATATAGAAGATATATCTTCCCTTTCTGCTTGTGCGTTTTTTGAAAATATAAATCGTCTTTTCGCATTAAAAGTGTACAATTTCCAAAAATATACGAAATTGAGTTAATATGCGGAATCATTTGGCATCATCAGTATTTTTCTCAGAAAAACTGCCGAAAGAGCGTAGTTTAGTTTTAGTATACCTATGTTTTGACTACTATTAACAAAATTAATACATAATTTTATCTTACTTTAAAAGACAGATAATGTAACTGGTAAAAAAAAACCTAAACGTTGCAAAGATGATTGATTAATATTAAAAATATCACATGTTAATTCTTTATAACACTCTCCTGTAAAATTAGTAAGTTATGAGAGATTATATAGTTTTAATGCGAGAAGACGAAATATAAATCTATCCCTGGTCTAGAACTTGGAAAATCATGAATGAAGAACAAGTATGGGGCCAATTACAGGAGCCGCACGACCAAGTAATAGGGTTGGACGAGAAATACGATCGCTGCCTTAATTGGGTGTTTGAAGTTAATACCTCGTCGGAGTCGGGGATTACTTGAAATTAGACGAACGGTTATGACGATAAACTGTTTTTTGGTACGAAATGTTAGCGCAGATATATATGTGTGCGTAGATCGCCTATACATAACGCGGAACTGACCACACATTGGTATGCGAACTGTGAGGTCTTGTTGGGAACTATATAGATATTGCAATAGTGTTTTAAACGTCTATTTTAAATTTAATCACCATCATAATAATAATTTATACTGGTCGTAATATTTTTTTTATTGCTTAGATGGGTGGACGAACTCACAGCCCACCTGGTGTTAAGTGGTTACTGGAGCCCATAGACATCTACAACGTAAATGCGCCACCCACCTTGAGATATAATTCTAAGGTCTCAGTATAGTTACAACGGCTACCCCACCCTTCAAACCGAAACGCATTGCTGCTTCACGGTAGAAATAGGCGGGGCAGTGGTAGCTACCCGTGCGGACTCATAAGAGGTCCTACCACCAGTAAAACTTAACACACGGGAGTGTAAGGACTGGAAGGAGCAGCGTAAATACCGCGTGTGCTGGGTATCGAAGGACACCTTAAGCAAAATAATAATATGTCGAACAGTTTAAAGATATGGATCCCTACATACATCCACTGATATCATCAGTTGTACTGAGGAACCAGCTGGTAGTAACCGTACTTCATTTTATAGAAACGAATGCATTACCCAGTCTCATATCAGGAACCGTCATCAATAAACGATTTTGATACCGTTTGATCACAAGCTCATCAAAAGAGATCTTCATTTTATATAGACAAGAAAAAATGATCCCTGCGAATATGAATGAATACTCATGAATAACCATGATGATCATTTGTACTAAAGAAATGTATATTGACTCATGTTTATATATTAGCAGATTTACTTGAAAAACTGTATGCACAGATGGGATTTTTATTAGATGAATTTCAGAAATATTATATGCTATGCCGTAGTCAGGGAGGGCCGGTTAGAAGCAGGAAAGACTAATGAAGGACGAAGCAAAAATACATAAATAATTTTGCACGAAAAACTGTATGCACAGATGGGATTTTTATTAGATGAATTTCAGAAATATTATATGCTATGCCGTAGTCAGGGAGGGCCGGTGAGAAGCAGGGAAGACTAATGAAGGACGAAGCAAAGATACATAAATAATTTTGCACAATACGTAATACTAATTAATTCCGAAACACATTATTTTGGCGGGCACCGTGGAGAGGCGAGAGTAACACGTTCGAGCGCCATTACGACCGCAATAATTTCCACTTTATCTGACGTTATCTTGATTCGTGAACATCTTAACGAAGCACAATAATAGCGCGACAGAACTTAAGAAATTCTCATTGTATTAATGGGCGGGTTTACTGTCGGGACATCAAATTTTATTAGCTGTTTATATCGTTTCCTGGTTGGTTCACGTTTCGGTTGGAAAGGAAGAGAAATGGGCAGGACTCGTGAAGGTTTTTTATGAGCAATAACAGGAAAATGTATTAGTTACAGTTGTGTTCCGTGAGCTGCCGCCGAATGAGATACGTGATGCAGTTTAGTGGACAACGCTTGAATGCGGGATCACAGACTGGCATCGCTGTCGGAATTGAAAAGGATCCCGGGATTATTGTTGTAATGGATACGTTGATCCTGTTTTCATGACATTGGCGTTTAAGATGTTCTAATTCCAGAGACATACCAGTTCGTTAAAAGTGCACGCAACGGTGCGAAATAAAAAAAAGATGTGTGGTGTCGTGGGACACCGGATAGGAACGAAGTTCCTTATTATAAAAATGTTAATTTTAAGTTCTATTCGAGGTATGAAGAAAATAAAACTGGAGGTTTCGCAACAACCCACGGTCATTCGGTAACGTGCGAACTTATTGTGCTACACTTCATTCACGGTTGTTTGCATAAGAATTACTGTATTGCGCAAACGAACGCTCTGAGATCGTGGTCAATGAATGATAAAAAAAAAATATTTGTTGTACGCTATTACAAAGTTAAGTCGTACACTGTGTGCATTACTAATTTGTACGTTATTACAAAATTAAGTCGTACACTGTGTGCATTGCTTATAAAAATCTTACGTTACGGACGTTTTTCCCCGGTGAGGGTACCCCTCCGCATCGTCCCATAAGGAACTTCGTTCCAAAATACCTGATCAGTATTTTTTTAATAGTAGCCTGCCTAATTTGGCCTGCGCTCTACTAGAATTGATCTATAAGGGAATTTCACAATAAAAAAACGATCTAAATGTAAAAATAGAAAGGTACAATAAATATGGATGTAACAAGGGGCTCCCTTATCGCTAAAAGCGATCTTTTTCAGACGAAATTGCTTGGATAGGTGGATAGGCGTGCACCACACATACTTTAAACGCACATAGCTTACAATAGCCAATTACGATAAATTTACAGTGTCAGATAATAACTCAAATTTATAAGTTAATAAGCCAAATAATTTTGGAATATTCTTGAAGGTAAAATAATATCTTCAAATTCTTGAAGGTAAAATAAGTGATTTAGTACTAGGATCGTATTCCGGCAAGATAGGGCAAGAAATACTATAACTTCATAGTAAATTCGAGTTTCTCACAAGATTAAATAACTTTCGCAATTCTTTATTCGTAATTTAAAAAAAAAAATGGCGCTGCGTCATTTATTCCAACAGCCGATTGTCAAATAAATGGCAAGCATTTTGTGGTCCGTTTTCCTTTTCTGGGGAGTGCATGATGCAAAGTTGATTTGAAATTTATGATGAAAAAGAAAATAGTATTAATACAAGTTTTCAAACAAATATAACGTAATCAAACAAAGAATACCATAGTCAATAATAAAACGTATTAATTTTGTGGATTAGTGGATTGTTCTTTCATTCGATATTTGAGATAGGCATACCAAAATAAACTTATTCCAGATGTTCTTTGTGAAACATAAAACGAAATGACAAAAGATTTATTGTAGGTACTAGCTGACCCGGCAGACTTCGTAATGCATCAATCGAAAAATTAAAGATCTAAGCTTTTGTATAAAATAAACTTAAAACAAAAAAAAGGAATCCGCCCGACGGGGGACACACCAAAAAAAAAACAAAATTGTTATTTTTATTTAATTCCGAGCATTTTCATATTTATCTACCTTTTAAACCTTCTCTGGATTTCCACAAATAATTCAAGACCAAAATTAGCCAAATCGGTCCAGCCGTTGTCGAGTTTTAGCGAGACTAACGAACAGCAATTCATTTTTATATATATAGATAGTATGTATAGCTAGCTATAATTAGATTACTTCGGTTTTTTTTGAAGTGAAACTTCCTTATCGGCGTTGGAAAAAAATTTACCGTCACATTTTTCGGTTACGCGTCACATTTTTCCGTTACGCGCCATCTTTTAATTAACGGCTGTATGTTCTGAAGTATGGATGCGCATTTGAGAAACCGACCTCATGTCTCAAGGTGGGTCACGGAATACATTTTGTAATTGCAATAATCCCAGGTAACCCACTTAATATCACGTGGACCGTGCTATTATTGTTATTACGTAAAATAATAGGAAGAAAAGTACCAGGGTATTATGATATCAAAGAGATGTATTATTATAACTTTACTCTGACGTACAGCCTTCTTTATTAATTAACGGCTGTATGTTCTGAAGTATGGATTCCGATTTGAGAAATTGACCTCATGTCTCCAGGTGGATTACGGAAATCATTTTGTAATTCCAATAATCTCAGGGAGCCCACTTAATAATATCACGTGGACCGTGCTATTTATTACTGTTATTACGTAAAATAATAGGAAGAAAAGTACCAGGGTATTATGATAGCAAAGAGATTTATTAATAATTAACGGCGGTATGTTCTGAAGCATGGTTTCGGATTTGAGAAATCGACCTCATGTCTCAAGGTGGGTCAAACTTCACGAACCTCAGGAACCCCATTTAACACCACGTGGACCGTGCTATTATTATTAATTTATAGGAAGAAAAGTACCAGGGTATTATGATATCAAAGAGATGTATTATTAAAATGCTGTAATAATCTTAGTAGCAAAAAGGTAAAGTGAAATAATTGTATTATTTGTATTCATGTCTATGATAATAAAATCCTTTTGTTTAAACTTTATCTAATTTAACTTTATTTAACCAATTTCTAGAAAGTTGCATGTAGATCATTTTTCGAAAAATAAGGCCATAAACAAGTTTCACTTCTTACGTGTGTACACTAGTACACGCACACATTTTTTTTTATTGCCCTTGTAGGCAGATGAGCACACGGCCCACCTGATGGTGAGTGGTTACTGTCGCCCATGGACTTCAGCAATGCCAGGGGCAAAGCCAAGCCGCTGCCTACAAAACCTTGAGTGGTGAACTACGAACAAAGATACGTTAATAACAGAAAAAATGAACACTTAAAACCGAATGTATTTTTATCGTCTGTTCTCTAAATATTAAAGCTTGAGTCAAACAAGAATTCGCGTGTCTCTAGGATGAAAGTGCATGTCGGTATCCGACACGAGCCATTACGGTATGCAGTCCCGGCCTGACGTCACACTACACGTACCTCACAGCACTCCGCACACTTTTAGAATTGCTCTTGAATATCTCGCATATGTCAACGGGGTGAGACTTGGTAGGTAATATTTTCAATTAAATTTATAGACAAAGTTATTTCCAATTATTTTTAGATGAATGGAAATAAATCGCAACTCTTAAATAGATTTTTAATTGAAATAATCGTAGGATCAAATCGTAACCAAACCGCATGGACTTAGTTCAAATTATAAAGAAAAAGATGTTATGTAAATAAGATATTTAAAGTAAAGAAACAAAAATGTTTTTATGCAATAATCTTATCTTATACCTTTAAACGAACAATTCTTGTATATTATTAATATATACATAATCTGAATCTCGGAAACGGCTCCAACGATTTTCATAAAATTTAGTATACAGGGGATTTCGGGGGCGATAAATCTATCTAGCTAAGATTTATTTTCAGAAAATGTTGTTTTATTCGTGTTTTCAATAATCAACTCTTCCCGACATCTATTGGCGAATAATAATACTATTTTTCTTAATTGAGGGCAACTAACCGCTTTAAAGACACAACAAGATGGCGTTATCAAAAAAAAACCGGGCAAAGCTCAGTCATTGTCTAGTGCAATTTTAAACGCTTTCAATTTCACCACCAATTGAACGATTGTATTGTCGTCCTACTGATATACTTGTACCTACCTTGCGTTTTAATTAAAACATTTTATGTTTGGTTTATAGTTTATAAAAAAAATATTCTCTCTATACCTATATGTTATGCTTTTATTATTTTATACGAAATTAAACTTTGAAATCTTATACACGATAGAAATTTAAAACAACAAGGAGTGCCCAGAACCTTCATAAGCATTTTCAGGAATATTGAAAGTGTGGGTAGGCAAAAATTTAATTGAAAACTTAAGGTGAAGAATTTCTGGTCGAGAAAAGGGTCAGTTAAAGGGCTAATATCTGATTTAACATAATTTCAGTGATTTTGGAATAAGCTGAAAATTTTCGGTCTAAACTGAGTTCGAATCTATTTCTATTTATTATTTATGAAACAATTCAAATGAATAATATGTTTAAAAAGAGGAAAAAAACACAAATAAAAGTCGCCCATATTTTACAGGCCTGTGTCCTTTGTTTTGGCTACGGAAGCTTTTAATTATTCATTTTAATAATTATAATATAAGCTCCTAGCATATTCTGTTAGGAGTTTGTCGAGCTCGTATTTATTTAATGCTATGATTGGTGAGCGATCTCACGGCCCACCTAGTGTTAAGTGGTCACCGGAGTCCATAGACCTCAACAACGTAAATTGCCGCCACCCATATTGAGACATGAGTTCAAACAGTAACGCATCACTTCTGCTCGGTAGAAATAAGCAGGATGGTGGTACATATTAGACACGCACAAGACGCCTTCCCACCAGTAATTATCTAATTTATAATTTTTGCGGGTTTGATTTTTATTTCACGATGTTATTCCTTTATCCTCGATCTCATTGTTAAGTACTTATTTCTTTGCAAATACTGTTACCTGTATGCGGAGTTTCTAGCATAAAAATATTCTAGTGTTATTTTGAATTTAGTAAAGAATATTGCATGTTATCTGCAAGATTCGGAACGCGAGCATTCTCCCGAGCACGACACGATCAAAATAGCGGTTTTCACATCCACACCGCATCGTTCTGCTAAGCTACATTCAATGTAGCAGATAGCTTACCAAGCTTCCATGTGAGACACAATTGGAAATTCTTAGAGCTTAGTAGTAGCAGAACTAAAGTCATGTATGTGTATGGGTTTACGAAATAATAGGAACTTGCGAAGATGGTAAAGATTTAATTATGTTTAGCCTAGTAAATGAAAGCTACTTTAATAGGTGGTAGGACCTCTTGTGAGTCCGCACGGGTAGGTACGACTAATCTGCCTATTTCTGCCGTCAAGCAGTAATGCGTTTCGGTTTGAAGGGTGGGGGAGCCGTTGTAACTATACCGAGACCTTAGAACTTATATCTCAAGGTGGGTGGCGCATTTACATTGTAGATGTCTATGGGTTCCAGTAACCACTTAACACCAGGTGGCTTGTGGGCTCGTCCACCCATCTAAGCAATAAAAAAAGGGAACTCAGCTGGTCTGATGTTACTGTGGTTGTTTTTTTTGCCGTATAGGCAGACGAGCATACAGCCCACCTGATGGTGAGTGGTTACTGTCACTCATAGACGTCAGCAAGGCCAGGGACAGAGCTAAGCCGCCGCCTACCGCTTAATACTCTCCACAAGCCTCGGTTGAAGAAGGACATGTTATAGCGCTCGGGAAACACCGTGGAGGGGAGCTCATTCTAAAGCCGGAAGGTACGTGGCAAAAAAGATCTCGGAACCGCACTGTGGATGAACGTTGTAGTTCCAAGTAGTATGATTGAACTCACTCCGGTGGCGGAAGATGCGATAGTAAAAACGCGATGATAGTATCATCTCAATTCCTCAGAGCACTCCCCATGGAACATACGGTACAAAATACGGAGGCGAGGTTCTAAGAACTTATCAGCACGCCTTACTCCCTTGAGACCTGTTTAATGCCAATATTATATTTACGCCCTGGTCTCGGAACGTGTAAAATCCGCAGTATTTAAGCGATGAAAGTCTGCGTTCAAGCATTCCCCGCGGCTGATACCTGTCGTGCTATTTTCAAGGTCTAATGTTTTCTTAACTTTACGGTACTTTTAGCTGATGAGTTACGGATTCCGACGGATATAAGGATAGCTTTTAGTCCGTGAAATATAAATAACGTGTATTTTTTAGTAGGTACCTTTGCAAAGAGGAAGGAAATGTTTGAATTTAGTTTCAAGTTTCTTTCATATATCGCGAGTATATAGTTTTTCTTAGTGATGTTTTCGTGCACATGTCCTTATGTTTGTATTAAATATTATTATTTATTTTTTGTTAATTGCGTTGGTAGTTGGACGAGCTCACAGCCCACCTGGTGTTAAATGGTTACTGGAGCCCATAGACATCTACAACGTAAATGCGCCACCCACCTTGAGATATGAAGTTCTAAAGTCTCTAGTATAGTTACAGCGGCTGCCCCACCCTTCAAACCGAAACGCATTACTGCTTCACGGCAAAAATAGGCAGGGTGGTGATACCTACCCGCGCGGACTCACAAGAGGTCCTACCACCAGTTACAGTTACACCAATTACTCTTTAAGTGTTGCTTTTTACTGAACTTTAACTCATCTGCACTCCGTGTGAATACAATTTAACAACCCAGGCAAGTTTCTGGAACCGAAGCGCAAGTTTCTGGAACCGAAGCAGCTCTTGATCAGGCCAGCAACTGCTCTAGCCTTCAAACTAGTTCGAGCATCATTTTTCACATCACAGCACTGACAACGAAGACTTTATTTATCAAAAACGGGAGCAGCAATCCGCGCTAATTTGCTACTCGCCCGTGCTTGTTGACGCTAAAGTTTTTTTTAACAAATTTATATTGTAACTTATTAATATATATTTGTACTAGCTGACCCGGCAGACTTTGTAGTGCCTCAATCCATAAATAAAAGACCTAAACTTTTGTAAAAAATAAACTTAAAACAAACAAAAGGAATCCGTCCGACGGGGGACACATCAAAGGAAAAACAAAATTGTTACTTTTATTTAATTCCGAGCATTTTCATATTTATATTTACCTTTTAAACCTTCTCTAGACTTCTACAAATAATTCAAGACTAAAATTAGCCAAATCGGTCCAGCCGTTCTCGAGTTTTAGCGAGACTAACGAACAGCAATTCATTTTTATATAAATAGATAGATATATAGATTAATAATTTTAAGAGTATTTATTCACCCAGAAGATACTCTTCAGTATGGTAACTCCGTTCGGTATTTCTCTTCACAAACGGAAGTAGCTCCTGAGATAATTCCTATTGACATTCTCGACTGTTGATCTACCTAGATTAAATATAAAACTCAATATCTAACTACTGCTCAGTTTATTAATCACATAAAAGACCGACCACACTACTCCAGCACGCAAGCACATCGGAGTCCCGGCTCCTCACTATACGTATAAACTCAAACACTATTTTAAATTAAATAGCATCAAGTTTCTAGCATTCAATGTTGAATATTAGAATGTCGAGGCTTCATTTTATCGCTGCCGGTGGCGTTATTAAAATTGCTATCGTTTAAATTAGATAAGTTGATGTTTGATATGGAAGTCATCGCTATACTTAATTACAGATTAAAGTAATTGTATCTATATATTAACATATGAACTTTGTACGAAAATTGCGCGGATGGAAGACTATAAAACTTCCCACACTTATAGAGAACTTATAGAAGGAATGCATAATGCTAATATCTTTTTAAAATGATGCATAAAAATACATTCAAAAATCAAAAATCAATATATAAAACATTACACACACTACCATCTATTTGACAAACACACACACGCACCCACACACATATATATACTCTTTTGTTTATTGTTAGTCTGTGGTCTAATCGGGATAGATTAGTATTGTTGGTCTTTAGTATTAATTGCCTATAGTGTTGCCTTGGCGAAAAATGTCATTATAGAAGTAAAATTTTTGACCATAGAACCATAACAATGTCCAAACTTATAATTTAAATCAATAAGTCTAGTCGAATTTCGACTTTTGTGGGACCACTAGTATATTAGTAATAGGCAGTGCTATCGAAGTCCACTAGACGACACACAATAGACCGAAGCCTGAACCAATGCACTTACAGACTGGAATTCGGAGAATATTATTGCAATTGAAATAATAGACAGATGAGTTTACGACCCTTCTGATTATTAGTGGTCACCGTTGCTTATGAAAATCGGCTTTACCAGAGTGCAACCAAGGCGCTAGCCACTAATCACAAGTATATTTAAAGACAAGCTATTGAAGTAGATAGAATATAGTAGGCAGCAGGAAGTAGTAGACGGTGCCAACGGACCGTAACGATACCTGGGAATAACGGTGATAAAAAAAAATTCAAGTGTACGAAATATAATTTCCAATACCTTAAAGAGCTAGTAAACTTTTAATACAGACACATTTTGTAATGTTGGTCGGACTGTGTTGGTTATGCAAATTAAAAAATAATGTGCAAGCTTTTTTTTTTTTTTTTTTTTTTTNATAGTTTCTGATTATTGTGTTTTGACCTTGTGTTGTCAATGATTGTTATGGTTCAGTTTTCCGGTTTACTACGATCCGGTCAGTATGGCCGAGCGGGATGCCTCTGTTCAATGATTTCAGTGGGGACTACTGGAAGACAACGCAGGCTGCGACACAGCACATGGTGCCCTGGCGTGGCAAGTGGTCTCCAGAGGCAGTGGCGGTGCGTGCCGGCCGAGGCGCGCAGAGGCGTCTCGCTGGTCCGTTGCTTGGTGGGTGTTCCTGCTGGTGGCACCCCTACTGATCAGCACCTGGCGTTAGTCGCCTCTGACGTTTGTCGTCATTTGCGTTAGTCGCACCCGGCGTTAGTCGCCTCTGACGTTAATCGTCATTTGCGTTAGTCGCCCAACAATGGTATGCAGAATGCGCGTACTGCTTGCGTGCCGCTGGCTGCGCGCGCTCGCCTGCTACAGACGTGCATACTGCGCGTACTGCTCGCGTGCCGTAACTGCGCGCGCTGGCGTGCTTCAGACGTGCATACTGCACGTGTTGCTCGCGTGCTGCTGGCTGCGCGCGCTCGCCTGCTTCAGACGTGCATACTGCGCGCACTGCTCGCGTGCCGCTGCCTGCGCGCGCTCGCCTTCTTCAGCCGTGCATACTGCGCGCACTGCTCGCGTGCCGCTGCCTGCGCGCGCTCGCCTGCTTCAGACGTGCATACTGCGCGTGTTGCTCGCGTGCCGCTGGCTGCGCGCGCTCGCCTGCTTCAGACGTGCATACTGCGCGTACTGCTCGCGTGCCGCTGGCTGCGCACGCTCGACTGCTTCAGACGTGCATACTACGCGCACTGCTCGCGTGCCGCTGGCTGCGCGCGCTCGACTGCTTCAGACGTGCATACTGCGCGTACTGCTCGCGTGCCGCTGGCTGCGCGCGCTCGCCTGCTTCAGACGTGCATACTGCGCGCACTGCTCGCGTGCCGCTGCCTGCGCGCGCTCGCCTGCTTCAGACGTGCATACTGCGCGCACTGCTCGCGTGCCGCTGGCTGCGCGCGCTCGACTGCTTCAGACGTGCATACTGCGCGTACTGCTCGCGTGCCGCTGGCTGCGCGCGCTCGCCTGCTTCAGACGTGCATACTGCGCGTACTGCTCGCGTGCCGCTGGCTGCGCGCGCTCTCTTACTGCTGGCGTGCATACAGCACGTGTTGCTCGCGTGCCGCTGCCTGTTTCTGGCGTGCCTACCGCACGTGCTGCTCGCGTGCACACTGCACGTGATGCTCGCGAGCCGCCGACTTCACGGTGCCGTACGACTGGCAGTGACGCAGAGGGCGATGTCGCTCGATCTGCGGCCTGCTGCTTCACTCGTTGGGGACTATGATGCCTTTGGTGAGTAGTTCGTTTGCAGTCCTGCTGAGCTACTTATGCGCTCCGCCTGCGTTTTCAGGATTATCTATCAGGACGGTCGAGCGGGACGCCCGCCACACGTGGTGCAGCCTCACATCGTGGGAGCAGACTGGAGCTGGGACGGCTGCCCTGCCGAACTTTCGGGAGGCGTGGACCTAACAAGATCTTTCGCACGCTTCCGCATCATCGTTACGAGTGGATCCCAGTTATGTGGTCGAGGACGAACCACAGTCAGGAGAGGCCGAGTAAGGAATACCCTACAAAAAGGGTATAAAACCGGCGCGCAGCTCCATCACCCGCGCATTTGTCGGTGTCGGTTGACATTCGTGAGAGAAGGTAGTCGTGGACATGGTGTGCGTGAGTCATTGTTTTAAGCCTTTGTAAATGTGTGCTTAAATACAAGATAATATCAAAGTGTTTATTATGTATTCTGGTTGTTTGGTGATTTATGTTGAATTAGTCAATTAATTAGAGTTTGAGAATAACAAAAGTTGTAGTGTGCTAATTGTTATATTTTTTTAAATGGTTTTTCTTCTGAATCCTAAATCTATATATATAAAAATTAGTCTCGCTAAAACTCGAGAACAGCTGGACCGACTTGGCTAATTTTGGTCTTGAATTATTTGTGAAAATCCAGAGAAGGTTTAAAAGGTAAATTAATATGAAAATACGCGGGATTAAATAAAAATTTGTTTTTCCATTGATTCGTCTTGAAATTTCGACCTTATACCCACCCTCGAGTTAGGTATTCGGTCAATTCCCCGTCAAACTCACTCAATCCCTAATGGCCCGTAACTTCATCAAGACATCGAAGGCAAAAAAAAAACCATACCAAAACGAACTTGCTGAGACGAGACATTGTCGTGATAATGATTGTAAAGTAATTAGAAGCTTATGCCTTTAATAATAAAATCAGTTACACCATGTTTGGTCCGCGTCGATCGTGTACGAAGCCAGCTGCCAATGCGAAAGACAAAACACGGTGCAACTATTCCAAGGCCACGCCATATTTATATTAACAACCGGGTCAGGGTTCGAACGGACGTCTATATTTCATTAATTTCACAATACAAATCCAGGAATTTGTTTAAAAGCAAAAGCACAATTGTGTTACATAAATGATTATGTGCCTATCTATACTAATATATAAATCTACAGTGGTTTTTACGGATGTTCCGTTATAACTACTGAACCATGCATCCGATTGACTTGAAACTTGGTATCCATGTAGAAAATACATGTACTTAATGGATAGGCTAATATTTATATAAATGTCGGACTCCCTACACCAGTTACGGGGCCGATAATGATGAGGATCTTTGTGGGGGTGAGAAATAATAAAGTTAATTTTAAATGCCCAGCGAAGCAGACGGGTACAGCTAGTTGATTATAAATGCATACTATTAAATAACAGTTTTTTTTTTCATTATTGCCCTTGTAGGCAGACGAGCTAACAGTCCATCTGATGGTGAGTGGTTACCGTCGCCCATGGACTTCAGCAATGCCAGGGGCAGAGCCAAGCCGCTGCCTACCGCTTTAACTATTATGACTTTCTCCCGATGTAGTTAGAAAATATTTTAATTAAATCAGTACTAATTTTTTTATCTGTACTCGAAATTGCCATCACGCGAGTTTGAAACCAACTTAATGGCATCGGCATTTTTCTTTTGCCCTAGATGACTAGATGATGCATGACCCGACT